CAGGGTAGATTGCAAATCTAGCTTGATGGGGTGCTGAGAGGAAAAAAATGTATCTTGTGTGTAGCAAACCTTAAAGAAGTCTTACAAATGAATTAGGACAGCCACTGAAGAGAGATTCCTGATTTCTCCAAGAATATCCAAGTCTGTTCGGGGTTTGGGCCCGATGTATGTGGAAGGGTATTGTTCCAGAGCATGTACATCCTGCCCTTCACCTTGGAGACCACCTTCACGCATTCTCTCTCAGATGAGCCCATCGGTGTCTTCACTATAATTCTGGGAGATACCAATGTATTATTCGTAATGACTGTATTATAAATATTACTTGCCCAGCCTCTGGTGCATAAAAAGTGCTCAATACATGTGATCACCATTGCTCTTTTACTCCTGAAAAGACTCAGGTCCAGAGCAGGGAAGGGACTTGCCTAATGTGATTTAACTACTTAGTAGCGAAGACAGACCGAGAACCGGGCCTGCTGAGTCCCTCTGTTACCGTCACCTCAGGTGGCATCACAGAGGATTTCCAAAGGGAAGGGCAGCGGGGTTACTGACCCGGGTGACTGACAGGAGGCTCACGGACTGCTAATTGTGAATGAAGTGATTGACAGGAGGCTAACGGGCTGCTAATTGTGAATGAAGTGATTGACAGGAGGCTAACGGGCTGCTAATTGTGAATGAAGTGATTGACAGGAGGCTCACGGACTGCTAATTGTGAATGAAGTGATTGACAGGAGGCTAACGGGCTGCTAATTGTGAATGAAGTGATTGACAGGAGGCTAACGGGCTGCTAATTGTGAATGAAGCACATGGAACCCACACCTCCCTACCGGAGTAGCAGCCGTCTACGGAGTCTTTGGGCCTTTTAAAGCGATCCGTTGCCTGTGGCTTTTTGCCACGGAGCAGCGTGCCTCCTTGTGGGAGAGCTGTGGCTGCAGTGCCCAGTGGGGAGGGTGGGAGCGGTCTGCAGACCTCTGGCTGCTCCGAATTCAGAAGTGGAGCCAGTGACCGCGAGCAGCGGGACGGTGGGCCTGACTGCGGGCGGCAGTAAGCGTGTAATCTAAGTGTTTGAGCACCAGTGAGTAAGCCCCGAGAGGCGGATGTGGGCATGGGTGAGGCCGGCAATCAGCTGGCAGGATAGCAGGGTTCAAGAACAGGCCGGTGGAAAGATACAAGTCCACTGGGATGGGCAGTCTCTGCTATTAGCCCGAAGGTCAAAGTCCAGAAGTCTCCACCAAGCTGCATGGCCAGCCGGGGGGCCAGAGAGGGCGCCTGAAGCCACTCACAGGCCGAGCACACTGCGCACAGCTGAGGGCTCTGGCGGGGAGGGAAGCTACAGACAGACTCGGGGTAGGCAGCTCTTCCGTCACTGATGCCCAAGCCACTCACACTCTCTTCTTCCCAAACAAGGCACGCACCACCCTGCCGGTGGGGTGGGGAGTGCCCCGGGAGCCTGGTGGCTGGAGGCAAATCTAGGCTAGAGCAGTGTTTCCCAACCTTCTCTCATGATGAGGATCACCTGGTGGAGTTGTTAAAACACAGATTCCCGGATCCCAACTAAGAAGTGCTAAACTAGAATTTTTGAGAACATATAGGTAAAATTGCATACCTAACTTAGTGCTCTGTATATAAAATCTGTCTTAGAGCACTAGTTAAGTATACAATTTTACCTATATGTTCCCAAAAATTCTAGTTTAGCACTTCTTAGTTGGGATTCGGGAATCTGTGTTTTAACAACTCCACCAGGTGATTCTCATCATGAGAGAAGGTTGGGAAACACTGGGCTAGAGAACTAGGGCGTCAGAGCCACCTGAACTTGAAACCCAGCTGCAGGCGTTTACAAGCTGTTCCGACCAGGGATCTCTGCGGGAGTCAGCAGAGTGTGTGTGTGTGTGTGTGTGTGTGTGTGTGTGTGTGTCTGTGTCTGTGATGGAAAAGAGACCCACTGCTTTCACTGCACCTGCTTCCTCCTGGTGCCTGAGTCAGCAAGCAGATGATGACTGGAGGGGGCTGTTTTATAGCAGCTTTCATTTGGGGTTCTGGCTTGAATGTGCCTTGAGGGTATCCAGCTGGCCTTAAACAGTGTACCAGCTGGGAGCAAAGATCACGGTCAGGCAAATCCCCTTATCTTATGGCTGAAGATACCCAAGGCTCGGAAAAGTGAATCCTAGCTGGAGGGTCATAGTTTGATAAAGGAGGCAGACGAATAGGAGACCAATGCCCTTTCATAGGTGACATTATTCTCATCTCCATAAAAGCATCAAAAAGAAGTGGAAATGGGCCTTTAAGAAATTTCTCCTGTTAAGAAAATGTTCTTGAGAGGTAGAAACATCTAGGAGAGAAACACCGATCAGCCGCCTCCTGTGTGCCCCCCACTGGGAATGGGGCCCCAGAAGTGGGAAATCCCGGCATGGGCCCTGACAGGGATCCACACCAGTGAACTCTTGGCTCATGGGAAGATGCTCAGCCAAATGAGCCACCCCAGCCAGCGAGAAATTTCTCCCATTTCACAGAGAGGAAAACTAAGTCCTGGAAAGAGAAGCAACTCTTTAACCAAGCTAAGTCATGTCCTGCTTAGTTCAGGGCTGGTGTGAACTTGACCGTGTGGAAAGAAAAGCAGCTCAGTCTATCTCATGTTTGTCAGTGTCCTTTTTATTACGCTCCCAATTCAGGGATCCCATTTCTTGAATTTGCCCGCCTCCTCATCCCTTTCCTAGTCCTCCTAGCATTGCGTATTTGCTCTTCGTTTGGTTTCTATACCACACCTGTATGACTCACGGAAGCAAACCCTGGGAAAGAGTGTGACCTTTGCTTTCTGGTCCCTGTTCTAGATGCACCTGTCCCCTGAGGACTTCACCAAAGCCTTGGGGATGACTCCAGCCGCCTTCTCTGCCTTGCCTCAATGGAAGCAACAAAACCTTAAGAAAGCCAATGGACTATTTTAAGGGTATTTGCGGTTGTGAAGCAGTTTTGTTCTGTTATTCCTGGTATTAATCCTTTACAAATCGAGACATTTTACTTGTACCTGTGCGCAGCAGTCTGTGGCCATGCTTACTAACCTGTTCCTCCACAAAAGGATGCCTTCAGAAGGCGGCTGTGGTCCCAGCTTCAGCTCTCAGGAAGGTGGTTGCATATGATCACACTCATACGTGGAAATAAAACTGAAACTCATAGATGCAGACAACAGTGTCTGGGTTCCCAGAGAAAGGGGGGAGGGTACCAAGGTAAAAAGAACCAAATATATGGTGATGGGAGATGATTTAACTTTGGGTGGTGGGCACACAGTGCAATATACAGACCATGTGTCAGAAATGTGCACGTGAAACCCACATAACCTTATTAACCAGTGTCACCCCAATAAACTTAAATTTTAAAAAAATGAAGAAATGGCCCTAACCAGTTTGGCTCAGTGATAGAGCGTCCGCCTGAGGACTCAGGGGTCCCAGGTTCAATTCCGGTCAAGGGCATGTACCTTGGTTGCGGGCACATCCCCAGTGGGGGGTGTGCAGGAGGCAGCTGATCAATGTTTCTAACTCTCACTGATGTTTCTAACTCTCTATCCCTCTCCCTTCCTCTCTGTAAAAAAAATCAATAAAATTATTTTAAAAAAAATGAATGATTTCAAATTATAAAGGTATCTGTAGCTACATGCTACTTGGGACGTTTACACACAGAGAGGGCATAAGGAAATGAGCGACTCTCAATTCCCTTCCTTGCTTTAAAGAAATGGAATCAAATGTTATAATCATGGGCTCTGGAGTGTCATCACTCTGCTTTCTAACCATGTAAATGTTTTTATTCAATTACAGTTCACATTCAGTATTCTATTGGTTTCAGGTGTACATCATTGTGGTTAAACATTTATGTAATTTACAAAGTGATCCCCTGATAAATCAGTACCACCTGGCACCAACCAGTCATTGCCACTTTTTATTTTAATTAAAACCACCACCACCACATGCCGAAACCAGTTTAGCTCAGTGGATAGAGCATTGGCCTGTGGATGGAATGGTCCCAGGTTCAATTCCGGTCAAGGGCATGTACGTTGGCTGCGGGCACATCCCCGGTAGGGGGTGAGCAAGAGGCAGCTGGTCGATGTTTCTCTCATCAACGTTTCTAGCTCTCTATCCCTCTTCCTTCCTCTCTGTAAAAAATCAATAAAATATATTAAAAACAAAAATAAATACCACCACCACCACCACAAAAGGTGGTTGCGTTATTTCTGTCCTGGGGTATGGCACCACTTTAAACTGTTCCAGAGCTCCCCTTCTCGGAGCACCCGACCTGCAGGGAACACGGTGCTGAGTCCTCTGCAGGCTGTGCGTTAGCAATGGCAGGGGCTGAAGAATTTTTGTTTTACACTTTTCCCAGAGAAACAGTTTTTCCTTTTCACATAGGCCTCCCTCTGGTGATAAGCTAAAGGGGATCCCTTCTTTGAAGGAGTTCAATGGCTTAGGACAGTGGGTCGGCAAACTCATTAGTCAATAAAGCCAAATATCAACAGGACAATGAATGAAATTTCTTTTGAGAGCATGGGCCACGAAGTTTCAATCGCACTGTACATGTGGTATTTTGTGGAAGAGCCACACGCAAGGGGCCAAAGAGCCCCAGTTTGCCGACCACTGGCCTAGGAGATGCCTTGGTAGGAGGTTTCACAATACTCACCAAACCAATCCCCAGTGAGAGCAACATCCCCACTGGGTTCAGGCTTGAGGCAAGTGTGACCTGCCGATGCCATTTCCCCTTCCTCTGAAAAGGTGTAAAACAAGAACGCTAAGGCCAATGCTGGCTTATAAACTGTTATCCAGAACTCGGCAGCTTCCGGGCTCCTCGGGTGAACACCACAGGAACTGGTGCATGCGCTGGTTTGCAGCCCATTTCTTTAGGGTTTAACAGTGCTGCACCAAGTCCCAAGTCTGAAGGCCAAAGAAGGCGATTTCTACAACTTCAACAGCTATTACGTGTCTGCAAGAATATGTCCTTTTCAGAAATAAGTCAAACCAACACAAGGTTAATAAAGGCTTTAATTTCACACACACAAAAAAAACCCCTCTATGCATAATTTAAAAAGGAACCAAAACAAAGAAAAACTGTAAGGAATACAGAGGAACAGTTCTGCTAAAACACAGATAAAGTGCCGCTCCATACAAAACAAAACATAAAGATTTAGAATCACTCTGAACACAAAGAAAATCAGCTCACAGATAATGTGGCCAAAGCTGCCAGCACACCTGGTAGTGGCTCAACTAGGCAAAGCGTCGGAAGCTTCCTTCTGTTTTCCTTTCCTCAGCATACACGAACACTGACAGGCCAGCGCAGTCAGAAGGAAGGGAACCTGGGACCCGAGTGTGTACAACCACGTGCAGTTCTTCGAACGCCCCCTCCCATTCTTGAAATAGACCAGTCGCGTCCACTGCTCCTCTTTGCTTTGGCCTAATCAACTTGGGCTCTGATCCAGACCTTCGATCTGCTCTATTTTTATGTCAGTGTACACACCTATTCTGTACCTTAAGAAAAGTCCATTGTTACCAAAAGTCTAATGTTATCAACTGCTTGTATTCATACTGGCACACGTTTTATTAAAACATCAAAACCTCAGACACATAGCACACATGGAAAGGAAAACTTAACTCGTTGTTTATAAATATGATACATCCAAGGAGACTGCCTGAAGCCTAGTAATTAAAGCATGCCATGGAGTCAATGATTGTGGTGAAGACATAGCAAAAGAATTCTGTCACACACTCTCAAGACCTAACAAACTACGGTTCCCCCATTAGAAAACAAAACAAAACAAAACACTTTTAGATGTTAATAAGGCCCATCAGTAGAGACAAGATCAGGATTCTGAAGTAACATAGTGGAAAGACGGTAAGAGGCCAGGAATTTGGTTTCGCGCACATAAAGAGTGTGGCTCCGAGTAAGGCGAGGTGGGGGGAGGAAAAGGACACATCTGTTTCGGGGGTACATTTTCTTGTGACTTGCAACTGGTACTGGGTTGTTGGTTTTCTAGAAATCTCCACACATAAACAAGATCCACATGGACGTGGAGATCCAGCTGTTTCCCTGACTTAAAACACCACCTAAGATCATCAATTAAATCAAACCGGGCAAAAGATGGTGAGGTGACTAAGGGCATCCACTGTGCCATTTCAGAGGACAGAGAAGAGTAATGTCTTTATTTGTCTTAATATAATCTCTTTTCAGATCACAAATGAGTTTATAAACTACCTTCTTTCTGTATGTTTCCACCCCATCTCCTTATGCTCTCTCTACATGTTCTCTCTGCACTCGAAGCACTCAACTATAGTGAGACATTGCCAAGAATTTCTTTAATTTAGCTATTTTCAAACAACCTTCATTATAAACTATATCTATAGCTGTAGCTGTATTTATGTAGTTATATAATGGTAACGGCAGTGTGGAAGGGTAAGCAAAGCCAGGAATTCACTTGCTGAGATTTTAATTCTTAAAGCTTCTCTTGTAGAAGGATTTTATACTAGACAAAGAAAGAAAGAATTGTGTAGTCTGTTTGCCTCCTAGAGTTAGCTGGTAGTAAGTTCTTAAAATGTAAACACACTTACATTTGTTATATTTGCTATTGAATGATTAAATTAGGCCTGAAATTAACAGACCTTGGTAAGTAAACAGCGTTTGGAATAAAAATATAAATAGAACAAGTCATGGATTTGCTTCTTTTCTAGTTTGCTGAAACATAACTTATGAGTGTGCACACACATATATTTTGCCCACAAAACAATCTATCTTTTCACAGGCTTAAATTATAGCCATGGCTACTAAAGTGACAAGAGAGAGCATTTGACAACATGCAACCTTCCAATTCTCCATTATAACATTAGCCAATAAGAATCAAGTTTGAATTTGTTTTTCCCTTTCAAAAAAGTTCCAATTAAGATCAGTTGAGTGCAAAACTAAGTGCTGTCAAGTTCCAAATTCAATGCCATTTAGAAAATTGTAACCACATGTGGTATTTTCAATAGGAAAGTTAGTTTCTGTGCAGGCTGCCTGGGACTGAAGCACTCTGTCCCTATTTCAGTTGTCCCTTCCTGGCACAACATACCAAATGCCATCCCAACCCCGACTCAGAGCAAACTGATCAGACTACATAAGAAAATATCTACTTATAATTTTTAAATATATACAGTCAGCTCAAAAACAAAACAATAAACCCCATTAACATGGTCCAGATAAAATCTCCATCTGTAGTCATTAATCTTTCACTAAATCAAAACAAGAAAGTAACTTAACTCATCTATCCCAGTACCTGTATTCATTCAACTAATAAGTCCTGCCCAAGACATGAAGATCAAATCAAATTAGGTTTCTGAGCCAAGATTATTCTAAACCATAACCACAACCAAGCTATGAAAAGCAAGTCAACGAGGGTATTTCATGGGCAATGTAGGCTTATGGTGGTGTTTCCTAATTTTTTTTTTTAATGCCCTAACCTAATGTACCCCTCACTTCAAATCATTCCCAATCATTTTTAACACCTCTCAAGGCTCTCAAATACAGACACAGGGAAGAGGAATAATAAATAGCTAGAGAACTTGATCACCACTTCATTTGTATAAGAAAACCAGTTATTTTCAAAAAAGAAAAAAAAAAAAAAGAATAAAAAAAGGAACTACCCAGTAGAAATAAAACATAAAAAGCTAGCTTTTAAAACAAATATTTCCTCTGCTCTATACTACTCTTGCGTATCCTACCACCATACCATTTGGATCTTTTATTAGAGTAACATCTAAGTAAGTGGTAGGAAGTAAAGCTTTTATCAGTAGTTAAGCAAAAGTGTGGGGGCCGTTTATAATCCAAAAATTCAAAATTTTAGAAGAGGTTACTATGTCAGAATACATCCAAGTCTTAAGAGTGGGGCTGGAACTCTTTTACGGCAATTTTCCAGAAAAGGTGTTGCATCTTCTGTGACAATGAACTACACTGTTTCTTCCCTTGAAAACCTGCTAACAGTTTTTTCCCTACCTCTGAAGAGTGATCTGTTTACAATAAAAAACCAGAAACAGTACTGAAGGTTTTATATTGCTATACTTAACTCTGTATGAGCCTAATGATCCCTGGGCTCACAGAATTATTTTTTGGACAGAATTCTACTCTCAAACTCATCCTTTATATAGTTTCACAAGCTGCTGAACCAAGCTGCTTATGTCAGGTGAGCAACTAATGCAGCAATTAATGTTGCACCCCCTTTAACCTCAACTCGAAGCACCTAAAAAGTAGGATAAATATATTATGCACCTTTATATATTAGTTCTGGGGATTACCTAAACCGATCACACTTGAATTCCCACTCTGTTGTAAGGGCAAAGCCAGGCAGCGGGAGGTTAAATGCTAAGCTCTCTCGTACACTCATGCACTTAATTCACACTGTAGCAGGGCTTTCAGCTTAGTGGTCCAGAGTTTTAGCTTTAACACTAGAACACTCCTCTTGTCCTCTCGGAGAGACAGAGATCCTAGTATTCCTCCTTATCCCTAAGTATCCTTGCTGGGGAGTCCCAATGGGGACAATATTATTTTCCTACCTTTTAAAGTTCTGATTGAACTCTGTTAGGATAATGCTTGCTCCATTCTATCTTCACCACTGTAATATAGATGATTTACAATGAACATACTGTTGTGAAGGAATCTTTTTAAAGAAAATATAAAGTGTATAATAAATACCAAATGTGGGACCATAACACATTCCAAGCACCAACAACCATCCATTTCTAGGGACTACATGTAAACAGCAAAAGCATTACAAGTCCATGAATTTTTAAAAATTAGCCCCCCAAGTCAGGTGGCAGAAATGCACCTCCTTTGCAAGGAGGACAAACTGTCATTAGTGTAACATGGAGAGCTTATTTTCCAGTGACCTTTACTAATAAGAAACACATGAAAAATTAGAAATTTGAGTGAAACTACTCAAGGAACATAAAAGCCAAATGTCAACTGATATGTACATCTGTACACATCGCTCAGGTGAATGGATTCTTTGACAACTTAACTTCTTCTCTAAACTGCTGTGCTACTGATTTTGAGCAGGCATACTCTGGTGGCTCATCCTAACTCTTTAAGGCTCCATTCATTCCACATATATGTTTGTATGTACATATATATATTTACAACAAGAATTTCCAAGACAAAAGAAGTGCTACTCTTGTAGGAGAAAAGAAGAAAATCAATTATAGAGGTGAGACCAAAGTTTCCATAAAACAATTAGCATGGAGCATTCCACATAACTGCAATTTTCGCCTTTTGGTTTGGCCCTGAGCTGTTTGTTGCTCCCGCATCAAGTAGAGTTCTGACTTCTCCGCAGGTGGAGGAGGGAAGGTGGGTGACAGTAAGAGAGAGTATGCAGTGCACACTGCCAACCCAGCAGGCTGTTCCTCATGAGGCCTGGCGAGTCTTCCCCACTTCCATGCTGAATGCCTGAGAGTTCTTTTCTGTTTCCAGCAGCTCATCAAAGACCTCCCTTAAAATAAAACAAAAAAATAAGCATTCAGTGAGCAAAGCCAAAGGATATGCAGAAAATATACTGATAAGCCTGCATAATACCATTTGGTGCCTAAATTTTATAAAATAAGCAGCTTTTATTTGATCACCATCTTAACCCCAAGTGCTGATTTTTGAAAACATTAGGAGAGGAGGCTGGCAAGAGCCAGCTTTCATAAAAATGTTATGTAGTTTCCATCGACATAATGCAGATCTTCTAGCTGACACAACTAGAAGACCAAAAAGGCCTATGATAAGACAGCTCCTATCAAAACAGTCTTAAGTTCCAATACCTAGATGCTACTATGTGATGAGTAATTAATGCTGAATTAAAGGAGAAAATATTCTGGACTTATAAGGAAATAAAACACGAGCCCTAAGGAAAGATAACAAAACAAAGTATTATCAACCAATTAAATAATGGGAACATTTTATTCTTAGGAAGAAAAGAGAGTTGGGTAATTTTTAACCCGTGTCTTTAGGTCTGGGAGTTTCTTACTTGTGCATATAGAAGAAGATGTAACCACTCCGATCCCGATCGCTCTGCACAGAAGCCTCTTGGATTTTAGATACCTCTAGGTCATTGTAAGTAAACCACGCCTGCTTCTTAATGTCATACACATCACTAATGTAATGACCTGAAATAAAAAAAATTTTAAATTGAAGTCTATAAAAATTCTTTGCATTTTTCTCAGTTATAGGAAGTTTCAGAAAGAAAGAGAAACAGCTATCCCATCTACCTTACTCCTATAGAAATTTCTAAAAATCACTAAAAAAATAAGTAGAAACATGTAAGGTGAAAATATACTATACCATGACAACTTTTTGACAAAAGACTTCAACGTTTTTCTTGATGCATTCAACTTACACCTCACAAAGTGAGGTACACAATAACCTAGTAAGGAATAAATACTGGCTGTCCATTTATAAAATGCTGAAATCATTTTGTCCACTTACCTGAAGAAGAAGTGCTACCAATGTGACTGACAACACTGATGAGCCGATAGGAATGAGGAAGATATCCTGTCTGGAAAACAGAAGTAGGTATGACTTTTAACTCCTCATTGAATAAAAAGCAAAACGCTAATTTTAAATTTATTACCAAAGCTGACATAGCTAAGTTTTAGTGTGTGTGTAGTCAGATTCAATAAAATATCCAGTGGCTGGTATTGTTCATATTCTTTGATCCAAGAATTCTATTCCCAACAAGAATATATTCTAAAAAAATAATTCAAGCCCAGCTGGTGTGGCACAATGGCTGAGCATTTAACCATGAACCTGGAGGTCACGGTTTGATTCCCAGTCGGGGGGAGGAGGGCATATGCCCAGGTTGTGGGCTCAATCCCCAGTGTGGGGCATGCAGGAAGCAGCTGATCGATGATTCTCTCTCATCATTGATGTTTCTCTCTCTCTCTCTCTCTCGCTCTAAAACCAATAAAAAAATATTTTTAAAAAATTCAAAAGAAGAGTACCTGTATAAATATAGCATTATCTTTCATATATATATATATATATATATATATATATATATATATATATATATAATTGATTTCAGAGTAGAAAGGAGAGGGAGAGATCATCTTTAATAACAAAAAATCGGAACTAACAATAGGCCCAATAATAGCTAAACCATTAGTGGTACAGCAACTCAATACCATATAATTTTAAATATATTTTTTTAATTGATTTTTTTTTTTTTTTTTTTTTGTAGAGAGGAAGGGAGAGAGATAGAGAGTTAGAAACATCGATGAGAGAGAGTCATCGATCAGCTGCCTCTTGCACACCCCCTCCTGGGGATATGCCCGCAACCAAGGTATATGCCCTTGACCGGAATCGAACCCGGGACCCTTCAATCCCCAAGCCGACACTCTATCCATTGAGCTTAACCGGTCCTGGCCAATACCATATAATTTAGCTATTTTAAAAATCATGTGAGTCACCAACGTATTACCTTGTTTTCCAAACCTACAAAAATGCACATAATAACCATAGTTCTATAAAAATAGGTATGTTAACCATTAAGTACTCAAAACAGAATAAAAAAATGAAGAGTTGCCCAAGCTGGTTTGGCTAAATGAATAGAGCAGTCAGACTACGGACTGAAGGGTCCCAGGTGCTATTCTGGACAAAGGCCCATGCCTGGGTTGTGGGCCCATGCCTCTCTGTGCGGCAGGCAGCCAATCAGATTCCCTCTCATCATTGCTGTTTCTCTCTTCCTCTCCCTTCCTTTCTAAAACCAATATATATGAACATTTACATTTTAAATATTTCTAAAAATGCTATTAAAATATTGTTAGCAAAGAAAATAAAACAAAAAATGAAAAGATATTCCTGCACCAAGGCAGCACTATTAGGTATAATTCTGGGAACAAATACAACTATATAAAAACCAGAAATCATTAAAATAGTCATAAACTTTGATGTAGTAATTGACTTCTAGGGATTTAGAGAGAGAAATCCTAAATATAGAAAATGTTACAATAATTCAGTTCCTTAATGTATGTTTTTTACACCGAAGAAACAGAAACAACATAAATGCTCAATGTTAAGAATAAAGTAAAATAAGATGAAAGATTCCAATGCATTCTAGTAACATTATTACTTTTAACAGTTTTTACAGTTTCGGTAGAACTAAAAGAAATTTAATATACCATGTCACTTGGTTTTACCTAACTGCACATAACGTAGTCAAGATGTATTTCTGTTTTTGTTCCATTTTGTTTTGAATCTTGGCAGAAATGAGGAGCAGAGGACAAGAGAAAGTGAAGACAACTTGCTGGTTACCAGAGGGGCAGAAATGCACCTCAATAGGGCCCATGAAGATGAAAAGCAGGAGCGATACTGACTGACAGACCAATGCTACCTACAGACCAATGTCACCTACCTCAGCGTTTCTCTTCAGCTCCTCAGCCTCAGCTTCTGTGTACTCCATGTCTAACACATCCTCATTCCCAGAGTCTTCATCAGAGCCCAGTGAGTCCAGAAAGGAGTTGTTAAACTCTGAGGAACACAAAGACAGAGTCTTATAAAATTTCTTGGAATAGACACAAAAAGATGATTAGGAAGCAAAGAACAATGTGGGTACACATTTTATCATCCAATTCACCCAGCCAATTCTGGGGACCAATAACTCAGGTTAAAAAAAAAAAAAAAAAAAAACTCAGGTAGCTAGTATCTGTAAAAGAAATGCTACTTTTCCTTTTAAATATATCTATATGAAAGGCATATAACTCACACAAAGACTAAAACTGAAGAGGAGAATTTAACTTTAAAGAGATCCAATTGTATTAAATCCTATTTTATATAAATAATTTTGAAGTACATGGTGCATATTTTAGGCAACACCAGCAAATATAAATTATCTCAGAGACCATAAAAAGGTCACTATCCTTTTATTCTCTTTAATATTAAATCATTTTCTTGAAATTTAACAAAAATAAAGTAAATTCAACCTTTAAGTCTTAAATTTACCTTACACAAACAAATCCAAGATCCATTTAAAAAAATTTTTTATTGATTTCAGAGAAGGGAGGGGGAGAGAGAGTGTTAGAAACATCAATGATGAGAGAGAATCACTGATTGGCTGCCTCCTGCACACCCCCTACTGGGGATCGAGCCCGCAACCAAGGCACCTGCCCTTGACCAGAACCTGGGACCCCTCAGTCCTCAGGTCCATGCTCTGTCCACTGAGCCACACCGGTCAGGGCCCATTTTTTCTTTAAATGATAAATCTATCCTTAAATAATCACAGGAGCATTTGTGCATAAATGGATCTCTGCTCTGAAATATATTTAATTACACTAAAATCACAGAACAGAACTGTTTATTTTATTAATATATTTTATTGATTTTTTTACAGAGAGGAAGAGAGAGAGATAGAGCTAGAAACATCAATGAGAGAAATATCAATCAGCTGCCTCTTGCACACCCCCCATTGGGGATGTGCCCACAACCAAGGTACATGCCCTTGACCAGAATTGAACCCAGGACCTTTCAGTCCGCAGGCTGACGCTCTATCCACTGAGCCACACCGGTTTTGGCAGAACAGAGCTGTTTAAAGCAGCAGCTGATAACCATTGGAACCTCGCAGACCACCAGTGTCCACAGACCACCGGTCTAAAGGACATGAACTCCTAAGAATGGGAAGAATAGAAAAAAAGACTTGGCCTCAACATCCTGGAATTTGAAAGTAGATGGGTGGCAGATCTGAGAAAGCCAAAGACAAATCCTAAGCAATAATGGAAAAATTGAGAACCATTCAATTTATAATCTTCAAAATCTTCAAAAGACATACAACTTGGAAATACCAGGTATCTCTGGAAATAGAGGCTAAGTAGGGGATAAAAATAACGATTAGATGAAAGTTATTTGAGAAACAGACTCCCAGGATCCACTGTACCCTACTTGCTGCTGCTAGAACAAATGAAACCTGTGGAGAAGGTAAAACAGTCTCTGGAGCGTGCAGGCAAAGGGGAGGCTATGTGAACCACACTGCGAACAGCATCCAGGTGACAGCCTGCATTCTGAAGGGCGTGCTTACCCCCGCCTCAGTCCTATTCTTAGACTTGCCTTTCAGAGCTCTGGCAGCCACATATTTCATCTCTAGGCAAAGGCAAGAAATTAGAACACTCTTTAGGAATCTGAGCAGCCCAAAGAAAGGATAAAATATTAACATCATCTCCAAACAGTCCCATCCTGTAAAATTCAAAAGTTGACCATGCCAGTGATTCATGTGTTCAGAGTATCCAATCATCTTTTTAGTTTCCTATTCTTAAACATAAGCTGACAATCAAGGATTATTAGATATCCGAGGAAAGTCTCTAATAAGAAATATAAAGACCATAATAAACAGTACAGAGCAATCTGGAAGAGATGGGATCTATTCAGCTATAGTAAACTTGAAATAAACAAACAAATGAACTATATTTAATATTCTCAGAGAACTGAGATGGTATTATTTCCAAACCAAAACAAACAAAAAATTACAAAAAAAGGAACATTCACAAAACAAATCAGTTTTTAAAAATTAGAAAAGTTTTAGAGTTGGAGATAAGGATGGAAAAACTTTCAAGAGGGAGAGTAAAATGACAAGATGAAAACAACCTGAAGAGATAAGAAAATTAAAAGGACTATACTAGAAAGTCTGGATAATATGAGTTCCAAAGAGAAGAGAAAGAGTGGAAGAGAGGAAATCAGTGAAAATTTCTTAGAATTCAAAGATACATTTCTAGATTAAAATGATTCATCAAGTGCCCTACCAAAATGATGAAACAGACACACATCAAGGCACATCAGTGTGAAACTTCATTACAACAAAAACAAAGAGAAGATACTATAGCTTTCAGAGAAAAGAGGTCACATCAGCATAAAGAACAAACAGCTTTAGACTTTTCACACAGCAACCCCGCAAACCAACTTCTCCCACTGCCCAGCAGCATGAAGTTGGCGGGAAACAATGTTTTCACAATGACTGCAAAACTGAAATTCTATATTTAGCCAGACTACTAATTAAATACTAGAGTAAAATAAAACTTGCAAGGTTTAAAAAAAAACCTGTCATATCTCCTCTGTATCAAGAAAACTACCTGGGGGTGTTCTCTATCAAAGCACAAATAAATCAAGAAAGAGGACTAGTGAGCCAGGACCGGTTTGGCTCAATGGATAGAGTGTCGGCTTGGGGACTGAGGGGCCCCGGGTTCGATTCCGATCAGGGGCATGTACTTTGGTTTCGGGCATATCCCCAGTGGGGGGTGTGCAAGAGGCAGCTGATCAATGACTCTCTCTCGTCGATGTTTCTGACTCTCTATCTCTGTCCCTTCCTCTCTGTACAAAATCAATAAAACATATATATATATATATATATATATATATATATATATATATATATATATATATATATAAAAGAGTTCCTTAAAAAAAAAGAAAAAAAGAAAGAGGACTAGTGAGATACAGGCAATGGGAAATTCAAAGAGCAAAGAACCAGAGGAAGCTCCGAGGAGAATGATTAGGGTGATCTCAGGATGGCAGTGCATGCACGTAGAGGGCAACCAGTGCAGACTGGAGCAATTGGACTCTACACAGCCATCACCACCACCATGGTACCATCTTTTTAATCTGAGAATAGAATGCCTGGTGAGCTTAGCTTGAATTCTTATTGTAATAGTTTCAACCATGTCCCAAATTCTTGCTCTTTCATGCATGTCATGGTGTCTAGACCAATCTTTCTCATTTTATACCATCAAAATGTTTTTGCTTTGATCTATTTCTGAGTTGGAGGAAGACCACAATAATCTTAGAAACAGAAAATACAGACTTAGCTCACTTCCTGTGGTTACATGTCCCTATGGGAGGGCAGCACCTGGTTCATATATTAGCTCTGGCAAATGCCTTAACTATGGTGAACCTTACTCTTTTGAATACTCACACATAACTGCCCACTGATTTTCACAGTGAGCTCTTGTAAATTCCTGGGGAACCTGAAGCCACCTTATTTTCTCCCAGAAGTCTTAACAGGGGGAGTTACTGCATTTTCATATAGATAGATTACAGCCACCTATCCTATTTAATTTTTTCAAAATCAAAAAAAGCAAACTATTAATGAATACAAATGTTAGAATCGTGGTTTCTTTTAGGAGAAAGGAGGAAAAAAGAGGAATCCAGGTATCTTTTAAGATTCTATTTCTTTACCTGAGAGGTGTTCAAATTTGCTATTGTTATTAAAAATAAATTTTACATGCTTTTCTGTGTGATTCACGTCACCATTAAAAAAAAATAATTAAAATAATCTCCACACCTTGAAGACTTAACTCTGTAGCTCTTTTGAGGTCATCATCTTCTTTCTGTTCCCAAGCCTCCTAAAAAGACAAGAATAAAACTAAGGCACTTAAAAGAGGTACCGGTTAAACTTATTTAGTGATGATAAAAATCAGTTGCTCTAGAAATATTATTAGTAATATATTACCTAATTTCATGGATGTTTGGAACATGACCTATTGAAGGATGTGGGAAAGTTCTTTACTTTTTCCTACACTGTCTCCTAAAACAAAACCTGGGGGATTAAAATCGCTTAATTGCTATCTCTTCTAGTCAATGACATTTGGTTTGCTAACCAAAAGCCATTCAATGTGACATCCATACTAATAAAAGCCTAGGTGGCGTCTCACACTCATGTCATCACAAGATGGCCACCCCCACAATGTTACAAGATGGCCACCATAAGATGGCTGGCATGGGAGGGCAGTTGTGGGCAAAAAGGCCAGTAGGGGAGGGCAGTTAGGGTCAACCAGGCTGGCAGGAGAAAGCAGCTGGAGATCAGGCCAGCTGGCGAGGGCAGTTAGAGGCGATCGGGCCTGCAGGGAAGGGCAGTTGGGGGTGATCAGGCTGGCAAGGGAGGGCAGTTAGAATACAGAAAAGCTGGTTTTTAAAGAGTTTTAAAGTAGCACTTCTTGCCGAAACCGATTTGGCTCAGTGAATAGAATGTTGGTCTGCAGACTGAAAGGTCCCAGGTTCAATTCCGGTCAAGGGCACATACTTTGGTTGCGGGCACATCCCCAGTAGGAGGTGTGCAGGAGGCAGCTGATTGATGTTTCTCTCTCATTGATGTTTCTAGCTCTCTAACCCTCTCCCTTCCTCTCTGTAAAAAATCAATAAAATATACTAAAAATAGCCGAAACTGGTTTGGCTTAATGGATAGAGCGTTGGCCTGCGGACTGAAAGGTCCCGGGTTCGATTCCGGTCAAGGGCAAGTACCAAGGTTGCGGGCACATCCCCAGTAGGGGGTGTGCAAGAGGCAGCTGATGGATGTTTCTCTGTCATCATTGTTTCTGACTCTCTATTCCTCTCTCTTCCTCTCTGTAAAGAAGAATCAATAAAATATATATATATTAAAAATAAAGTAGCAGTTCTCAACCTTGGCTGCACATTAGAATCAAAGGGATGCAGCTAAAAGAAAAAAAAAAGAAAGGAAAAAAAAAAAAAGAAAACTAAGAAATCTAGCCCTGACTGGTTTGGCTCAGTGGAGGAGCGTCGGCCTGAAGACTGAGGGGTTCCAGGTTCGATTCTGGTCAGGGGCATGTGCCTTGGTTGCAGGCACATCCCCTGTGGGATGTATGCAGGAGGCAGCTGATCAATGTTTCTCTCTCATCGATGTTTCTAGCTTTCTATCCCTCTCCCTTCCTCTCTGTAAAAAAATCAATAAAACATATTTAAAAAAAAAAAAGCACACAAAAAACAAACAAACAAAAAAGCCTAAGAAATCTAGATGCCCAGACCACAGGCCAGATCAATTACTTCAGAATTTGAGAGGCAGAATAAGCCAGGCATCAGTATTTTTTGAACTCCCAGGTTAATATTACCTGTGCAGTTAAGCTTAAGATCCACTGTTTTAGAGAAATTAGATTTCTTATTTAATAATTTCTTAAAATATGTTTTTGATTTTAGAGAAAGAGGAAGGAAGAGGGATAGAGAGATAGAAACATCAATGAGAGAAAAACATATATTGACTGCCTCCTGCATGCCCTGTATCGAAGATCGAGCCCACAACCTGGGCACGTGCCCCAACCAGAATCGAACCAGTGACCTCTTGGTTCATGGATTGACACTCAACCACTGAGCCACACCAGCCAGGCAAAATTAGATTTCTTAATCTGTTTGTAAACACTAAAACTATTCATTTATTCTAGGGAGTCTTGTTAAACTTTTATTAATTACATGACTTGGATTACATACGATTAGAAAAGAATGAAAACAACACTTTTCAGATGTCAGATATTTTGATGTCTTGTCAACACAAGTCAAATACCTTGATGACTGCAACAGTGCAAATCATACAACTTTGGCAAATATAAATATAAAGAACTAAAAATTAGCCCTATGTGTTTTGGCCCAGTGGACAGAGTGTTGACCTGCGGACTGAAGGGTCCTGGGTTCGATTCTGGTCAAGGGCATGTTCTGGGGTTGCAGGCTAGATCCCTAGTGGGGGACATGCTGGAGGCAGCCAATCAATGATTCCCTGTCATTGTTGATGTTTCTGTCTGTCTCTCCCTCTCTGAAATCAATAAAAATATATTTAAAAAATTTTTAAAATAGGAAAAAAAAGAACTAAAAATTAAAGAACAGAATCTATAATAAAAGTGTAATAATATGCTAATTAGACCAGATGACCTTCCAGCCGAAGCTGGGCTGTGAAGGAAGGCTTGGTCCCGGGTGCCAGAGGGAAGCTGGTGCTGGCAGGCGGGGGAAGGAAGGCCTGCTCTTGCATGGATTTCGTGTATCAGGCCTCTAGTATATATAAAGAACAGATAAATGTTAGTCTGTGACTAAAATCTGAATTTCAGATATTTCTAAGAATTTTCTGTTCAAACAATAGGAAATAAAGTTTCCATGCTTGCAAATAAAATTGGATTGGGATAATCTCTAGTAACCCATCTTGCTTTAGCATGCAATGAATTATTGTAATAGAAGGTAACCAACAATATATTTTGTTGCATTTGGATTTTCAAAAACTGAAAAATTACCAAAGTGTCTTTTTCAAAACCAATGCAAAGCCCCAAGGTTTTTATTGTTTTGGTGGATCATGACATTGTATTCATATCATGTGGAACAATGCCTGATACATAGTAAATGTTTAAAACATGTTGGTGGCCGAAACCAGTTTGGCTCAGTGGATAGAGCGTCGGTCTGCAGACTGAAAGGTCCCAGGTTCGATTCCAGTCAAGGACATGTACATTGGCAGCTGGTCAATGTTTCTAACTGTCTCTCTCTCTCCCTTACTCTCTGTAAAAAATCAATAAAATAGATTAAAAAACAAAAACAAAAAACACGTTGGTGGTTGTTGTTGTTATTATATTATTATTAGTGCCCCAGTGCACGGATTCATGCACATTCAAATTAATTAGAAGGTGGCTTGCCGAAACCGGTTTGGCTCAATGGATAGAGCATTGGCTTGGGGACTGAAGGGACCCTGGTTCGATTCCGGTCAAGGGCATGTACCTTGGTTGCGGGCATATCCCCAGTAGGGGGTGTGCAAGAGGCAGCTGATCGATGACTCTCTCTCATCGTTGTTTCTAACTATCTCTCTCCCTTCCTCTCTGTATAAAATCAATAAAAAAAATATATTAAAAAAAATAATTAGAAGGTGGCTTGTTGGGTGGGACTGGATGAGACGGACCAGACTTATCCTAGAGCCAACCTCCTAAGGTCCTTCCCTTCCCCAGCAGGCCGCACCTGGAGATAGGAGGGCATCTATGGAGTGAGCGGGGGTCCCTCCAACAAGAGGGGTCCCTCAGCCTGGCCTTCAGGGATCAGGCTGAAACTGGCTTTCTGACATCCCCCAAGGGGTCTTGGATTGCAAGAGGGCAGTTCTTGGGTAATACCCAGGAATTGGGCTCCCTCCTCTCTGGTTCCAAGGTGTGTCACCCAAGCACCACAGCTGCCAAGTCACTGCAGTGGGCAGCTCCTATGCTGAGTGTCTGCACCTTGGTGCTCACTGCATGTCAGAGCTACCGGTGGGACAGCTGCACAGCCTTTTACACATGTAGATTACTACTACTACTACTATTCTAGTTCTTGGGAAAGACAAGGATGAAGAAAGTAGCAATATAAATCTTACTTGCTCCTGGAGGCTCTGAGCCAAAGCCTGCTGAAGCTCTTGCTCTTCCCTTTCACGGTCCACATCATACTGCTGAAGCCAATCAACCTCTCCTTGAGGTCCTTCTGGGGTTTTGTTTTCTTTATTCTCATCACAGTCTTTAGTTATCTCAGTAAAACTGGCTGGATCTGAGGAAGCAGAACAAAACATAAGTGGGAAATCCTAATAAACTGGAATCTCTGGACTAGAGTGACATCTACTGTTCAGAGAGTAATTTACCCCAACCTCACACATAGCTTGCTTGGGATATTCAATGTCATCTTACTACATGTAGACTAGGGTTTCTCTATCTAAGAACTTTATTGATATTTTGGGTGGTACATTTTTGTTGTTGTTGGGGGGGCGGCTGTTCTGTACATTAAAGAATGTTTAGCAACATCCCTGGCCTCTACTTACTAGATGTCAGTACTACCCCTCTCTCTAGCTGTGACAACCAAAAATAGCTAATAACGAGCTTTCCCCGTTTATTATAATGTGTGTTAAATGAGTGTTTTAGAATTAATAATCAAATAAGCCTTATACATATTCTGAATCAAGAGTTACACAGTACTGGCTGTGTGGCTCAGTTGACTGAGCATTATCCCCTGCACCTAGAAGTCGCCAGTAGGATTCCCAGTCATGGCACATGTTTAGATTGTGAGCTCAATCCCTGGTAGGGAGCATGCAGGAGGCACAGCTGATGGATGTTTATCTCCCCTCTGATCCCTTCTCTCTCTAAAAAAATCAATAAAATCACATTAAAAAAAAAAAAGTTCCATAAAGTATGTAATAAACATCTCATGTATTACACAAGTATATGACGACATATATATTTAGAATATTTGTTCAAGGAGATAAAAAATTAACCATCAATTTCTTTCCGTTCTTGTAGACGAGGGGTAGGGAAATTCTGGCCTGCGGGCCATATAACTTTTATATTGTACATTAGACAGGTTCATCTCATACTTCCCATTATTTAGAAGCCATTTGTCGCTATGATTTTGAACATAGTTATGCCTTATTTAACAGCTATCTTCATTAAACCTACCTGGTTCTGTGACTGTTTTGGGTTTCTCAGTTTCCATAGGATCTGGATTTTCAGGCATTTCTTGAATATCATCCTCTGCAAATCCAGTATCTGGGCTGCTGGTTGGTTTATCATCATCTTCATGACTCAGGGATGGTGAAGCTTCTCTCTTACTTATCTCTAAAACAGCTGCTAAAAGCTCTTCTTCACTCATTCCATCAAATTCCGAGTTTTCCAATTCAGACTTATCAGGCTCTATTCTGCATGATTTTGAATCCTGAAATAGAGAGTTACTTTTAGAGGAAACCTGAATGACTACAAATTTAGCAATCTTAAGAGTTTAAAGTGAGAAGTTTATTTTTATTTCTAAAAAGTTTCCTTTCTTTGATGCTCTGGGTTCAGGTCTTATTCTTTTTGAACAAATGAATAAAATAAAAAATACTTATAAATATTTATAAAAAATAAACATATATACACATATAAAATCAAACAGTTGGACAAGATAATGCAAACTCCCAGAAAAGCTTGTATCTTCAAAATATTAACTATCATTATGTGTCAAGATAGGAAATAATATAGTTATGCTTTCACACACATTATTTAAACTTTTAGTTTATGTGGTTAGTCTGTTGATGTAAAACATTTACTCTGGTTCCATCGTATTAACAATTAGTACCAAAATAAAGCAAGTAATTGTTTGAGGACCAGTATGTAAAAGCTTTGAAGGAAGCCCTGTCTGGTCACTCAGTCAGAGCCTTGTCCCGATATGCCAAGGCTGTGGGTTCAATCTCTGGTCAGGGCGCATTAGGAATCACCCAATGAATGCATAAATGAGTGGGACAACAAATGGATTTTTTTCTCTCTCCCTTCCTCTCTCTCTCTAAAAATCAATATATAAAACATTAAAAATAACATAAAAATAAAAGTAGCTTTGAAGGTTTACAGGAGAAAGCAATTTATCTACAACTTTCATTTCTTAAATCTCAGTCTTATAAACAACCTAAGTGTCTACTGATGGATAAATGAGTAAAGATGATGTAGTATACATACATCTTATTTAGCCATAAAAAAGAAGAAAATCTTGACATTTTCAACAACATGGATGGCATTATGCTAAGTGAAAAAAGTCAGAAAAAGACAAATACCACAAGGTCTCACTTACTAGTATATGTGGAATCTAAGACAAACAAACAAACAAACAAAATCCAAGCTCATAGATATAGAGAAGATTGGTGACTGCTTGATGAGGGTGGTGTGTGTGTGTGTGTGTGTGTGTGATATATATAAAATGGGTGAAGGGGGTTGAAAGGTATAAACTTCCAGTTATAAAATAAATATGTCCTAGAATGGTAATTACAGTTAATAATCTTATATTGCATATTTAAAAAATATTTTTATGGATTTCAAAGAAGAAGGGAGAGGGAGAGATATAAACATAAATGATGAGACAGAATCATTGATCAGCTGCCTCCTTCATGCCCCCTACTGGGTATTGAGCTTGCAACCTGGGCACGTATCCTGACCAAGAATTGAACCCGAGACCTCCTGGTTTATTGTTCGATGATCAACCACTGAGCCATACCAGCTGGGCTGTACTGCATATTAAGAGTTGTAAAGAGAGAAAATTTTAAAAGTTCTCATCACAAGAAAAAAATTCTTTTGGGCCCTAGCTGGTTTGGCTTCATGAACAGAGCGTCAGCCTGAGGACGGAAGGGTCCCGAGTTCGACTGCTGTCAAGGGCACATGCCTGGGCTGCAGGTTTTCTCCCTAGAGGGGGGCGTGCAGGAGGCAGCCAATCAGCGATTCCTTCTCATCATTGATGTTTCTATCTCTCACTCCCTCTTTCTTCTTCTGTGAAATCAATAAAAAATTATTTGGGTAATTATGTATAGCGATGAATGTTAACTAGACTTATTATGGTAATCATTTCACAATATAAACAAATATCAAATCCTTATACTGTACACCTGAAATTAATACATTATGTCAATTACATCTCAATTGAAAAAGTCTCAATCCAACTTTAAACTCGCACATTCTAAAACTAGTGTTGGGGACTTTCAGTCAAGATGGCAGTGTAGGTAAACGCTGTATCTGCACCCTCCCACAGCCACACTGAAATGACAACTAAACTACAGAACAACTATCACCCAGAACCACCCGAGGTCTGGCTGAATGGAAGTGCTAAACTAGGGAATTAAAGAACAAGTCACATAGACTGGTAGGACTTGAGATGTGGAATGGGCTGGCCCCACACCCTCGCGTTACAGATAAAAATCGGGAGGGATATCTCAGCTGCAGAGGTGCCACCTGAGGAGTGAGGGGTCCCAGCCCCACACCAGGTCCTCCAGCTCAGTGGTTTCAGTGCCAGGAAGAGAAGTTGTCATAACTTCAGGCTATAAAAATCAGCTGGGATTGAGGCTGAGGGAGAGGGAGGGCTGCTGGAGTCCCAGGCAGTCTCTTAAAAGGCCCATATGTAGACTTACTCAGATTCACTCCCACTTGGGAGCAGCCTGAAAGACATCAGAGACTATAGGAGGAACCGACTGCCTAGCATCAAGGTGAGAGCTTGAGGGATGGAGGAAAGAAAAGGCAGCTTTCTCCCAGATAGAAATGCTGACAGAGTCCATTGTTCCTTTGATGAGCCCTCCCCACACAGAGCAGGCAGGCAGGCGCCATAACTGAGACTCCCTCAACCTGGCTCACACAATTTGCCTACCCTAGTTATTCCCTAAGACTTTCCCCCCCAAACTTGCAGCCCACCCAAGCTGTTTCCAGTGGCTTTTCTATATGAATGGCATATCTTGGCTCATGCTTTCCTAAACCCTCTCAAATATACATCTGGCCTCAGCATGCCCTGTATCTTTCATTGAGTGACTCTAGGATCAGGCTATGAATATATATCTATAGATATAAATACATATCTATCAACAATTAAATCTAAATAAACAAGCAGAACAGGTAAGGGAATACAGTCAATAATACTCTAATAACTATGTATGGTATCAGGTGGGTGCAAGATTTATTGAGACGATCACTTATTAGTAGTAAGCTATATAATGTCTAATCACTGGGGTGTACACCTAAAACTAATGTAATAATACACACATCAACTGTAATTGAAAAATAAAGAAAATGATTAAAAACCGCAACAACTGGTGTTTAAACAGACCCATTAAATTTATGATCTATCTTGTGTATTAAGTTTGCTGATGCTGGTTATAAAAGGCATTTGTTTGGCTACTAAGAGCTATACAAATCTTTGTCAGATATTCTGATAAGAAATTACTTACCTTTTCCAGATCTTCCTGCTGTTGCTCACAGGACATTTCACAGAATCTCTGGCTAAGGGCCACAGAGCGTTTTAGTTCATCTTCACTGTCTGAATCAAGGCTCAAAGCCAATGAGCTCTTGAATTTGAAGGGGAAATTCCTGTAATCCAAGGGGGGGAAAAACTATATAAGACTGATAAATAAACACTGTCCTAGTTATTTTTTTGAAACACACGTACCAAAATAAAACAAAAGCTTTTCCTCTATGGAAAATGTAACAGAAATAAAGATATATCAAAAAGTATACTTAAACATTATTACCTTTGCCCTGCTTCAGGAGTCATGCTTTGATAGACAGCTTTTATATTATGTCAGTAAACCAATCACTTCGTGCCTTTTTTCTTTTAATGATCAGCCCCAAAGAAGTTTATTATCTTTATAAAGCAAGTACAGTACTGAATGCATGCAAACATAGCAATGAATAAATGTGTTTGACAATAGAGTATGAGAACTAATTTTTAAAATTTTAATTTATGATCCATGTACTTTAAAATTAACAGTAACATTCCACTTATCCACTTATATGTAGGTCAGACATGTGGCAACCTCTACCTTCCAAAATACAGGGATTCAAAAGTAAGAAAAAGGCTTCTAAGGAAGGGAGCAGCTTCAAAGCCCAAGTACTTTACTCTTTGGGCCCTTCTTTCCCAGGAAATGTTGTATAACATAATGTAGCAAGTTCATCAAGAAATGAGAGCTAAGAAATGAGAGAGAATAACCACAAACAGGGCAATAAAGAACTATAAGTCATTTGATGTAAAGGTAAACCGTCTTCTAGGATAATGCCATCTGAGGGCATTATTATATTAAAACACAGTGCAATAACTGATACTCATGTTGATTCTAAGTCATTACAATATTTTAAATTATCTTCAGTATATTTTACTTAAGAATATAAGGACTTCTGTAAGGTTACAAACTATATAACCACCTAAAATGGTTAAAATTTTTTTTTAAAGATTAATGCTTAAAAAGGTAAGCTTTATTTATAAAAAAAAATTCAGTTATGAGGAATATTAAATATTCTTCAATGATACCAGATAAGTAAGGTGTTACTGTGTTGGCTTCCAAGTGAGCTGAAAATAAATTAAAGGAAAAAGTGGTAAAGGTCGAAGAGCACAAACTCTCTATGATGGAGGTTAACATAAATTCATATGCAATAATAAAAATATGTAAAATGGAAATTGGAAAAAAGGCAATTAATCTAAAGTGAAAACTGTACATAAACATATAGAATGATGGTACCAAGAAATAAGAGGCAACAGTGGAAATCAGGAGAACTGCATAGCAATGTAGATCAAAGAAAAGAGGCAAGTGGTCAGTGATAATCCCAAACATAGTCTGTGGCTGAGAGCAGCCAGGATACTCCAGCCGGCACACTTGAATAGTCTCCCATTATGTTTTCAAAGGGTTTTTTTTTTTTAAATAACTTAGAAATAGCCAATTAACAATCTTTTACTTCTCATTTCTGATTTAATGCTCACCAAGCAAAACTGAACATGTTAAATTTGGTTATCCACATGAATACTTTGTTGAATGAGGCTGACACCTGGCTACCAATATACCAGGGTCAAACGTGATGACAAAGGACACTGGGGAAAAGTATTCTGCTTCATAACTCAGCCTCTTTTAAGTTTGATCGGCATGACAGGTCTTCTAGGGCCTAATCATCCTTTATTGACCAACTCTCACATTCTCATACCAATAGACCCTGGAGAACAGATGACCATGCCAAGTATAATGATGCTCAATGAAACCATCTCTTTCTTGTCACTACAGTGATCTGGTACATAAAGAGTGCATTCCGTTATAGTTACTATATTCACAGAAGGCAGCTTGCCTGTAGTAATGAAAAATATTCATCCTGTAAATGCATCACTTGCTCACTTTCTAAGCAGCCAAGTGGTATTGCTCATTTGTATCTTGAGAACGGGCAAGAGTATTCATATCGGTACCATTTCTAGTCATGTTAGTCATCTGGTTTTAATTGCACTGAAAAATAATTAACAGGAGGAAAAGAAAATAGCAATTCCCAAATGTCACTTTATAGTTATATAAGCCCCCCCAAAGCCCTTAAACAACAAAAATGTCTCTTTTCTAGAAGTATTTTGGGACATCAAATTTTTAGAAAAACTAACTTAAAGACCAATGACAAGCATTTAGATATTTAGAATTGTCAAATCAGGAACTGTGGCTCTAGTTTAATCACAGAGGAGGTATATTTAAAAAAGTATTTGCGTCTCTTGGACAAACTTTTGGACTTAAGCAGAAAAGAAAAAAAAAGTAAAATATTTGTAAAGCAGGTACATTCCATGTTTGTTTTCTGTCTCTTTTCAGAATAGCTTCAGTTCAGTGTCTAGGACAAGAAGTCCCATATTGGCTAGTAAAAAGTAAAAAGATATTTTTATCTCCCATGTTATCCTTGAGGGATGGTGCTTTACACAACATGGGTTATTCCAGCCCTTCAATCCTTAAAATTCCTCATCATCAATCAATTTCTAGAGAAACAGGATGAAAATATTATGTATTAACAGATGATTTTAAATGTTTTAGAACAAAATTTTGAGAAGATCATCTGAAGTTGCTTCATTGTTAAAAACTTGTTATACCCAGATTATAGTTTAAAGCAGAATCAAGGAAATTCCAAAGTACAGTAATACAGAGCAGTTAACATGCAAAAATAGAAACAATAAAGAAAAGGGAGGGAATAATTTTGGTATTAGGGTAAGCCAAATCCTTAAAAATACAAATTTTGGGTACATAAGAAATATAACTCACTTTGAAGGTGTAGAAGGACTGGTAATGCAGGAATTCACCATTTGAGAGGCTTTCAATGGTCTAGAACTATCAGAAAATTAGAAAATATATAATGTATACAATTATATTATTAAAATATATTTAATTTACAAAATGAGTTATTCTGAACTATAGACCCTTATCTATCCTCTTGAAAAGCTAATAATTATACTACTTTTACTATCAATAGAGGCCAAAGGAGAAAACAAAATACTGTCTCTGGCCCAGCTGGTATGGCTCAGGGGTTGAACATCAACCTATGAATCAGGAGGTCATGGTTTGATTCCTAGTCAGGGTACATGTCCAGGTTTTAGGCTCAATTCCCAGTAGGGGGTATGCAGGAGACAGCTGACCAATGATTTTCATTATTAATGTTTTTCTCTCTCTCTCCCCATTTCCCTTCCTCTGGGGATATATATGAGGCCCGGTGCATGACGTTCATGCACCTGGGGGGAGGTGGTTGGACATCCTGAGGGGTCCTTAGCACTGCAATGGAGGCAGAAACCTCATGGAGCCAGGAGAGGTTCCTGCCGCAGCCACTGCACTTGCCAGCCATGAGCCCGCTGGCAAGCCTGGCTTCTGGCTGAGTGACACTCCCCCTTTGGGAGTGCACTGACCACCAGGGGGAAGCTCCTGCATTGAGTATCTGGTCATAGTGACGGTCATTCAGCCACTCGGTTGATTTGCATATTAGCCTTTTATTGTATAGGATGTGTGTGTGTGTGAGTGTAAATAAATAATACTATTTCTGGCCTCTCCTTTTTTGTAATTAAAAAAAAATTTTTTTCAGGCCTCTTCTTGATCTAATGACCTAAATAAATAGCATTAGAAACAAAGTCAAATGTAACACATAGGAAAAGAACAACTTGGGAAAAATTATCTTGTCTCAGTTCTTTACTTTTAAACAATAAAATAGTAATAGCTCTCATTTTTTGAGGACTTACTAGATGTCAGGCACTGGAGTAAGAATGCATGTGTTTCACAGCATTTAATGTTCACAACCACCTGATTATTTTCCCTATAGCTAAGTGAAGGAATCTGTCCAAAGTCTTAAAGCTATTAGAGTCAGATAGCTTGATTTCAGGCCTGGAATCATTCATAAGAGCCTACATTGATAAGTTGATATAGTACTACTGCGAGCCAAAAAGAGTAACAACTCTGTTAGTTGCATCAAGTAAAAAAAACAAACAACAACAACAACAAAAAGAACCACCCCACAAAACCACATCTATTTCAAAGAAAGGCCATAGGACAAAATCCAGAAACACTAAGAATCTCTGGAAACATGTTTTATTAGTATATCCATTAAGGTCTTTAATATATACTTATAAGATGTATACATTCCAATTATTAAACCAAGGAGAAATACATTTTTACAAAACAGTATTAATTCACATTAGCAAATGTTCATTCACTCTCTGAAATGTCTATTATTGCACTTTTCCAGTGTACTAACCATATGACTTTAAGAAAATTACTTAATCTCTTTTGGTCTCCTCTGTAAATTTAAGTGTTTAGACAAAATCTCTAAAGTCCTTTTCAACTCTAAACTTCATGACTCTCTCAAGCTAGAGTCCAAGCATAAAAAGGAACTACATTATATGGTTCCAAAGTAAGACAAGATGCAGAAGAAAGAGCAGTATTCAGAAAAGTCCTGAGGTTTTTCTAGCATTTTACAATGAAGCCAAATTAAAGGTTACTTCTTTTCTCATGTAAAAATTTCTAGGAGCCACTGAAGTTCTTTACTCCCATTGGTAATAACACATTTATGAAGACAAAATCTATTTTTGGGACCCCAGCATCATATTCAATATACTGTTTCCCAAATTTGCATGTCCCAAAGAGCCAGAAAGGCTTTTGGTAAAAATATTGATCCCCAAGTCCTATCTTAAAACTAATGAAATAGAACTTCTAAGAAACACAGAAGTTAGTATTTTAGTGTTCAGGTGATACATATGAGCATGCAAATTACGTTTATATTCCTAACATGTATCACACTGTTTTCTAGTGATCTAAAATCTTAAGAATATTACCTAAAGAGGTAACTTTTTTTAAAAAAATATGTTTTATTGATTTTTTACAGAGAGGAAGAGAGGGACAGAGAGTTAGAAACATCGATGAGAGAGAATCATCGATCATCTGCCTCTTGCACACCCCCTAGTGGGGATGTGCCCACAACCAAGGTACATGCCCTTGACCGGAATCGAACCTGGGACCTTTCAGTCTGCAGGCCGACGCTCTATCCACTGAGCCAAATCGGTTTTGGCAAAAGGTGACTTTTTATGAAAGGCAACTAATGTACTTGGAAAATTTTTGAATAAGCATTTTATTACTTCAACTGATAACAATTACTTCAATCGGGCAGTAATTTAACACAAAATCCCCAAATAAAACAAAATTAAAATGTCCTCGTTGGTCTGATTTTACCTGGGAGCTGTGTTAACTAGCTTAGTAGTTCTTTTGATCATTACAGCCTTTCCACATTATTATTATTTTAAGCCTTCCTACTTTAAAAGCAAAGGCAAAGAAATTCTCTCTAAAGGACTTACATTGCCATGTGCGCGCTCCAGCCGAGAGTGAAGGGTGGTTTTGTATTTTCAGTGCAATGAGACGACAGTGTCAGGTATCTTGGAATGATTACTTGCTGCCCAATCTTGTTGTTAAGTGAGAGAGTAATATTGAAGCTATATCGCTTCAAATGAAGAATGAGGATCCTGAAAACAGGAGATGATGACGTCACTAGTTTGTACATGATAAAGGCAGCTCTGCTATGCATGAAGAGATCACAGCAACTAACTGTGTTAAATAGCTCTGATTTAAAGAATACATCTGGTCAAACTAAAGAGTTGGCCGAAGAACCTTTACTGAATACCTGCTATGTGCTAGGCATTGTGCTAAATAGTAAGAATACAAATAAAACAGTGGCATTGGGTGGATTTAGGTAAAATACTTACAATGTTCCTAGAAAAACAAAGTACACACACACACAAAAACCCACCTCAGACAAGAACACTATATTTTTAAATGCTAATATGGATAACTGGGTTAAATTCTTAAATTATTTACTTCAGTGTTATATAGTTTTAAGCAATATGTGTTATATAACCACAGATAATTTTAATTAAAGCATTAAACAGCCCCTATATTGAATGGTACACCTTGTTTTTTGACAAGCTGATTTTTTTTCCTTGTTCATCCTTACCTGAGGATATTTTTTCCATTGATTTTTAGAGTGGAAAGGAAGATGAGAGAGAGAAAGAGAAACACTGATGTGAAAGAGACACACTGACTGTTGCCTATCACACGCACCCTGACAGGGGCCGGGGATCAAGCCTGCAGCCAAGGTATGCGCCCTTGCCCAGAATCAAGTCCAGGACCCTCAGGCTTACGCTCTGAGTCTAACCATTTTGCAACCAGCTAGGGTAACAAGATGATTTTTTACAAATAGTCTTATTTCTTTAGAACTTTCTATGAAAAAAGCTAAGACAAATAGAAAAGGTTTCTCTAAAAGTTCTACAAAATTTCATGGCACATCTGGTTTGTGGGTCTGAAAAGGCTTTTAGATCTGTGAAAACACTTTTTTTAATTGCTCCTGTGGCAACCTTTCATCTCTAATACAGATTATAATCTTTGCTTGATGGACTAGATATACTTCACAGTGCACAAGAACACTTTAACAAGTGAATTTCAGAATTTTTATGGGAATAAGCCTCACAAACACTGCAAAAATAATATCTGATTTATGGAGAACAGTTTCGTTTCTTACCATATACATCACAGAAGCCACAAACTGAAAAACCTATAAATTGAAGTTAGAAGCCACAAACTGAAAAACCTGCTAATTGAAGTTATCAACTGTATTTTTCTTTTAAAAGTATGCAAGAATTCCTAACCTTCACATTCACAAGTTGAGGTTAAAACACAAGGATACATCTGATGTGAATAAATTGTCTAATTTGCTCAGAATTATATGCTGACAATTAAAAATGTAAGCATTCAGAAGACTAACTGCAATACAAAACTAGTATCAGATGTCAAATATTTTGACTAACTTGTCAAAGAATCATATTATCTAATAAAGAGGAAATATGCTAATTGACCATCACACCCTCACAAAATGGCAGTGCCCACAGCCAATAAGGAGGTGATATGCTAATTGACCGACATGCCTTCAAAGATGGTGGCACCCACAGCCACAAGATGGTGATGTCCACTCCCCTCAGCCCTGCTGGGGCAGCAGACGCACAGCATAGCTGGGCCCACCCCTAGGTGGGTCTAGCTGCTCTGTGCTCCTGCTTCTGGAGTCCCCCAGTCCCCTCAGCCCCCCAGCCATCCAGTGTAACCAGGGCTGGCGAGGCTTGCGCTGCTGATAGTGGCAGCAGCAGAGGTGTAATGGGGGAGTCACCTTCCACTGGTCGCTAGGTGCCTCCCACCCTGAGGACTCCTGGACTGTGAAAAGGGGCAGGCTGAACTGAGGGATCCTCAGCCAGTACATAATTTTCATGCACCAGGCCTCTAGTACCAAAATAAAAGGCAATATGAAAGACAGATAATACAATTAAAAATCACTGATTTACAAAGATGAGGTGGACTAGAAATGAACAGATTAAAAAAAAATCTTTTTTAAGTACATTAGATATTTTTATTGATTTCAGAGAGAAAGGGAGGGAGAGATAGAAACACAATGGAGAGAACAACTGATCAGCTGCCTTCTGCATGCCATCCACCAAGGATTGAGCCTGCAACCCAGGTATGTGCCCTGACCAGGAATCAATCCTGGTTCGTAGGCTAATGCCCAACTACTAAACTGCACCAGTCAGGCAGATTTGATAAAGATACCAGACCCTTCAAAAATAGTAGTTGATTGGCTTTAATAGTAAAATGAACAAAAGCAAAAAAAAAAAAAAAAGACCAATATTAAGATTTATGATACAAAGGCTTCTATTTCATGTAAGTTTGGAATAAATTAATGTTAACATATGTAACAGACCAGAAAGGAAAAAACTAAGGAGATAAATTCCCCTCAGTTTTTTTTTCTACTAACTGAAAGACCATATGGTTGGACAGCTAGAAAGGGAATAGTGATATTCAGCTTCCCAGTCAAACAAGTATTTTTAATTGTACACTGGTTTCCTTCATTAATGACAGCTGGTAATAATCTTTTGCCTTAATATTTGTCCCCTCCCACCCTTCTGCCTCTAAACACTCACAAATAGAAAAGAACAAATTCTTTGTTATGATTTAGAAAGTCATTTCTTAAAAAAATATTTCATTTTCTAGAAAGGAGCAAAAGAATTAGGCTCTAGGGACTACGTTCCAGAAACTCCACATTTAGTCAATTCTTATTACAGAAAACGTACCAACTTATAAGAGCCTTTGAATAAAGAAATATACAAATTGCAGAAAAGTACTCTTCCTATTTTACTTTCACACACAGATACATGTGTCTGTAGCAGATTTTTACTGAAAGTTTGAGGGACGGGCTATAGCACAACACAGGAAACATTATAATTAAATGTTATATATTACTTAATTAAAAAATTACTAGTATTCACTATCATTATTCCCAAGTTTCAGCAGCCAAGTCCTCTTGTTGCCATCACTTGGGACTGTGAAGTTCCTTCAACATTCCAAACCCTCCTCCTGTCTTCTGTATTCTAGCTTTCTATCTACCCATTTCATACCTCAGCTCTGCTGACCTTCATGACCAAACCACTCTCGTAAGCCTCACTTATTCAGTAATATTTGTAAATACTTAAAAAAAAAAAAAATGCAAGAGCAATTAATTTTACCTGGGTAGTCTGTTAAATTTGTGCCTGACAAGAGCACACTTCCCACTGCACTTTTCACAGGAATACTCGATTTCTTCTGCCTATAAAAAGAAGCATGAAGTTGAATTATTATTATCCCATTAAATGCTACTAATTTTCTCTAGTCATACTACTTCAGTGGATTGACAGCTCTGACTAGTTTGTATCCAGAGTCACAAACCTTACTAAATTAAGACCTAATGCTCAAAATATAATTATAATATCATGCCCTATTTCAGAATTCCTAATTTCCTTTTTTTACAAAGGAGACATCTCAATTTATGATAGTAACTCAATTTATGATAGATTCTTCAGTAGCAAATTCTCAACCTTTTCCCCCATGAATACACAAGAAGCACTGCCAAGAGTACATCTAACATTTGGCCATAGCAGAGATAAGATCACCTTCAGGGTAGGCGGAGTTCCTGGTCTGTTAGGTGTAACTCTACCCCTTTCTTAAAATGGAACTCAATCTTCTGGTAACAGCCCACTAAGAACAACTGCTCTAAAAGGACCAAAGTTTGGGGTGGATAGCATTACCTAGAGAAAACTGAAACAAGAAATCCTTAAAAAATGGGGATAAAGATACACAGGAAAAGCTTCAAATTCTATGATAATAACAGGAATAGCAAGGAATGATTAAAGCAAAAAGAAAAGCAGAGTATTTATCATTGGGTGGAGCTAAATGTTAATCATTTAAAAGAACAGAAGTTTTTTAACCTTAGAAAGACAATTCTGCCCATTTGCTACAACAAAACAAGAAACACTATTTTAAAGACAAAGGGTAACCCCGGTAAATTTCCCTCGGAAAATTGGACCTACACACAGGTCCAACTATGCCCCAGATTATCTGTAACAGTATTTCACAGACATAAATATTTATTTACAGCATTAGGTAAACATGATTTGTGTTGTTTCTAATAGAGTACATACAACCTAAGAAAAGCAAAGAGCATATTTTATTCCTCAGATTTCAGTATACTCACTTAGTGTCTCCAATTTTAATCCACATTACCAAATTTTAGCATGTGTCACTTCCTATGCTTCAAATTAATATTTGTTTACAAATAACTGCTTCTAAGGTTGTTTAAAACACTTCCTGTTGAGTCAAATGTATAATCTACATAAGCAATCAATCTTCTTCAATGAGTTAACAATTAGGTTTATAAAGCTTTAAAAAAATATTTATTTATAAATATTTCTCATTAGTTTTCCCTCAAATAATTTTGTCTAAATTCTGCTTTAAAGAAACCAACTTCAAATGTAATTACCTATGATATATAAAACTTAGTTATGTAAACATACCAAAATATATTACTTACCCTAAAGAAAAGATCCAGAGAATCTTGAACTGAACGCAGAGGGAGTGGCTTTTTTCTTCGAGGAAGGTCGATGGAGAGGTCATTAAACTGTTCTCTTTTGGGAATAATCTCTCCACAACTGTAAAAGAAGACAAATCTAAGCATTCAGAAAACTAACCGCAATACAAAATAAATACAGATGTACTTCAGGACACTGCTCCCCAAGTGTATGAACAGGCTATGATTAAGCATAAGAAATATACACATTTAAGACATGTTACTTTAACCCTTATTAAATCACAGTGGTTGACCATCGACCCATGCACCAAGAGGTTACTAGTTTGATTCCTGGTCAGGGCACGTGCCCAGGATTGTGGGCTCGAAATCCAAAAGGGGCATGCAGGAGGTAGCCGTTCTACGTTGTTTCTCTCTCATCCATGTTTCTAGCTCTCTTCCTCTCCCTCTATCTCTAAATTCAATTAAAAAATTATATACAGATATGTACTACCAATAACTGGAAAATTAATCAAAACAGAAGCTTTTGATATGATATAATGAGTATGGAAATTAATTAAATTTAGAAAGTGAATTTGAGTTAACTAATGTAAATATGATTAAAAATTGCATTGCATAAGTTAAAAATAATTCAAATTTCGATCTATTTTATAAAAACCCATTTTTAATAAAATCAAGTTGGTTTAACAAAATAAGCAATAGCAAGTCTTTTCAGGATAAAAAGAACCAGTATTCCCAGATAACTTGATATTCCATACAGCCCTAGCCTGTTGGCTTAATGGATAGAGTGTTGGCCTGCGGAGTGAAGGGTCCCAGGTTCAATTCTTGTCAAGGGCATATGCCCAGGTTGTGGGCTCAATCCCCAGTAGGGGACATGAAGGAGGCAGCCAATCAATGATTTTCTCTAATCATTAATGTTTCTATCTCTCATTCTCCCTTTCTCTCTGAAATCAATAAAAATGTAAACATAAATAATAAAAAACAGCAACAACACACACACAGTAGATCAAAATGAACTGTTAACACTAAAGCATGTGGCAAAATATCTAAGTACTTTTTAGTTCTCACCCCAAGCATTTTTACAGAAAATAGTAACACTAAAAAAAAGATGTTTGTATTTCTGTCTGCCCATGACATAGGAAGAAAAATGTGATAAGAATTAAAACCTTCAGAAGAGTTTCAATCACTTGAAATTAAAAATTAAAAGAAGGCCTAGTCAGCTTGGCTCAGTGGATAGAGCACTGGCGCAGGTTCGATTCCGGTCAGGGCACACGCCCGGATTGCAGGCTTGATCCCTAGTAGGTAGTGTGCAGGATGCAGCTGATCAATGATTCTCTCTCATAACTGATGTTTCTCTCTCTTTCTCCCTTCTTCTCTGAAATCAATAAAAATGTATTTAAAAAAATAATTAAAAGGAAAAACAGGTTTCTTGGAGACTACTTACGCTTTACAGATAATGGAGTGTTGAACCTCAAACTCCAAATTAGTAATGACAGGGCAAGTATATATTCTAGTGGCTGAAACATCTGGTGAATTTTCTTCTCCAGGAACAGGGTCAGTCTTCCAAGTTTTATTTAATTTTTCCATATCCTCTTTTAGCTGGTCTAAGCACTGACTTAGAAATTCATGAGCATCCTAAGGCATAATATTTTTAATCAGATCAAAACATTTTTTTGTCACAATGATAGCTTATCAACATTATGATTTATAAAACTAAGCACCTGGAAGTCAATAACATTATATTAAAAAGTAATAGAGATTTTACATATTTTGTGAATAAGAATAATGAATTTTATATTCTTTACTATCAGTGAGATTAGCGTGAATAATGGAATCACTTCTTACTTCATTAAAAAAAAATTAAGAAAAAAAAGCCTTTGTTAAGTAAAATACCCCAAGTTCCTTCAATGACATACCACATCTGTATTATCCTATCTAATAAAGAGAGAATATGCAAATTGACTGTCAAGCCATCACAAAGATGGAGGTGCCCATAGCCACAAGATGGTGGCACCCAGTTCCCTCAGCCCCAACGGAATGCCCCAGTTCTTTCAGCCTAGGTGGGGTGGGAGAGGGGGAGGCAGGCGCACAGGGTAGCCAGACCCACCTTCAGCCCTCCAGCAGCCAAGAGCCAGCCTGAGGCGCAGGCAAGCCTCGAATGGCGGCTGCCCAGCTCTGCCCAGGGCCGCCCGATGCTTAGGTAATGAAGGCCGGGCCGAAGCTTGCGCTGTAGGCAGTGGCAGCAGCATGGGTGTGATGTGGGTGTCACCTTCCCCTGATCAATGGGTTGCCTCCCACCCTTTAGGGTTCGTGGATTGTGAGAGGCAGGCCAGGCTGAGGGATCCCTCCCACCCAGTGCAGAAATTTTCATGTACCGGGCATCTAGTTAAAATATAATAAATCACAGAAGAGTCAAACTGAACCTTACCAGAAGTTCTCAGGTTCTCCAACCTGTGATGAACACAGCATACATATACAAATCTCACTTTAAAGTAAAAATCAGGTAACACACCAAGATCATTTCAATTTCCACTACCTCTAAAGTGGCTAAAAACAACTGGTACTCACATTCTGCATATAACCAGAGAATCTCTCAGCTGTAGCAGAAATGGCATTTTTAACCTTCTTGAGTAAATCCTTTTTGGTCTCTGAATTACAGCTATCTTTTTTTACAAGCAAGTGTGCAAAGCGTCTAGTAAAACAAGAGAGACCAGGTTAGCATGTTTTACAAAACACTGAATGGTATGATATTTTAAAGACTATTAACATGGTACATAACATAGAATTTAAGTGTCTGAAAGTTCATTATTCTATAATCAATAAGGTAAAAGTTTATTCAATAAGTATGTAACAGTTACCTGATAAGGGCATTGTGTGGAATTTTCTTCCATGGGATACCTTGCTTAAGCAGATCATTTGCAAATGACTGGAGTGAAAATAGGGACTGTAAAATAGCATTCATATAGCAAGTATTTCCCAAGTTGGAGAAGCTGAAAAGGAAAGAAATAATACTTTTTAAGACAATGAAGTATGTTCATTAGAGCATGGGTTCTCCAAAACAGCATGCATCAGAATCACCTAAAGGGCTTATTAAGAAATACATGTAGCCGAGACCGGTTTAGCTCAATGGATAGAGCGTCAGCTTGGGGACTGAAGGGACCCAGGTTCGATTCCAGTCAAGGGCATGTACCTTGGTTGTGGGCATATCCCCAGTAGGGGGTGTGCAAGAGGCAACTGATCGATGACTCTCTCTCATCGATGTTTCTAACTCTCTCTCTATCTCTCTCCCTTCCTCTCTGTACAAAATCAATAAAATATATTAAAAAAAAGAAAAGAAAAAAGAAAAAGAAATACATGTAGCTGGGTTAACCCCGTTTCCATAGTTTGATTCTGGGAAAAGAAGGTGCAAAAATATGCATTTCTAGTAGGATCTATTGATGTTGTAATGCTGCTGGTCTGGGGCCACACTATGAGAACCACTACATTACCCTACATAATAAGTTTAATATGCCAGGCCACCAACAAGGTGGGTGACAGCGTCCCTCCCTGAACACCCCACCAGTCATCCCCAATCACCAGCCAGGTCTAGGGACCCTCCCTGTGCATGAATTTTGTGCACGAGGCCTCTAGTAACAGTATAACAACTTAAACATTTTCAAATGAAAGCTGACAGGGGCTGGGGACTTACCCAAATTGCTATTTGTTCTTAGTAGGACCACTGGGTCATTGAATACAAAAGTAGGACAACAGTAAATTTACAGTTGGGAGTAAACAAAAGTTTATCATTGTATTATTAACCATTGTATTATTTTCCATACGAACTGTAAACCTATTTTTGTCCCACTCTATATAAGTTGTGTTTAGCTTTTTTTAAAATTCTTTTTTGTTTGTTTGTTTTTTGTAAGTTGTGTTTAGCTTTAATGATTACTACCAAATCCTTTTCCAAAGTACCTATTTAAAAAATGTTTTTACTTAGAAATATTCTCAAACTTTTAGGAAAGTTGAACAAGAATATTTTTTATCTAGATTCACCAATTATTAATCTTTTGCACTATAATATATGCTCTATCATTTCATACCTCTGTGTGTTTTATTTTCCTGAACCATTTGTAAGTTGCAGAAATCATACCCTTTTAGCTCTAAATACTTCAATATGCATTTCCTAAGAACAAAAACATACGTACTTCAGTTGAATCACTTTATAAAAAGAAAGCAAAATGAAAGGATTTACCTACCCCTGCAGTTGCTGTTGGTGAGAGGAAAGGGGCACTCTTGGTTTGTTCCAGCCAGTATAATCCTGATTACACCTCAATTTTTTAACAGAAAGAGGAGCTGGCTGCGGAAGAAATCCCAAACTTCTTTTGGCAGAGGGAGTTTGGCTTGAAATGTTAGTCCTATAAGAAGAATAAAAATAGAGAAGTAAAACAGTTTTTAAAATACCCCCTCCCTGCCCAAGTAGATTCAGAAAAGTCCTATCTGAGAGGAAAAAAATCTAAATTTGGAGAAATAACAGTAATAATGATCACTTAAGGAAAAAAATCCACAAATTCCAAGGCTGATAGAGAGCTGAAGAAGCATATAATACTTAACCTACAATCAAAATAATCCAAGTCAATGGCTTAAGAAAGAGTATAAATATAGTTTTACTTTTTTACTCACTTTTACCACTTAATGGATATCATACATTAGTTTGCCTAGTCTAAAAACATTTGGACAGTTAATTTTCTCCACTATTACAAAAAATGACACAACCAGTATTCTTACTCAATCTCCTGAGAACTTCTTCCAGTTTATATGCTGAGAAGTGAAAATATTAGTATTTTTAAACTTTTTTAGTGTGACTTAAAAACAAAACAAAAAACTGTACCAACTTATAGTCTAACAGTAGTGATTTCCATTTCTTCACATGGTCTCCATTACATTATTACCAATCGAATGAGTGACACAGGATCTCTCATTGTTACTTTATTTTCCTGATTACTACTGAAGTTGAATATATTTTTATAATTGTTTACTCCTTTCTAAATTTCTTTTTGTGCACCCTTGGGTTTTATATTGGGTTCTTAAAGATTTGTAGTTTTTTACACATTCTATATTCGTCTAGTCCTTTGTCTATTAAATATTGAAAATTTCAGGTTTTTGTATAGTCAAATTTATCATTTTTTTTATAGTTTCAAATTATGTGTCTTGTTTAAGACTCATTCTGTAGCATAAGGTCATACAAATGTTTTCCAATATTTTCATTAAAAGTTTTAACACCTGTTTTCCTTCCTATTTAGGTCTTTAATCTGCTTGGATGTTTATTTACTTGTATGTTATGAAATAGGAATATGATTTGCTTTTTTTTATAAGGAAAAACTGATTGTCTCCAAATGACTTACTGTCTGGCTAGGCCATCTATTAGCCACTGTTTGACTTTATTATATGTAAAAGTGTGCTTTAGTCTGTTTGGCTCAATGGAAAGAGCCCGAGGACTGAAAGGTCCCAGGTTCTATACCCATTAAGGGCATGTACTTCAGTTGCAGGCTCCCAACCTCCATCCTGGGCCCTTGTCAGAGAGTGTGCAGGAGGCAACCAATTGATATGTTTCTCTCACATCGATATTTTTCTGTCTTTCCCTCTCTCTTCCACTCTCTCTCTAAAAAGCAAAGGAAAAACATCATTGGGTGACGATTAAAAAACAAAACAAACATGAAATTGAACACTTTACAAAAAGGTGTATAAAAATAAAACGTGTACTACTGTGTCAATTGCAGGGAAGATGCATGTGTGTAGGGAGAGGAGTTTTTTTTTTAAGATATATTTTATTGATCTTTTTTACAGAGAGGAAGTGAGAGGGATAGAGAATTAGAAACATCGATGAGAGAGAAACATTGGAACATGAATCAGCTGCCTCCTGCACACCCCTCACTGGGGACATGCCCGCAGCCAAGGTACATGCCCTTGACCGGAATCGAACCCGGGACCCTTCAGTCCGCAGGCCAACGCTCTATACAAACCCAGTTACGGCCATCAGATTTTTTATTCACTTGATTTTTAGATTCACTTGTTGATAGTTATGTATTTGTTGTTCATAATTTTTAACTTTACCTTTTTTCTTCTTCTTCCTCTTCTTAAAGAATACCTTTCAGCATTTCACATATTACTGGTTTGGTGGTGGTGAACTCCTTTAGCTTTTTTGTATCTGTGAAGCTCTTTAACCTTCAATTCTGAATTTACCATTGCTCCTCTGTGCTACATTCTGTAATCACACCTTCCTGACAAGCACTTAGCAATTGTCTTATATACTTATATCCAATAAGTTTCAAAAAATGTAATCTGTAGCTATAGACCACAATTAAACTTTTGACTAGCCTTTTCCAATAATGTGAAACTTGTTTTTGAAAAAGAAAATGCCTTAACTTTTGGTAGATACCTTAAAAAATACACAGGCAACAAAGGCAGTCTGTTGAGATTGTAATGTTTTCATAATTTAGGATGATGGAGAATTCACTTGTCCAGGATCTGATCATACTGCCAGTCACAACTTGTGGCCTCAGTACAAATTTTCAAAGAACTCAGTTTATTCATTTACTAAAAAATGTAAAAAAGAAGAGCTTTAACTAAAACATCTGTTGAGTACTTTCTAACTAAAATGTCAAGAGTCTACAATTTTCATCAACTTTGTTATTTTAAATTAGTGTACTCACTTAGAGTATACTTAATGGTGTAATAAACCTTAATGTTGAAATTAAGGTACATCTTAAAAGTTGATGTGAAAGAGAGGGGATAAGGGGTACTGATGCATAGGTTATCCCATTATTCAATATCTGAAGAAGCCCTAGCTGGTTTGGCCTAGTGGACAGAGCATCAGTCTATGGACTGGAGCAATGGTTGCGAACCGGTGTTTCGCAGACCATTGGTGGTCTGTGATATGTGAAATGTCGGAGACCGCTGGACTGGAGAGTCCAGGGCTCAATTCTGGTCAAGAGCACATGCCCGGGTTGCAAGCTCGATCCCCAGTAGAGAGCGTGCAGGTGGCAACCAACCAATTATTTTTCTCTCTCATCATTGCTGATTCTATCTCTCTCCCTCCCCCTTCCTCTCTGAAATCAATAAAAATATACTTTTAAAAAATATTCTGAAGAAGAGAGCATATAACCAACGCATACCTGTCTAGATTAGTATTGCCAGAAGAGTAGTCTTTGGATCCAGATCTGCTACCATAAAAGGCTGATGACTGCAAAGGTGAAAGTCCTACAGAATGAAGAAAACACAGGAACAATTTAACTCCTAAATCAACCACTGAAGTCCAATTAGTAATAAAATTACGCATTGGGCCTATTTATATTTAACTCTTTCCCCCCTTTCTTTTCATCAAAGTTGGATAAATGTTAACAGATCAAACACCATGTAAAAGGTTATAATAGCTAAGAATACTCTCCTGCCCTAAAGCTCCAACACCTTCCTGACTTATTCATTTTGAACAGTATCAATTGACTCCCTATTAGGAAAAATTAGAAATTTTCATTTACCCCTACTCTTATGTACTTCCTTCCAACCAAGTATTAGTTGTGCTATTTTAGTTCTACTGATTAACTTTGAAAATTAACACTTAAAACTACATTTTGTTCCACGAACCTTCTTATCACTTAACCACTTACAGAGACCTCTTCCACATCAACTTTTGTAAAATGTATCTTACCTTCAACACTGTTAAAGCTTATTACACCTTCAAGTATTTTCTAACTATAGGTTGATCATAAAGCTTAAAACTAGTAAATGGAGTTTATATAATGTATTATTATTTCAGAGGTAAGAAGTATATTTGTGATTTTTCTTTCTGTAGAAGTCCAAAGTCACAACTCTGAAAGGCTAAAAGGAGATAATTTCTAGAGTCTTGATCAAATTAATTCCTTTAAACTCTAAATTTATCAAAATCATGCCATATTTTAGTTTGTTTCAATTTAATTTCAAGTTGACATAAAATTCAAATCTACGTAGTTCAGAAGATCATAGAGATTGTTTAAGTGTAGAAATAATAACAAAAATTAATAGACAATCTAAGTTAGATTTTATAAAAACAGGGTACAAGGTAAAATTAAGCAACTGCTTTAGGCAATAACTTCAAGATCTTATAGAACTTATAGTAGATGGCAACATTGATGAACTTTAATTTCAAACACTTTAACTCCTTGAATTCATTGTATGGTCCAGGTATCTGGATATCTTGATAATGAGAGTTTAATTCTAGGCAGTTCAATAAGGATGTAGGCAAAGTCTAGACTCTTTGTAAATAGAATAAAAGGTCCCTTATATTTCTAATACTTTAAAAGTATTTTAGCAGAGTACTGGATATAAATTGGAGCCCAGTAATTAGAACTGAATTATGGAGTATTCCTGAATAACAGAGAGTTATGTCCCATTTAGGGTTTTATTTCTAGTCTATACAGTATATCTTATCTAATAATCCTATCTAATAGAGGGAATATGCTAATTGACTGTTACACCCTCACAAAGAGGGAAGTGCCCACAGCCAATAAGGAGGGAACATGCTAATTGACTGCCATACCCTCAAAAGAGGGCGGCACCCATAGCCACAACTAATAACATTTATCCAACTTTGATGGCGGCGCTCAGTTCCCTCAGTGGGTCTGGCTGCTCTGTGCACCTGCCTCTGGAGTCCCCAAGTCCTCTCAGCCACCCAGGGCTGGCCCGAGGTGTAGGCAAGCCTCGGATGGCAGCTGCCCAGCCACCCAGGGCTGCCCAAAGCTTAGGTAACAAGGGCCAGCCAAGGCTTGCACTGCTGGCAGTGGCAGCAGCAGAGGTGTGATTGGGGCATTGCCTTTCCCCGACTGCAGGGTCACCTCCCACCCCTGAGGGCTCCTGGACTGTGAGAAGGGGCAGGCCGGGCTGAGGGAACCCCCCCCACCAGCTCCAGGGCATGAATCTACGCCTCTAGTTATATAATAAATGAGTATCTTATATAAAGACCAGTACTTACCTGATGTTCTATTCTCTTCTGACTGTTTCAAACTCAGCTGCTTCTCTCTACTGCTGGTTAAATACTTTCTTGAGGGATCTGTCATAGCTTTGTTGTTCCTATAGTCAATAATTTAATTCAATATATATAAGTTGGTCCAAAGGTTGTGGGTTATTGTTAAGCTAATTCAATATATATAGGCATGTAAAATACAAATCTTAATTTTAAATAGTTGTCATTAAAAATTTACATTCCAAGTGCTGAATTCATGGATTTGCTTGGAAGTTATGCTACAAAGTGTTAAAGCCTCAAAAGGTCAGAAACTGCTGAAACCAGTTTGGCAATAGAGCATCAGCCTGTGGACTGAGTGGTCCCAGGTTCGATTCTGGTCAAGGGCACGTACATTGGTTGCGGGTACATCCCCAATAGGAGGTGTGCAAGAGGCAGCTGATCAATGACTCTCATCGATGTTTCTAACAATCTATCTCTCTCCTTTCCTCTCTGTAAAAAAAAAAAAAATCAATAAAATATATTATTTAAAAAAAAAAAATCAGAGACTTAAGCAAATGAGAATCATGACAATAAGGTTTCAATACCAAGTCAAAATCCAAACAATCCTATTAATAACCCTATTAATTAAGCAAAAATGAAGGAGCATTTTATTTTTACAAAAGTCAAACCAGAGACAGCAAGAGCAGATTAAATGATTTACTAAAAGACTAAAAGAATCAATTAAGTAAACTAAACTATTTGAACTTGATACTAAATAGGTATAAAAAGTACACATCTCAGTCTGTTGAAGGAATGAATGAGTGAGGATGTTTCAAATATTCAAAGACCTGTGTATAGAAAAGGAATTGGACTGATTTATAATCTTATCTCAGTGCGATTCTATTTCAGAGTAAGACAGAAACATAGGTGACTGAAGTTTTGCAGTAGTATGTTTACCACTGAATAACCCCAAGTACACAGTTTGTACTCAACAGATACCAACTAATATAATTGCTCAATGATGCTTTTTTTTTTTTTTTTTTTTTACTTTTGCCATGTTTAATATAAGGATATTCACATTCTTAAAATCAGAAAATGTGGTCATATATGTAGTATATTTTAGACATTTTAAACCATATAGGAATAGTAACCTTGTCCTCAAATTGCTTCTAGTTTACTTACGGAGACAAGCAAACAAACAAACAAACTCCAGCCCTGGCCAGGTGGCTCAGGTGGTTGGAGCATCATCCCATACGGCACAAAAGTTGTGGGTTCAATTACCCATCAGGGCACATATCTAGGTTCCAGGTTCAATCCCCAGTTGGGGAGCATACAAGGAGGCAACCAATGTTTCTCTCTCACATAGATGTTTCTCTCTCTTTCCCATCCTCTCTAAAAAAAAAAGTCAATAACTTATCTTTGGGTGAGGATTTTTAAAAAAAAAATACCTCACAAGAAATAGAACACATATTAGCGAGAAGAACATGTATAACAATGTAAGCAATATCACATGATGGCAATATTGTTTGACCAAAATATAAACGTATATTTATGTATATGAAAAATGGATTTTTAAAACAAATGTTTGCTGAATAAATTTGTGAAAAAAGTAAAACAAAGAAATAAAACTCAAAATGTTCTTTTATAGTCTACGGATTTGAAATACTATTTACTAGTGTCAACATCACTTACTAATAACACTTATGGTGATTAAATTATTTTCATTTCATGAACACAAAGTTAAAATTTCTTAAGTCCCGTTTCCCCCTCTATGATTCCTAAATATCTAAACTTATATTTAGATAAATGCTCATGCTTTAATTAAAAGTGTTTACTTTAGGAGAACCATATGAATAAAGTCTGTAGCAAACAAATTAGATGCTCCACCCAAATTCCCTCTGACCCCATTTTTGTATCCTCTCTTCCACACCAATTTAGGTGTTTTCCATAGAAGTACTTAGGGCTCTCTCTAATAATATCTTTTTATTATTATTATTATTATTATTTAATAATATCTTATTACTGTTATTTTGATTTCCTTAAGGGACTTGTTTTCTGTACTTCACTTAACATCCCCACCCCAAGAAATGCAATTGCTTCTGACTGTCAAACTGAGGCAATGATAACGGTAAATGGAAAGGCAGTTTGTGAAAACTTGGATATTAGTATTAGGGGAAATGGGTGAGGAATATATAGGAACATGTCATTTCATCTCTGTAACTTTTCTGTAAATCTAAAATTATTCCAAAATTTAATATATTTTATTGATTTTGTACAGAGAGGAAAGGAGATAGAGAGTTAGAAACATCGATGAGAGAGAGTCATCGATCAGCTGCCTCTTGCACACCCCCTACTGGGGATATGCCTGCAACCAAGGTACATGCCCTTGACCGGAATCGAACTCGGAACCCTTCAGTCCACAAGCTGACGCTGTATCCATTGAGCCAAACCGGTTTCGGCAATTATTCCAAAATTTAAAAGTTTTCTTAAAATGATCAAACAAACAAAACCAAAATATTGGTCCAAATTCTTTCTGGACCCTATAAAAACCTGCTTATTCTGCCTTTAAAGAAACTTCTAGATTTCTATAGAAACTTCTTCCAAAACAGCACCAGCATGAAACAGGCTACAAAGAAGAACAGTTTTCCAAACCTTCAGCTGTAGCCTTGAAAGATAACAAAGGAAACCTACCAAAGGACAAAGCCAGGAGTCATATGGAACACAATGAACAAGGATTTCTCTCCGAGGAAAGAACAGAGATTGCTACATTTGCTAATCAAGAATTTACTCCCTTGTCCTGGCTCGTTTTGCCCGGTGGATAGTGTGTCCTGTGGACTGAGGGTCCCCAGTTTGATTCCAGGTTGTGGGCTCAATCCCCATTGTGGAGGGCATGGAGGAGGCAGCTGATCAATGATTCTCTCTCATCACTGATGTTTTTTGTGATTTAAAAAAAATATATATTTTATTGATTTTTTTACAGAGAGGAAGGGAGAGAGAGAGAAAGCTAGAAACATCTACCAGCTCCTTCTGCACACCCCTACTGGGGATGTGCCCGCAACAAAGGTACATACCGTTGACTAGAATCAAACCCAGGACCTTTCAGTCCGCATGCTGACCCTCTATCCACTGAGCCAAACCGGTTTCGGCGTCATTGATGTTTTCTATCTCTCCCTCCCTCTCTCTCAAATCAATAAAAAATAAATAACTTATTCCCATGCCTTCACAATTTCTGCCTAGCAAGATTTTATTGCTGCCATAGACTAGTGACTCTTTCAGTTTCCTATTCTGTCCATTCTAAATCAAAATTTTTATTGTGAATCTCCTGTGCTTACTCCAGCTATGTACAGGCATTTCTCATTTTATTGCACTTTGCACAGCACTTTTTTTTACAAATTGAAGATCCTCTACCAGCAAAAAGATTATGACCCACTAAAAGTTCAAATAATGGTTAGCAAATTTTTTAACAATAAAGTATTTAAAATTAAGGTATACCTTTTTGTTTTTGTTTTTTTAAAGATATAATGCTATTGTATACTTATCAGGCTGCAGTATAAACACAAGCACTGGGAAACCAAAAAACTTGTGTAAGTTTATTGCAATATTTCCTTTACTGTAGTGATCTGAAACTAAACCCCAGTATCTCTGAGATATGCCTGTATGATGGTATGTGTGGAGATGGGCGTGGGGAATGCAGATTTTAGGAACCAGACCATGAGGCACCTGGTCCAAAAGAGCAGCCCTGGACCTTCTGGAGAGGACTGCCCATCACAGTGACCCTGGACTTGGAGCTGGATACAGGACTAAGTGAGATTTGGAGGCTGTTTTTATTAGGATGGGGGAAAGAGCGTTCTTATATAGGTAGTAATCAGGGCTATTTCTGTGGATATAGGTGTAAATTACGACAGTCTGTTAGTTGTCCCCAAATAACATTGTACCCTTCTGCCATTATAAAATTTGGGCTAGACTGACTTACTGGTGTTCCATACTACCATTTGACTAGGTTCTTGTCAATATGACATACAAAAAAATTGTGCGTACAATTTCCAGCCTAAAGGAAAGCAGTATGCCCTCTCTTTGCTCCTCTTTCTTCCCACTGATAGGAATGCAGACATGAGAGCAAAGACTGAAGCAAAATGGAAGCTTAACGACAATGAACCAACGAGATAAAAGGAGTCTGAGCCTCTGGTGATTGTAGCTTTATATACCATACCAGTCCTATTACCTACCCAGATTTTTACATTTATTTCAGCAGCAGAACCAAGATCCCAATTAATATATAAAGTTTCTTCAGCTTTTTCCCTGTTCTTTTATGGTGACCTCTTAACTTCGAATACCAGCTAACTGCCTATGGATTTTTGTTAAGGCGATAACTGAGGTATTAACTAAAAACTGTGTAAATTAAGTTTTCTCCCCCCAGAAGACAAAAAGGACCTTCCCATGAGGAAAAAAAAGGATGTGAGCTGGTGACTGTCTTGTTACAGGTGGATACCTTTTTTGTTCAACCCAGAGAATAACTCTAAAAGATTGATACTCCATGGCTAGAAACTATATGTGGTTTACATATTTTTTACCCCTAAGCTAACTTTTCACATGAATAAGGTAAAAAAAAAATTTGTAGGTAAAGGAAAGAGGGAAAGAAGGATTTCACTCTAAAAGAGCAAACAGCAAGAAACACTTATTAGAGTTCTTCATCTCTGTTGTTTCCCTAAGTACTGCAGATTTTTCTAAAAAGCTATAATGGGAGAAGTGCAATCAAATGATCAAAGCAATAGCAATGGTCAATCTATCACCAAAATACTTGAAATTCTGCTCTTCTATCTTTGGAATTCCCATAAATTGAATAATCTCCCCTCGCAGTTGTAATTGCCACTATAACAAATACTGATTTAGGGCCTTAAAGGCTCTTAAAGCAACTTACGATGATGAATCGTTTTCCTTAGGGTAATCTTCATTCAACTCCGAGCCAGACAGCATTCTTTTCCTCTTTTCAGTTCTATAGAGAACAGAGAAAAGGACCTCATTTTACAAAGCCAGAATTCATGCCATTAAAAACTATTAAACAAAACACTCAAGGACAGATACTGTGACCACTGCTAATTCTCTAAACCACATGTGAAATAACATACCATATATCTGCACCCTCAATGTGTCACTGAATAAGTCACATAAGACAAATGCTAATTATCTACCCAAAATGCACTCTATACTTTCTTCTAACACATTTGACTAACCAAAAAATCTCACTTTTTCTCAAATAACTGGTCTTTCTATAAAGCTTAAAAGACATTTACAAAGAGGCACAGCTAAAGACTAAGACAGAAAAAGGGTCTTTCATACCTATTTTCTGATAACCCTGACCTAAGAGGCGTTGATGTAGATGTCAAAGACGGAATCGTTCGGGTGACAGTTATTCCATTTCCTGCTGCAGTCTTCATCGATCCTCTACCTGGAGTACCAAGAACTTTTCGAAATGGACTATCATCTTTAGTTTCCAAGCTTCCTCTTTTTGAAGAGGCCTGTCAGAATAAAGTTTGAAATAGCTAATTGTCAAATTAACTGGCAAACTTTTAGACAGTGATTCTCAAGTGGGGAAGTATGAACACACACACAGCTGGAGACCCACCTCCAGAGACTCTCACTTAACCGGTGTGGGATGAGGCTCCTTCATCAGTATATACTTTTTTAAGCACCCTAGGTGATTCTAAATATGATCAGTGTCATAAATTGAGCAACGTTTTTCCCCCTATAGTATTCTTATAAACTAAAAAATTCCAAAACATACCCAGAGGCAGAAGGGAAATACTGTGAATTATTTTTTTAAAAGGGTTCACATATAAAAGACACGGTTCTAATAACCACAATGGAAATAAATCTTTACAGAAAGACCCAATTATAATTATGATGAATTAAAGTGATGTTTGTATGATACGCCAATGAGTAGTATCCAACTCCTGGCAACCCTAGGAATCAGTGATGACCACAATGGCCTATCCTCACTGCCCTGCTCAGCTTCTGTAGAAACATGCTTATGGCTTCTGTTATGGTGTCAATCCATCTTAGTTTTTGTCTTCCTCCTTTTCTGCTGCCTTCTATTTTTCCCAGAATGACTGCCCTAAAATGACATAGATGTGACATAAAGGAGCAACAATGACATTTGGTTGCCACAATTCAAATGCCAAGTCACATGTACTTCATTATGACTTTTGAAGGGGTTCCAGTTTGGAAAAATGAAACAAATATATGTAATGATGGGGAAAATGATAGTGACATAGAGATCACTGGCAGTAGCTAAATCAAATACTCTACTACCCTCAAGACACAGCAAGAACATTTGGAGAGAAAATGTTCTTGGATGTAATTGAAAAAAACAAACAGGGGGGAGCAAAAGTATGCTTAGTTGTTTGTCTAGAAAATAATACAATAATTAATAAATAATAACACAAATGAACTGTTTCCCATACTGACTGTTGCTACACCTTGGGAAATAGTGCTTTCTACCAACACTCTGCCAAACTGATATTTTATAACTATATTAAGGGCTACGTCATTTCTCAATGAAAGGTATTCCTAATAGCTTTCTACAGAATTACAATCTTAAAATATGGGAAGAAAAAAATCTGATGTTCTCTGCATGAACAATTTAAAAAATTACACTTATTTTCTACATACTCAAGATTCAAAAATCAAAATACAGGGGGATCAAGGGTATACTGGAAGAGATTAATGGGAAAAAGAAGGACCTATGTAATACTTTCAACAATAAAGATTTTTTTTTTAAGTTCAGAATAAAAAATAAAAACCCATGCAAAAATCAAAATACTATTATAAAAACCATATGCTGAAAAATTTCATTATCACCCCAATGCCATCCACCGATTTTTCCACTTCTCATTTTCCTACTCCTTATAAGTATTTTTTAATTGTTCCTTTATGCAAAGGCAAATCAATATTTTCTTTTTGTTATATAATTGGTAGTATACTATATGCAAACTGTTTTTGCATTATCTTCAACATTATTTGATCCTATAGTAGGACACTTTACATTGCAACCTATTACACATACACGTAAATAGAAATGAAACAAGTTTCAGAAACCAATACTTATCCTTACTATGTATAATATCGGGTCTAGTAATAATTAATGTCGTTTTTAAACATTCGTTTAAAATCTTCCTTGGCTTTGACTTGTATTGACATAACCTTCAAACACGTGGTATCTACAGAACGTGTGAAGTGCAATTAACAAGATTTGCTTGAAAAAGTTTGTGTTTGGTTTGGTTTTTGTTGCAAAACTAGGGCTAAGAAGATGGCGGATGAAGAGCATATTCGGCACTGCATGCTTTACGAGTTCCAATTAGGAAGAAAAGCAAGTGAGGCTGCAAAAAACATCTGTAGTGCTCTTGGTCAAGATGCAGTTAGTGCCAGAAAATGCCAGCGTTGGTTTGAGAAATTTCGCGAGGGAAATTTTTCGTTAGATGACAAGAGTGGTCGAGGCCGTGTGTCCAATTTTGATCAAGAAGCTCTTCAAGCTCTTTTGGTGCAAAATCCTCAAATTACCCAACAAGAGCTTGCGACAACTTTAAATTGTTCACAAAAAACAATTTCCAATCAATTGCATGCACTTGGCAAAGTCCAAAAGTTTGGAAAATGGGTTCCTCATGAGTTGACCGACAACAACCGTAATCAGAGAGTCACAATTTGCAGTTCGCTCCTCTCTCGTCAAAACCGTTTGCCGTTTTTAGAGCAAATTGTTAGATGAAGAATGGGTGCTGTATGTTAATTTGAAAAGGCGGCCTCAATGGTTGGACAAAAATGAGGCTCCGCAGCCCACGCCAAAACCTGACTTGCATGCCAAAAAAGTGATGTTGTGTGTTTGGTGGAATTTTAAAGGAATTCTTCATTATGAACTTTTACCATCTACCCAAACCATTACAAGTGCAGTGTATAGTGCCCAATTGAAAAGGTTAGCCCAAGCTTTAAGAGAAAAAGAACCCACGCTGATTAATCAATCGGAAGGGCGTAATTCTTCACCACGATAACGCACGACCGCATACTGCAAGAATCACTGCTGAAAAACTGCGCCAGTTGGAATGGGAAGTTCTCCCTCAACCTGCATAGTCTCCTGATATTGCCCCTTCTGATTACCATTTGTTTCGTTCTTTGCAAAACTTTCTTCTTGGAAAAAAATTTAATAATGAAGAATGCCTCAAAAATGCACTGACCGAATTTTTTGCATCAAAATCACAAGAATTTTACAACAGAGGGATTAAAATGCTTCCTGAGCGTTGGGCACAAGTAGTAGAAAACAACGGCAACTATATTGTTGATTAAATTTTGTTGTATTGTTTAAATTCGATTTAAAAAAGGTATTAGAAAACGACATTAATTATTACTAGACCTAATACCTATTCTATTTTATTCTTTCCTTATTTAATACTAGTCACAACCCTCAAATTAATTTTATAATCTTAGAAATAGAAATTACTTATGGAGAATAAATATTTGCTTCTGCTATACATAGTAATGCTTACACATTTAAATATTCGAAAAGCTTAAATTTCTATCTACACTAGTAAGTGGGTGGATTTTAAAGTAGTTAATGCTGAGTGAAAAAGCCAGACCTCCCCCCCCCAAAAAAATTACACACTGATCCCATTCATATACACTCTAGAATATGCAAATTAATCTACAGTGGCAGAAAGCAAATCAGCTGTGGCTCAGGGAGAGGAACCATAGAGGAAGAGGGAGGGAAGGACAACAAAGGGAGAATGGGGAAACTTTTGAGGGTTATGGCTATGTACACTAGGTTGGATTGTGGTGAGGATTTTAGGGATACGTATATGTAAGTAAAAACATTTCAAACTGTACTTTATACCTCAACTAAAATCCCACCCATCCTATAAAACAAACTAAAAACATCCCACCCATCCTATAAAACAAACTAACAAAAATAAAAATTTATTCACTCCTTATCCCAGTAAATAGACTAATCACCTCGCTGCACAGGCAAATAAAAGTAATCGGGTTCCAAAGTTTTTCTTTATGCCCCGTTTCCCTTTGTAAAAAAAATTAAGAGACATAGGAACGCTATATTGCAACAATGCATAGCAATTCTCATGTCTAGCTGAATATTTATGAAAGAAAAACTATTTAAAAAGCAAACAGAAGACTTAAAAAAAAGAGTCTGGTATCATATAGTGTGGGGGCAAAGGTCATAATGTAGTGCACACACAAACACCATCACAGAAACAGTACCAGCAGACTCTGACCAGGTTGTTAGCGTATGGTATTCACATGCATTATCTCACAGCAACCCTTAAAATATCACTGCTGCTCAATTTTACAGATGGGTGCTAAGGCTTAGAATAGTTAAAAGAGCTCCTCTGCCGAAACCAGTTTGGCTCAGCAGTAAAGCGTCAGTCTGTGGACTGAAAGGTCCCAGGTTCAATTCCAGTCAAGGGTATGTACATTGGTTGCGGGCACATCTCCGGTGGGGGGTGTGCAGGAGGCAGCTGGTCAATGTTTCTCTCTCACCGACATTTCTAGCTTTCTATCTCTCTCTCTTCCTCTCTGTAAAAAAATCAATAAAATATATTTTTAAAAAAAGAACTCCTCTGATGACTCACAGCTAGTAAATGTCAGCACCAAATCTCAAGTTCACATACAACTCTAAAGCTATGCTTTTAAAAACTATACTGTACTTTATTGCAGTTCATAAGGTATAAGACATTGAGCATATGTTAAATTGTGTTCTGTAAAACTGTATGTAAGTAGGGAAGAAAGTGATAAATTTTAGAAAGGCGTTCATAAAAAATAGTTGAAGAGACTGAAATAGCTAAAGTGGTAAATTTCAGGTATGTGGAAAAGACCCTTATGACAAAGCCAGAATTCTCAGGCATTAGTCTAAGTTCTGCTTCCTGCAATTATCTCATAGAATATCTATCATTTCTTTAAAAGCTGTTAGACTCAAATGACCATACCTGATTGTCTGAGTAAGAGAGCTGCCTGTGGGTTTCCTTCTGTGAGGTCCTACTGCCCAGAATAGCTCCAAAACTGCCAGACCCCTGAGAAGGCTTCATGGCTAGTACAAAAGAAAAAAAAATCCCAAATCACTTATTTTAATATAGAGATTTGCCATCATTATTATATAACATTGCAGAAGTAAAGCAGAAATAAATTCAAGTGCTTATTAACCAATTCTTTCAGAATAGAAAGCACACTTGATATAAATAGTAATTAAAAGTTAGAGCCAGTCTCAAACAAAAAATGAAATAACATGCAAAAATTTGAAAGTATATAATAGGACAAGATTTTATATTTTAAAATATCTCATAGGGTTGTTATGAGAATTATATATTTTTTAAAATATATTTTTATTTCAGAGAGGAAGAGAGAGGGATAGATAGAAACATCAATGATGAGAGAGAATCATTGATTGGCTGCCTCCTGCATGCCCCGACTGGGGATTGAGCCCGCAACCTGGGCATCTGCCCTTGACCGGAATTGAACCTGGACTTCAGTCTGCAGGCCGATGCTCTATCCACTGAGCCAAACTGGCTAGGACTAGGACAAAATTTTAAATGTAAAATTAAATGCTAGAAATTCTCCTATATCAATATTTGGTAATTAACACTATAGAAAAGTTAGTCACCATGTGCCTATGGTATGAACATTGGATGAATGCCAAGAAGACATGTCAGAACCAGTGACAGATATATTTCTAATAATGTATACTTCAAAACATTCTCTGTTAAGTTCAGCAAGTGAAATGGCTTGTATTCCAAAGAAATCAACAATAAAGAACACTCAAAGTGCTGTATACTTTAAAAGATATTTTATACTTAATTCCCACTGATGATCATTTTGAATGTTTTAATTTTTAAAAATTGAAAATAATGCTGAACATCCTTTGACATCCCTTGCACTAATGGTACAATTTTTATAGAATAAACTCAAAATAAGAACTGCTGGCGTAAAATAAAGGATGCTCTGACTAGGACTTCCGGTACTATGCTGACTAGAAGTGGTGAGAGAGGGGCTGTAGCTGGTTTGACTCAGTGGTAAAAGTATTGGCCTGTGGACCCGAAGGGTCCCGGGTTCGCTTCCGGCCAAGGGCATGTGCCTCAGTTGCAGGCTGCGCCCCAGGATGGACTGCATCTAGAAACAACTGCATTTCCTCGGCTGCAGGCTCCTCCTCTGGCCAGGGTGCGTGCAGGGGCAGCCAATCGATGCATTTCTCCCACTTCGATACTTCTCTCTCCCACTCTCTAAAAACCGATGGAAAAGTATCCTTGAGGATTAAAATCATAAAAAAGAAAAGAAATGGTGAGAGAGGGCATCCTTGGCTTGCGCCTCATCCGAGAGGTAAATCTTTTAGTCTTCATCATTGTGATGTTCGTTGTAGGCTTTCACATATAGCCTTTAGTATGGTGAGGTAGTTTCCTTCTATTTCTAGTTTGAGTATTTTTTATCATGAAAGGGCGCTGATTTTATCAAATGTTTTTCTGCATCGAGATGATCACATTGGTTTATTGTCCTTCATTCTGTTAATTTGGTGCTTGATTTTTTTTTCCATATCTTAAACTAGGGGTGTCAAACTCAATCAGAGAAGGGGCCAAAATCTAAAATCCAGCCTAAATCGCGGGCCGAATGGTTTACTGAACAGTCATAAACTGTCATTGTGATGGAAACGCAGCGGAGTGCAGTGATGACAGCGTGGTGCGGGCCACATTGCAAGGCCTGGCGGGACGGATTTGGCCCGGGGGCCTTGTGTTTGACACATGTGTCTTAAACCATCCTTGCATTACAGAAATAAAACTCATTTGATCATAGTGTAATCCTTTTAATGTGCTGTTGAATTTGGTCTGCTAATACTTTGTTGAGGATTTTTGCATAAATATTCACCAGGGATACAGCCTAGTAATATTCTTTTATAACTATTAATGTCAGAACTTGGGATAGCGCTCACCTGCATTGAGTCTGTTCTGATGGACTGCATCTAGAAACAACCGCATTTCTTCCGCATCCTTACTTGGTACTTTGTCAATAGACAAGAAGCTGTTATCTTGTAGTGTTAACATGAGGCGGCTTTGTTTTGCTCCACTGGGTCGAAGCACCACATTTTTAATGTTATGACTCAGCTGGAAAACACAAAAGGAGAATGATCTTATTAAAAACATGATAATGAAGTATATATTGTATAATGAATACTAAACTTTATACTTTCCAAGTTACATTTCTTACTCTTCCCCACATTAGGATTTCCCCCCAATCAAAAATAGTTCCTACTTCTTGACACATTTAAATAAAAGATTTCATTTTTAGAAGAGGCAAACACATAGTATTAAATTTTATTTTACATTGTAATCCTACCAGTCTTGTTTTTATGGCAGGAAGTTGCATATTTTCAGGCATAGTGACAAAGTTATAAAAACTAGTGAGTTAGAAGAGGGTCCTAATACAAAATGACAGGAGAAGATATTTGACTTTGGGAGGCGGGTAAACAATGCAATAAACCAACCTTGTAACATAGAAACCCTCACATAAAACCCATGTTCATGTTGACCAATGCCACCCAATCAATTGAATAAAACTTTAACAATAAACTGATTTTTAAAAGACCAAGTGGGTTAATTCCTGGCGTTTGGAGGGTTTTCGCCATCACCGGTCTAGAAAGCCCAAAGTGCAGCAGTCGCCAAGCTTTCGGACCTCGAGGAGTGCCGGCTGGCGAGCACTGCTCCAAAGGGCTCTCAACCGGCGGCTGCCAGCCTCCTGGACCTCCCGGAGCAGGCCACCAGCTGGCGACTGCTGCCAGAGTGGATCAGAGGCTTTCTTTTTCTTTCCAACAAAACCTTACAGCATACCTGGCAGATGGTGTGAATAGCTATAATGTAAAAAGGACATACTAATCCAAATTATAATCCTCAAAAGAATTCCACTTTCCAACACACACTGAAACAAAACTTTACCAAAATAGGAACATCTTTTTTTTTCTTTTCTAATTGTTTAAGCAGGCTCATTTTACTTTTATTCAATCACAACATGAGCACGCTAGAACTATCTTAGCTTACTTCTCCCAATCCCCAGATCTGGTTCAGTAACTTGTCTTATACCCTTCCAGACTTTGAACACGTGCTTCCAAGTGATAAATTTTCTATTCTCTTGGCTGAAATTTTTCCTAGAATTAATATATTTTGTGGTTTCTTTATTACCTAAATAATTCCTGCCATTCAGGCAAACTTGTTCTTTAACATTCTCCCTCAGAAGGCGTATACCAAAGTTTCTAAAGCTACCTTTTCGTGAAGACATCCTCTCTGAACAGCATAAAAAAGGAAGTAATCGCATTTCATTTCTTGATTAGAAAAAATTTACCTTTATCAATATTCAGATAAGAATAAAAAAAAATAGTTTTACCATTCACTTAATTTATATTTTAAGTGACAGTTCTTAAGTTCATGTCCTTGAGTAGAATTTTTTCTCACAAAATACAATAACTACTTTTAGATGCTTTAACTCCAAAATATAAATGAACGCTTTAATAGCAACAGAAAAGTAGATCACATAAAACCATTATTTCAATCAATATACCTCTTTTAAAAAATGAAAGTTAAGCCTTGGTGTGGTAGCTCAGTTGGTTAGTGTCGTCCAGATACATCAAGGTTGTGGGTTTGGTCCATAAACAGGGCACATACAAGAAGCAACCAATAAATGCATAAGTGGAACAACACACAGACGTTTTTCTCTCTCTTCCCCTCCTCTCTCTCTCTTTAAATCAATAAAACAATAAAAGTTGTCTTTCTCTGTTTAACTTATTTCACTTAGCATAATACCCTCTAGGTCCCATCCATATTGTTGCAAATGGGAAGATTTCATTCTTTTTAATGGTTGAGTAACATTCCATTGTGATTATATACCATATATCTTTTTTTGTTTAATATCACACGTCTTTGAAATATTTTTACAGCTGCAAATGCATTTGATTCTAAGTTTGAGAGGAAAAGTGTATCATTCAGCTCTATATTCTTAGCCCTTACTACAGTACCCACCACAGCAATTTGTAACTGGTTAACAAATGCTGAATGCAACCTGATGTAAAACTGAGATAAGGGTTGAATCACAGGTAGAATCATATGCTCCTAAAGATCTATGTTTGCTTTAAATATGTTCTCAGTGCTAATTTGGGCTGAGGACTGAAAAATCAAATCTCTATTTGGAAAAAAATCTTTCACTGAGATGGGCACTTTGGTATGCATGTATGGCAGAAATTACTATTGTTTCTATTACCCATGTAACCATGTCATTCTTCTAATCTATTTAAGAATATCTTTCCAGCCAAAACCGGTTTGGCTCAGTGGTAGAGCGTCGGCCTGTGGACTGAAAGGTCCCAGGTTCAATTCCGGTCAAGGGCATGTATCTTGGTTACGGGCACATCCCCAGTCGTGGGTGTTCAAGAGGCAGCTGATCAATGATTCTCTCTCATTGATGTTCCTAACTCTCTATTCCTCTCTCTTTCTCTCTGTAAGAAATTCAATAAAAATATATATTTTTAAAAAGACTATCTTTCCAGCTAATAGCTCTTCTTAATTTAGTAGGTCTTCCAGTTCTCACCAGATCCCCACAAACACTGTATATCTTTGATACACAAAATCATAAGCAATTTATTTTCATAGTTGAAAGCAAAGATAAATGGCAATTTTACCTCACCTCAGGTTCTCAAGCATAAGTTCTATAAATTGTTCTTCAATAGGGTACTTTATGTTTAGAATAAATATATTTTGTTTAATCTACTTAACAAATAGAACTTTAAAGTACAGAAAAATGTAAGTCAAACATTTTTTCTTAATTTCAACTCATATCAAAATGAGCTGTTCTTGGCTGCACAAGATAAACAACATAGAAGTAAAAACAAGGTTAACTATTTTTTTGCAGAAATAAAATAATGAGTGTTCAATTAGCCCTGGCTGGTTGGTGTGTCTCAGTTGGTTGAGTGTCATCCCATGCACCAAAGTTCGCCAGTTCAATTCTCAGTAATCAGGGTACATATCTAGGTTATAGGCATGATCCCCCCCAGGTTAGAGACATCCAGGAGGCAAGAAAATAGCTGTATAGGATGGATGACTTTTAGTTATTACCATCCTTGAATAATGCATACACCTTTCTGGCAGGATTATTTTGAAAATAAACATTAAGATAACACTAATAAGTCCTATTAAAAGCTAACACTAAATAATGAATATATCATATACACTAAGAATATATTTTTAAATATATTTTATTGATTTTTTACAGAGAGGAAGGGAGAGAGATAGTTAGAAACGTCAATGAGAGAGAAACATCGACCAGCTGCCTCCTGCACACCCCCCACCGGGGATGTGCCCACAACCAATGTACATGCCCTTGACTGGAATCGAACCTGGGACCCTTCAGTCGGCAGACTGACGCTCTACCACTGAGCCAAACTGGCTTCGGCAGAATAAAGTTATCCTAATGTGGTATTTAAAATAGCTTAGAGAGACGAAACCGGTTTGCATCAGTGGATGGAGCGTCGGCCTGCGGACTGAAAAGTCCCGGGTTCGATTCCAGTCAAGGGCATGTACCTTGGTTGCGGGCACATACCCAGTAGGGGGTGTGCAAGAGGCAGCTGATCGATGTTTTTCTCTCATCGATGTTTCTAACTCTCTATCCCTCTCTCTTCCTTTCTGTAAAAAATCAAAATATATTTAAAAAATAATAATAATAAAATAGCTTAGATAGTTCCTCTCATCTTCCACTAGCTTTCTTTTCAATAATGGTGACTACTTCCAGCTCTTTTATATATTATCTATAATGCTGCTGAATAATTTATAAAATAAGAACCTAACAGTATCAGTGTCCTGGAAATAAAAAATAAGGACTATTAATCTAGAAGGGCTACCATGATTCTCAATATGGCACAGAATAGCTATTCACTAAAGGATGTGATGGAAGATCTATTCCAAATCAAAAGTTGGTAGTACCTGAAATATCCTTGGAATTCCTCCAGTGTTGTAGTGAACGACTAGGCTGACTTTATTATCTTTTTCTACAATTTCAAAGGATCCTTCTTTCCATTTTGTAATCCCAGTCTGCATACTTCGAATTCTGATAGGACCATATATCTTCAGAGGAGACATATTTTCTTTAAAAATAAATTGCTTCTAGCAAAATTATAAAACAAAAATACAACTTCACCCGACAGATTCTAAGAAAGAAAAAGAAAATTAAAAGTTACAATTTACTAGTGATTAAATTAAGTGTATGAAAGAGAACATTTAGTGAACCATCTTATATGTCTTTTTCTCCATCATTTCCATAAGCCACATTTCATTAAGCATCCTCAAAGGCCTTGATTAGCTGGATGGTACACATAAGAAAGACAACTAAAGCAGTCACTCATGTTAAGTGTCTGAATCTAACCAACATTTACTTCTTCTGTACACATTCTCTTCTTTGCCATGTGTCTTGCATCTGTGTCTATTAGTGCCTAAATTTTGCATTTTGCACCATTAACAAATCAAAGTGTGCCACTAAAGGCATGCTAATCGGTAATACTAAAGATTCCATTCTCAATGTGACCAAGTTTTACATTCTTTCACAAATACTAATACATCTTGAACTTCACATATAAGTAAAAATATATTTTCAATCATCTGACTTCATTTCTTAGAATGGAGTTCCTTCTAAAATATCAAAGCATATCACCAAATAGTCTAAGCATAGCCACATGTTTAGAAGACATTAAATGAATACAAAACTATAAGAAAAATCAAATTAGTTTAACCTCCAAATTATTTGAGAAACCATTTATTTTCTAGGGGGAAAAAACTAACAATATAATCTGTCTTCCTAAGAACCATCTATCATTTATATTTAATATTATCATTCCTAGAAAGACTATCAATTTTATCCATGACAAATATTCAAATTTCTCAAACGAACTTCTTGCTATCAAATAGCATGTGTATTATACAATTCTACATCCATATACCTTCCAGGTATCTTTACGATGAACTTCAGATCAAATTACATTACACATAATGTTAAAACAAATTTTATTTATACACTTCAAATCTCTAAAAACACTGCTCTAATACAGATTATTGCTTATAATAAATTTTTTAAAATTCATTAAATTTTGCATCTGCAAAAACAGCTAACCTAGAAAAGCTTTAATAAAGTAGTCATCAAAACATACTAGGTCGAGGTATCAGGAACCAGCTCTGATGTAATTTATAACTTATCTTTTCTAACAATTTGTTTTTTCAATTGTAAAAACAGGAATAGCAAATGCTATAGTGTTGGAGAATTAAATAACACACATTGGGCGTTAGATAGACCCCAGCTCTTAAAGAGTTATCTTTGATTTCTCTCTTGATGATTATTGATATTGGACTGGGGATGGAAGGTCAAGGCAGAGTACTGACAATTCTACCTCCATACACCTTCCAGACATTTTTATAATGAGCTGCAGATAAAAATCACATTATTTTTTCCCTTAATATTATTCAATGACTCCCCATTGCCCTCATAATAAAATCTAGACTCATTAACATGACATAAACCCCCTTCATGATTCAGGACCTCCTTACCTCTATTCCCAACAAGCTCTCCAAATCCAGCCATCTGAACTACTTATAATTTCCCTAAAAAAGCCACATGCTCTCATGCTATGTATACATTGTCGTCAATGTTTATAGGATTTTTATGTACTTTCCCCATCCTCCATAATTTCTTCTCCTGTCTATAAAATCAAGGCTCAACTTAGATATTATCCTCTTTAAGGAGCTTTCCTAGCTACCTTTCATTTTACTCTCACACCATATCCACATTGACATTGTTTAATGTTTCTCTGTTCTTCTATTATACTCTGTGCTCACTGTTAGTACAGTGCTCATCACATTATATTATAGAAATTCTTTACTTTATATAAACTGTTTACCTCTTTGTCTCTATCTAGGCTCTGTTACTTAAAGACAGGGAATATGTCCTTTTTTTTAAAATATATTTTATTGATATTTTACAGAGAGGAAGAGAGAGGGATAGAGAGTTAGAAACATCGATGAGAGAGAATCATCGACCAGCTGCCTCTTGCACACCCTCTACTGGGTATGTGCCCGCAACCAAGGTACATGCCCTTGACGGGAATCGAACCTGAGACCTTTCAGTCCACAGGCCGACACTCTATCCACTGAGCCAAACCAGTTTTGGCAGGGAATATGTCCTTTAATCATTACATCTCCATTAGAACAGTGTCTGACATACATGAAATAACTCACTATCTATATCCATATATATAAGAGGCTAATATGCAAAGTGTTTCTCTCTCATCAATGTTTCTAGCTCTGTATCTCTCTCCCTTCTCTGTAAAAAAATCAATAAAATATATTTAACAAATAAACAAAAAAAAAACACCTTGTTTTTAAAAATTGCATTTAACAAAAATTTAAGGTGAAGATTTCAATATTCACTAAAGTTAATCACAAATAAAAACTTAATTGTTACTTGTTTCTCTATATAATTTTCAATATTTGATGCAGTTTCAATTACATATATAAAATTTTACTTCAGATATTTAATATTTTCTTAACCTTTTCTATTAGCAACCCCTCTTTCTTTGAAGGAAGAAACCCTGAAAGGTGCAGGACATAAAACTGGCAGAACCAATAAAATAAAACTTTTAATGCCTCAATTTAGTCCATCAACTGCTCTTGTACTAAATGAATTAGCTATATCTATTTTTGTATAATCATCATATTTCCAGGGTTTACCTTACTTAAGAGAAAAACAAAAACTATGTTTCTTTTTCAATATTTAGCATAATTCAGTAGCTGTTAAACTTCCTATAAACCTGGAACCAAGATAAGATTTCTCTGAACTCTGTAATGCTAATTCACTACCAAAGTGATATTAGGAAAATGAAATATAATAAAAACTCAAACTCATTCTTTAAGTACACCATTCAGATTCTCCTTTTCCTAAATTTCTTCACAATTATTAAAACTACCAAAAACCTTGAGAATTTTATGAAAGCTCATAACATTATCAAAAACGTTTCTATACCTTGGACAGATATTTAAATACTATTTTAGCCCCAGCCAGTATTGCTCAGTGGTCAGAGTGTCAGCCCCTGCACTGAAGGGCCATGGTTCCGTTCCCAGTCAAGGGCACATATCTAAGTTGCAAGTTTGATCCCCACTTCAGGTGGGGAGTGCACAGGAGGCAATCAATTGATGTGTCTGTCTCTCTACACATCAATGTTTCTCTCTCTCTTCCTCCCTCTCTTCCTTCCACTCACTCTAAAAAGCAATGGGAAAAATATACTTCAGTGAGAATTAACAAAAAATAAAAACCTACAGCTTAAAAATAATTAAATAAATGTTCCTATTTTAGGTACTGCTTTGAAAGTATCTTTGTCTAGAAGGGCATTCTGTAGTTAAAACAAAACAAAACAAAACATGCTAAAACATAAAAACTGTTACTAAAAACAGAAGAAAATGGTTAATTCTTGCCACTGTGCATACTCTTAGAAATATATCTAAAATAAAAACATTACTTACTTTTCAGTGACTTTTACTGAAAAACCATATGTCAAAACAATTCACCTTTATTCTGATGCTTGTGCCAAAGGCAATGCAATCTTCTAAGGGAACTACTCATATTCTGCAGCTACCCCAGTTCTTCGGAAGCCATCACCTCAGCTAAAGGAAATAAAGTGTGCCTTTTAAAAACAGTGCAACTCACAAAATTAAAGTGATTGTTAAAAGTGATCATTTATACAACAAAAAGTAACCTTTTAATTTATTTAAAAACCACAAATTTAACCTTGAAAAAGTTTAAAATATAATCTCAGGATACACACACACACACAGGAAACAGAACTTTAGGGACCTATCTGTGGACAAATTGAGGGACTCCAAGAGGAGGTGTACCTTGATCCATTTGTATCTTGGTTTACCCCTGCTACATTTTGAAACTATGAAGGCAGTGAAAAAGAATACATCCTTTGTTGTCTTTATAAACATTGTTACATAACGATGTTTTATGTCTTAAAACACCACTTCCAGCACTGTGCTATTACAAATTTAAAAAGATTGATAAACTTAGTTTTTACTTTTTTCAAAACTAGCTTTACTAGTTTCTTTCTCAAATTGAAGCATCTCTAAATCTTTGCCCTTTGAAAACGAAAACAACTTTAAACTTATTTGTTCACTTCTAAAAAAATCATTTATTGAGCTACTCTAATTTGATAGCTCCCTGGTAGGAATACATATGTGAAAATTCTACAGTCCGTACCCTCAAAGGCTTCACTAATACTTGTCCTACCACCATCATTGAGGCAAAAAATCTTAGAATCAGCTTTAACCTCATCCTCATTTATCAAAAACTCCACCTTTTTGTAACTACTACCCTAATTCAGAAACACATCACTTTGCTACCACTCCAATCTAATATTTATTACACTTTTACTAAGCACAGTGCTAAGCACCATACATGCATTTATTTCCACAATAACCCTAAAGGACAGTTATTAATATCTATAGATGAGGAAAGTGAAGCCAAGAGAGATCATGTAATTTATCCATGATTATAGTCAGTGACAAAAGTAAACCTAACATCAGAATCTATGTTTTTAACCACTACCATAATGCATCCTCATCAATGAAAGTGATTCCAGCAATGGATCCTATACCCTATCTAAAAAACTACTTTTTTTTATCTCTTACCAAAGAAAGTACAATATGCACTAACGGTCTCCTTAACTTTCTCCAGAAAGAGGGGGAGAGAGGAGGAAGGACCTGTCCTATCTTCTTTTGTACGCCTGCAAAATAACAGTCATTGTTGCCAATTCCCTCCCAAACATTTTAAATTTTTGTGTTAAGAATACTTAACACACATACACACAAAAAATACTTAACACAAGATCTGCTCTCAACACATTTTTACGTGTACAATACAGTACTGTTAGCTATAGGTGCAATGTTCCACAGCGTATCTCTAGAATTTACTCAACTGGATTAAATGAAACTTCCTCCCAAATGTTTTTAACAGCTCATCAATGAAACTTCCTCCCAAATGTTTTTAACAGCTCATCACTCACTACCTATAAAATAAATCCAAATGGCTCTTTGTTTGGCATTCATACACTTCCTATGTTTTATTTTCTACTTCTCAACAAAAATGTTGTTCTATATACACACAAATTACTGAATTTTAATATTTCCTCACATCCACCGCCACTACCGTATTTTTCAGACCATAAGGCGCACCAGTTTTTAGAGAAGGGAAATGAAGAAAAAAAGATTCTGAAACAAATAGTGTCCTAAAATATTTTATGTGCATTAAAACCCAACATCACAGTCATAAACACATGTAATCAACCCTGTAAAGTAAACAGCAGCATTTAGAACCATTTTAGAGCCGGGCAAGCACACAGAGACCACACAGAGCCGGGCAAGTAAAAAAACTTTTTTTTTAAAGTATATCTGTAGGCTATATTTGGACCATAAGACGCAGGGACTTTCCCCCCCCACTTCTGGGGGGGAAAAAGTGCATCTTATGGTCCGAAAAATACGGTAAGTGAAGGATGGTCATACTGGGTCAATCCAGGCAAATAGAACAAAATGTGTAAAAACCCTGTGGTAGAAAATTATTTGGTGTGCCTGGAGAAATGAAAAGCAGTGTGCCTGGAGCTCAGAGAGGGAAGGGAGGATGTGCAAGATGAAGCTAGTAAAGCAGGAAAGACTCAGAATATGAAGAATCTTGTAGACCACTGCAAGGATTTTGAATTTTACCCCAAATGTAATAAACAGTTAGTGATGGGAAATCCACTGAACAGTTTTAAGCAAAGAAATGACATGTTACTGCTCACTGGACAAGTGATGTGCTTTGTTTGGGTTTCGGGAAGAAAGTGAAAGGAACAAGAATGAAAGAAAACAGGGCAACCAGACAGAAAAATATTGAGTGATTTAACTTATAACAACAATTACAATAACAATTAATATTTACTGGCTATTGACTGAATGCTATGTGCGTGCTCTGGTTACTTCATTTAATCCTCATAACAATCCAATAAGCTGATGTTTATTCTCATTTTACAGATTCGAAAACAGGGTATCGATGACATTAAGTCCAGGTGAATGAGGATTGTGGCTCCAACTAGAAAAGTGATACTAAAGATGTACAGAAATAGATTCAAGACATACATTGGAAATAGAAGATGAAGAGGGTAGGAATACCTGGGAGAAGTCAAGAATGACTCTCAAGTGTCCAACCAATGTAAGTGAACAAAAGACATGGGAGCCGAAACTGGTTTGGCTCAATGGATAGAGCGTCGGCTTGGGGACTGAAAGGTCCCAGGTTCGATTCCGGTCAAGGGCATGTACCTTGGTTGCGGGCATATCCCCAGTAGGAGGTGTGCAAGAGGCAGCCGATCGATGACTCTCTCTCATCGATGTTTCTAACTCTCTATCTCTCTCCCTTCCTCTCTGTACAAAATCAATAAAATATATTAAAAAAAAAAAAAAAGACATGGGATACTGGAGGAGAAAGACTTGGGTATGGAGGGAAAGATTAAGACTCTGATTTTTATAATGTTATAGTTAAAATTTCTAAGAAAAAAAATAAAGCTGACATTTCAATCAGGCAGGCTATTTAGATCTTGAGCTGAAAACAAAGGGAGCAGGCTAAAAATAAAAATTATTGTCATCAATGTACAGGTGGAATTGAAAGCTTAGGGCAGAAAGGAAAGAATAAAATAGAACAGGACGTAGGACTGACCCCAGATATCCCATTTTACCCCAGTGATTGTCACTAAGACCATCACTTACTTTGATTTCTCCAGGCTTCTCAGAACTCATTCAACTTCACCTTTGAGCAGAATCCAACCCTACTGATGACTTCTTTCACTTCTTTTATAAGACTTGTATTCCTGTATTCAGTTACTAAATGCCAAGAATCCCTCACCGTTCCATCCTAGGCCCTTTTCTTTTCTAGCACGGAACGCTCTTTAGGCCATCTCACCCACATCCATGGCTTTGATGACAATCATGGTGGCAGATAACATACATACACTTATCTATATGTACAGCCCAGAACTCTCCTCTGAGCGCCAACCCCATATATACACCTGTCTGCTTGGCATCCTCTCTTAGCTATCTCCAGGAAGATACTTTTCAGACACTGCCACCCCCAAAAAGGCATGTACGCAGAGCCAAACTTTGGGGGGGGGGGGGGGTGAGAAACTACCACCAAAACATTACAGCCAACTTTCCGAGATCACAGGATTTTGTCACCGATTATCATCATTTCCTTTCACGGTCCGTGCCCTACCTAACCTATGTAAACTTGACAACGTGATCTGATGTCTAGGGTCGGGGAGCGACCAAATGCACGACCAACCTACACCCCATGCCTTCTGGTGAGAGATGAACAGGAGAGGAAGGAAGGCAGGCGAAGAATTGTCAAGAGGGAAAGGGTACCCTGTCCGAGGCCTGATGGGTGTGCGGTAACCGCCGCCGAAGTTCCCTCCAGAGACAGCAGGCCTCGGTAAGGGGCCGGGGGCGGACGGGGCCGGCTCGGGCCGCGGAGGGAGCGGGTGACAGTTAAGACCAGGGCAGCGGAGGAAGGCGTAGGGACAGCCCCCGTGGAGGCCGGGGGAGGCCGGGGAGCTCCGAGGGGCCGGGGGCAGGCTGAGCAGCGGCGGGGCCAACTCGAGAGGAGTGGAAGCCGAGTGGGCGGACCGCACGGGGCAAGGGGGTGGGGGGGAGTCTCGGAAAACGGCCCCGCGGAGAAGCTCGCCGGGCCCGCCTTACCTCTGCCTGCGAGTCCGGAGCCCGCGCCGGAGTCCGCGCGGAGGGCGAAGGACGGAGGGGAAGGAAGGCAGGGACGCCGAACCCGAAGAGAAGAGGTAACAGCTCGCTGCCCCAAGTCCGGGAGAGTGGCTGATGGCGGGAACTGTGACCACACGCAAACACGCAACGCACGCACACTCGACGCGACCGGACAGAGCGCGTGCGCGCAGGCCCGCAAACCCCGCCCCTCCACGCCCTCGTTCCGCCCCAGCGCCAAATGTGGTCCGCCGAGGAAGCTCCGCCCCGTGGCGGCGCGCATGCGCGTTCCCACTTCGCTCACTTCGGACCGCCCCTCATTTCGTCATTCCTGGCGAGGCATGCGCACTACTCGTTAGTCTGCCTGGTGGGGCATGCGCACTACTTGTCCTTCCAGGACTTTTTTCCCGCCCTTCACTGGCCTCCGGAGTGGGGTGGAAGCGCACGCCCCTCTCTCGGGGTACCTGCCAGGGGATGCGGGGACCATACGACGAGATGCAGATGTCCTGAAGGTCCTGAATCCTAAGAGGCAAAGGACGTCGCTGAGAGCTAGGAGGCGGGAATAAGTTGTCCGGCAGGGGTCAGGGGTGAAAGGTCATAGGGCTGCGAAGGGGCGGGGCGAGCCCCCGACAGATGGCGGCTGCGGTGGTTCATCCTCTTTGGCGGCGTCGGCGCTGAAGGGACGTGGGTCGGGAGCGTCCGGCGGTGGGCGTCAGCGGCTGCCACTCCCAACATGCACAGCCTGGCCACGGCTCCGGTGAGTGGCGGGGCGGCCGGCCCGGGCCCGGCGCCTCTCCCAGCCCGCGTCCCGGCCTCCTCCCGGCTCCCTGTGCCGAGCCCGGCGTCCGGCGCCTCCTGCCCCCGAGGCCCCGGGCCCTCCTCGCCGCCACTCGGCCGCGGCGGAGCCCGCCTCGCGTTCCTCGCCGGCCGGCCGGCCCTCGTGGCCTCCTGCGCGGCGTTTCGTGTCCTTCTCCTCCGGCCTCGGGGCCCGGGCCCGCCCGGGGCGCCGGCGTCGCGGCGGGACCGGCCACTCATTGCGCTGCGGCGGTTGGGGCGCCGGTTGGGGCGCCGTTGGGTGCGGGGCGCCGGGGGGACGGAGGGGATTCTGTGAGCGGTCTGACAGGGGCGGGCTCTCGGAGCTCATGGCCCAGGCACCTCGCAGCGGGAAAGGAAGGGCGTCTGACTCCAACGACGTGCTTTACCGGTGCACATCTCACACCCGGCTCCTGTTTGATTTACGGTTCTCTGCGCTTAGGGCCTTTCCCCACACACCTCACTTTATCAGGGTAGTGGTTTGTCTTTGTTTTACAAAAACGGGGCCTGCAAGTCACCTGTCTGAGTAATCCTGTGGCTTCCGATTCATTAAGATAAAATCCAGACCCCGTGCCACGGCACACAAAGCCCTTGTTTCCCACGTGTGCAGTCTCTTGGTTGTATGTCTCTGGCTCGGGAGGCCCCGGGACACCGGCCGCCGTGGCATGCCTTGTAGCGCGCTTTTCCACTCTCTGGTCTCTGTTCCTGGAATGCTCGCCCTCCTCCCATCCCTTAGGTCCACGCACACCATGTGGGCTTAGTGGCTCCTCTCCTCTCGGCTCTCTGCCTAAATCTCCCTAGAATTGGCCTACCCTTACTATTCTTTTTAAAGCAGTTTTTTAACCCTCAACTTTCCTTTATTCAAGTACCTCTACAGCATTGATTCCACTTTGTCATTTTTGTATTCATTCCCTTGTTTTGTCCATCTCCCTCTTGAGGACAGAGACAGGTAGAAACCGTGGGTCCTGTTTGCATGGTTACCCTTGTTCCTGGCATAAAGTAAGGCTCAGACACTTGCTGAATGAGGGAGGTGGTTACGGGGAGCACCCAGCCATGTTGGGGAAACGGGACCCTATGATTGGAGCACTCTGCTAAATGCCCATCCCGCTTTTTCTGTTTCACCAAGGTGAAGCGATTCAGGAGAGGGTGACATAAGGAAATTGCTTTATTAAACAAAATGACAAGTACCAAATAGAGAACAAACAAAAAAACCGCCTTAACTTTCAATATAAAAAGTGAGCTTAGTGTGATTGGGCTGTAGAATGCCATCATTTTCAGAGCCGGTGGCACCATGTGTCTGTTTGTAACCATTCAAAGTGGAGAGGTACCTTTTGTAGGTCTCAGTAGGTATTTGCAGTTTCCCAACTTTTTTTCTCTCCCATATTACATGTGTAATTTAGAAGAAGCAAATCAAGATGAGGCTGCTGCTGGGAGGGGAGGGGCAAGTAAGTAAGGGATCCTATAAGGTTGGCCTGGCTTGTCTGTCTGTCTCTCAAAGTCTGGTAGCGTCTTCTCCACACTTTGATACCACGCCGCTCTTTTTCCTGTGCCTGCCAAACTCTGTACCCATTCACTTCTATTTTCAGTTGCTCTCTAATGCTTCTTTTGAACAGCTTTAATGGAGTTTCATTACTTAGGTTCTGAATTAATGTTTTTCCAATTAAATTTACAATGCCTTACATTTATTTAAAATTTGAACTTCTGGGTACATTTTCACCTGCTATGGTGTTTGGACCACACAAAAGTGCTGACAAGTGCCTTTGTACCACTCATCCACTAGAGTATTTGGTTAGTCAGGGGGCGGCATAGAAAGTTGAGTAGCCTCTGTCCCCATTCTTTAAGCCTTCCATCAGATAAGCTGCTTATTATTCTGATTATTCTGCTGCTCTGGATAAAGGAACAGTAATGGTATTTGTCACTATCTACTATAATACACACAATAGTGCCTGCAATAATCTATAGCCACTTGAGAACATGCTTATTTTGTGACTAATGATGAAAATTTGCATTTGTGTTAACCTTTATCTTTTTTTAAATATATTTTTATTGATTTCAGAGGGAGGGGAGGGAGAGGGAGAGAAACATCAATGATGAGAGAGCGGCATTGATTGGCTGCTTCCTGGGGATTGAGCCTACAAACAGGGCATGTGCCCTTGACCGGAATTGAACCTGGGTCCCTTCAGTCTGCAGATCAATGCTCTATTAACTGAGCCAAATCAGCTAGGGCATCTCTTTTTAATATAACAGGTAAATCATCATTCAGATGGGGAGACATGACTATCATAGGAGATAAACAGGTTCTTAATCCTGCATTAATGACGGGTTGGGGTGCTATCTGTGAGTTCTTTGAAATTATGTGTAAATTTTGTGGAAAACAAATTATGTGCAAAACAATTTGCAGTTATGTTTTTTTCCTAAGGAAAAGATCCATAGATCTTATTGATGCGAGAAATGTTCATCTCTGTTTGTGGTAGTGTCCTATCATTCTTAATGTGTTTGTTAGGTAAGTCATAGATTATTTTGTTTATCTGCCGCTGGACAGTGTGTGCTACTAGACTGAGTTTCATATCAGTCACAGCCTCAGAAATATAATTAGTAACTTATGAATTGCAAGATTGGAGCAATGGAATTAGGAATCTGTAGAGGTGATCTTTAAGTAGAGAATGGGAAGAGGAGGAATCTGCCCACCATCATTTACTCATAGTCTCACCAGTTGTAAAATGAGGGTAATAACCACATGGTTGTGATTACTAAGTGAAACTATGCTTTTTAAAAAGTACAACACAATTCCCTCTCTTCCCTCATCCCCCTCTTCCACTTCCCACTGTTAAGACATCAGTTTTCAGATTTAAAAAATTTTGTGAGAGGTATGCCTAATGATCTTTGGGAAAAGAAAGATATATTTTGGGTTTTACTATCAAGATCAAAGAATGAAACTAGACTACAATTTTACACCATTCACAAAAAGTAACTCAAAGTGGGTTAAGGATTTGAATGTAAGACCTGAATAAAATACATAGAAGAAAACATAGGCATTAAGCTTCTGGACATCCGTTTTTTGTGAATTTGACTAGAAAGGCAAGGGAAGCAAAACAAAAACTAAAAAGCCAAGGCAACCAACTGAATAGAGAAGATACTATTTGCAAATGATATTTAAGATAAGGGGTTAATATCCAAAATATATAAAGAACTCATACAACTCAACAAGAGAAACAACTGACTTAAAAAATGGTTAGATGGCCGAAACTGGTTTGGCTCAGTGGATAGAGTGTTGGTCTGCGGACTGAAAGATCCCAGGTTCAATTCTGGTCCAGGGCATGTACATTGGTTGCGGGCACATCCCCGGTGGGGGGTGTGCAGGAGGCAGCTGGTCAATGATTCTCTCTCGTTGATGTTTTTAGCTTTCTATTCCTCTCTCTTCCTCTGTGTGAAAAATCAATAAAATATATATTTTTTTAAAAAAAAAGAAAGAAGGAAAAAAAATGGTTAGAAGTCCCTAGCCATTTTGGCTCAGTGGATAGAGTGTCAGCCCATAGACTGAAGGTTCCCGGGTTCAGTTCCAGTCAAGGACACTTACCTTGATTGCACGTTCCCAGCCCTGGTCCGGGTACATGCAGGAGGCAACCAATTGATGTGTCTCTCTTACATCGATGTGTCTCTGTCTCTTCCTCTCCCTTCTACTCTTCTCTGAAAATCAGTGGAAAAATAGCCTCATAAATAAATACAAACAGGTAAATAAACTGAATAAACAGTGTTCGAGGAAGCTATACAGAGGGCCAGCAGACATATGAAAAGATGTTCAAAATCATTGTTAGGGAAATGTAAATCAAAACCACAATGAGTTATCACATCAGAATACTACTATTTTTTTTATTTATTTTTTTTTTTTGGTTAATCCTCACCTGAAGATATTTTTCCATTGATTTGTAGAGAGAGTGGTAGAGAGGAGGGAGAGACAAAGAGAAACATCAATGGTTGCCTCCGCACACCCCTAGACCGGTGCCAGGGATTGAGGCTGCAACTGAAGTACAATGAACCCAGGACCCTTCAGTCCAAGGGTCGATGGGCTATGTCTGTGGTCAACAAACTGCGGCTCTTTGGCCCCTTGAGTGTGGCTCTTCCATAAAATACCATGGCCTGGGTGAGTCTATTTTGAAGAAGTGGTGTTAGAAGAAGTTTAAGTTTAAAAAATTTGGCTCTCAAAAAGAAATTTCAGCCGAAACTGGTTTGGCTCAGTGGATAAAGCATTGGTCTGCAGACTGGAAGGTCCTAGGTTCGATTCCAGTCAAGGGCATGTATATTGGTTGCGGGCACATCCCTAGTAGGGGATGTGCAAGAGGCAGCTGGTCAATGTTTCTAGCTCTCTATCCCTCTCCTTTCCTCTCTGCAAAAAATCAATAAAATATATTTTTTAAAAGAAAAGAAATTTCAATCGTTTTACTGTTGATATTTGGCTCTATTGGCTAATGAGTTTGCCAACCACTGGTCTATGTCAAATGATTTCACTGACTGCCATTAAAATGAAGGTTATTAAGTTCCTTGTAATCTCAACAAGTAGAGAATTTCTCTTAATATCAATGACACTGTTCATGGTGTTTTCAGATTCTGCTGAAATAATAGCAATAACTCTTTAATTTTAGTTTGAGATTTTTATGTATTCCATATATATTTTCTAGGAAATAAACAGGAAATTTTTTTTAGAAAGTCATTGTTAGATCAGACCTAATCTTTCAGGCAGATGAGAAGCAGCATTACCAAAGCTGTTAAGAGTCTATTGCCAGACCATCTGGGTTCAAATCTTGGCTTGCCACTTAAGTTTTAAGTAAGTGCTCCTTAGTTTTCTCATCTATAAAATGCAGATGGTGATAATACATATTTATTTAGGACAGTGCCTGTCAGAATAAGCACTATATATATTAGCTCCCTTTATATTTTAAGAAATGATTATATTCATCCCATAACAAATAAGTTGTGGGATTTAAACTAATGCTTCCTATTAAACTGGGGGCAAAATTCAATAGGGATGATGAAAAAGAGGGCCGCTACCCCACATATTTCCTGGTATCAAACTGCTTTCACTGCCTTTCCATTGCTAGAATGGTCTACAAAATCCACAGCTCCAAGTTAATGCCTCAGAAGGCCACATTGCCACCCATGGGACATCCCTAGCTCTCTTAGTACCAAATTCTCAGGGAGGCTGCAGCTCCCACAAATAGTTTCAAAAGTTGGGGTTTTGCTGGTAGTGGGTGGTCATAGCCCTAGGGACCCAAGCAGATAGATACAAGGCATTGGACTCTCAGGTGCCAGCACCATTCATCTAATTGTGGAGTCAGGTCCGCTCTGACTATATAATCAAAGAGTAATATGCAAATTGACCATCATTCCAACACAAGATGGCTGCCCCCATGTGGACACAAGATGGCCAGCAGGGGAGGGCAGTTGGGGGGGACCAAGCCTCCAGGGGAGGGAAGTTGGGGGGGAACCAGGCTTGCAGGGGAAGGCAGTTGGTAAGGAACCAGGCCTGCAGGGGAGGGAAGTTAGGGGGTGATCAGGCTGGCAGGTGGAAGCAGTTAGGGGCAGTTAGGAAGGAAGGCAGGCGAGCTGTTGGCAGGTGGAAGCAGTTAGGGGCAGTTAGGAAGGCAGGCAGGCGAGCTGTTGGGAGCCAGCAGTCCTGAATTGTAAGAGGGATATTCAACTGCTTGTTTAGGCCCGATCCTGCACGAATATCGTGCACTGGGCCTCTAATAAATTAATATGTGGGAATGGGGCATGGTGTTCAGAAGCAATGGTATGCTAATGGGCGTTGTTCACCTAGGGTGCCCTAGGGTAGAATGAAGTATAGGAGTGCTGGGTACCAGTCACAGGCTGGCTTTTGTTGGGATAATGGAGTTTATTGACAGTAATGTCTGGGTGACAGGATTTTGGGGAGAGTTGACCAGAATGAGCAATGACTAATCAGGGCAGATACTATATTGCTAGAGCAGCATCTATGAAGCCCCCTTGACTTACTGGATTGTGGATCATTCAAGAGACTGGCAGGAAACCCAAAGCTAAAATTTTAGCCCTTGTTTCCACTGAGCTTTTAAGGTGATGTAATACTCTAATCATATCCTATCTTCTGATCGGAATTGCATTTCCAAGAATAACTTTTTATTTCTGCCTTTAGTAGAATAGAAAAGACAAGTGCTTGGACAATTGTTTTTGCTGTGGAGAGGGGAGAAACTACCCTATTCTTTCTATTAAATACATCATATTGTTACTATAGGAGCCTGTGTTTCCCTGAGGAGTATCACTGCTGGGAGTCAAGAACAACTTTTAACAGATTACTCTAGGCAACAATTTTCTGCTGGTGTGCCACAGAAACTTTAAAACATGCAATACCTGCCGAAGCCGGTTTGGCTCAGTGGATAGAGTGTCGGTCTGCGGACTGAGGGGTCCCAGGTTCAATTCCAGTTGGGGGCATGTATATTGGTTGTGTGTGGGGAACTGTTTCTCTGTTTTCCACCACCTGCTTGCTTGGAAAACGACAAGTTCCTGAGTGGAGGAGCTGGGGATTAAGAAATTAAAGAAAAAAGAGACCAAGAGGCAGAAATAGATTCAAGCTGGGATCCGGGTGGGCGGCTGTCACTCTGATGGAGGTACAGTCTACCTACCACCCACCACATAAAACACAGCGCATATATTGATTTCAAGAGTGGGGTTTAAGGTCAAAGAAGTTTTGGGTGTGCCCAGGTCCTATTTATTCCCTCACTCCTGGGATTTAGCATATCAAGACCTGGTTAAGTCAAGGTCCTATTCGTTCCTCATTCCAAGCATATGGATAAAGATAAGAAATCTGTACTGATAACAGTTTCCAGGGGGACGGCCCTGCCCGTCTCCTCGGACTCAGCTGACATTAATTTAAGGTCATCCATGTGCATTCCCAAAGGGCACTCTCCCGGTGGGAGATGTGCAGCTGAAATGTAAGAATGTATGCTTATGTTAATTGAAGCATATATTAGGCCGTTCTACACTCTTTTTTTGTTGTTTTGGTTTTTTATTTAGTATCAGCAGATACAGAGATACAGTGTCTCTTTTTTAAACATTAAAAATATATATATTTTATTGATTTTTTACAGAGAGTAAGAGAGAGGGAGAGTCAGAAACATCAGTAAGAGAAACATTGATCAGCTGCCTGATCATCATACATTCTTACATATTTACATGTTTCTAAAAGGACACATAAGAAACTGTTAATAGTAGTTACCTCTAAGTTTGGTATCTATATGGGAGACTTACTTTTCATTGTATACAATAAAACCTTTTGCATAAACTTTTATCGTGTACTTATAATAATTTTTTGTTTTTATGGATTTTTTTTTTAAGAGAGAGGAAGGAAGAGGGATATAGATAGAAACATTGATGACAGATAAAAACACCATCGATCAGCAACCAAGGTACATGCCCTTGACCGGAATCCAACCTGGGACCTTTCAGTTCACAGGCTGATGCTCTACCACTGAGCCAAACCGGTCTCGGCCGAACCTGAGACTCTTGAGTCCTCAGGCTTATGCTCTATCCACTGAGCCAAACCGGTTAGGTCTACAGTGTGTCTTTTTTTTAAAAGACATAGTATTCTATATAAAGATGTACCCATACATTTAACCAGTTCCTTAGGATAGATACTTGTTATTTTAAGTCTTCTGCTTTTAAAACAGTGCAACAGTAAATATGTATGTCTTCAGTACGGCCCAACTATCTATATGGGATAAATCCCTAAACATGTAATTATTAAAGTGTGTGTGCAATTTAGATTTTACAAATTCAGTTCGTTTATATCAAGTATGAATATTTAGGAAAGCTCCCTGGGTGTTTATGAAAAGTATTTTCACTCTAAAGCACTATTGTAGAGTAAGATTTGATTTGATTCTAATGAAACTCACTTGTTTACTTTCTTGTTTTCATTTGAAGCCTGTGCCTACTGCACTGGCTCAAGTGGATAGAGAAAAAATCTATCAGTGGATCAATGAGCTGTCCAGTCCTGAGACCAGGGAAAATGCTTTGCTGGAGCTAAGTAAGAAGCGAGAATCTGTTCCTGACCTTGCACCCATGCTGTGGCATTCGTTTGGTACTATTGCAGCACTTTTACAGGTGGGTATATATCCATGAGCTGTAACTCTCTCACTTTGCCCAAATGATTTTGAAGACATTAGTAGGATGAGTCTCTAAATGTTGGCATTTGCAAGAATCTTGTAGAAAAGTCTAAGGTACTTGTTAAAATGCAGATTTTTGGACACTACCCAAGATATTTGATTTATTTAGTCTAAGGTTAAAATCTGTATTTCTAATAAGCACCTCCCCTGCTCTCGGGTGATTCTGATGCAGGTGGTCTAACAACTACACTGTGAGAAACACAGCTTTAGGAGTACTACAGGACAGTTCTCCATAAAAGTGGTGAAAAGGTGGAAAGTCAGGTATAAAGACTGCAAGGTATATGCTGGGAAAAGAAAATATTAAAGATATGACAGTTCTGCCCTAACTGGTTTGGCTCAATGGATAGAGCGTCAGCCTGCAGACTCAAGGGTCCCAGGTTCGATTCCGGTCAAGGGCATGTACCATGGTTGTGGGCACATCCCCAGTGGGGAGTATGCAGGAGGCAGCTGATCGATGTTTCTCTCTCATTGGTGTTTCTAACTATCCCTCTCCCTCTCTGTAAAAAAATCAATAAAATATTAATAAAGAAAAAGATATGACAGTTGTAAGATTAAAGGTAGGTACACTTGTACATTAAAGATTAAATAATTGAAATTTATTTCTGACCAAAATGGTCATTGGTAGGGAACAAACTGATATGCTATAGTCTAGGAATGATTGTCCTTTAAAGTATTTTTTTTTTTTTAAATAAATTTTTATTGTTCATATTATTACAAATGTTCCTTTCCCCCCCTTCTCACCCCACCCTCTGCCCTTTCCCCACCCCCCATTGTCCTCATCCATAGGTGCACAGTTTATGTTCAGTCTCTTCCCACATCCCCCTCTCCCCTTTTCCCCAAGAATAAACAGTTCACTCCCCTTCCATACCTCTGATTCTATTATATTCAACAGTTAATATTGTTCCTCAGATTTTTTTTTTTTTTTTTTAGTTTCCTTGGTTTTTAGATTCACTTGTGGATAGTTACGTATTTGTTGTTTATAATTTTTATCTTTATTTACTTTCTCTTCTGAAAGAACCCCCTTCAGCAATTCATATAATTCTGGTTTGGTGGTGATGAACTCCTTTAGCTTTTTTTTTATTTGTGGAGCTCTTTATCTGACCTTCGAATCTGAGTGATAGCTTTGCTGGATAGATTATCTTTGGCTGTAGATTCTTGCTATTCATCACCTTGAATATTTCTTGCCATTCCCGTCTGGCCTGCATGGTTTCTGTTGAGAAATCAGCTGACAATCGTATAGGTGCTCCTTTATAGGTAACTACCTTCTTTGCTCTTGCTTCTTTTAATATTCTCTCTTTGTCTTTTGCTCTTGGAATCTTAATTATGATTTGTCTTGGTGTGGTCCTCTTTGGATTCCTTTTGTTTGGAGTTCTGTGCGCTTCCTGGACTTGTAAGTCTAATTCTTTCACCAGGTGGGGAAAGTTTTCTGTCACTATTTCTTTCAGTATGTTTTCGATATCTTGCTCTCTCTCATCTTCTGGGACCCCCATAATTCTGATGTTGGTTCGCTTGAAGTTGTCCCAGAGGTTTCTTACATTATCTTCAACTTTCTGGATTCTCTTGCCTTCTTGCTTCTGCAGAGGAGTGTCTTCTGGCTCTTTATGTTCCAAATCTTTGACTTGATTCTTGTGACCTTCCATTCTGTTTTTAGGACTCCATAAAATATTTTTTATTTCAGACAATGTATTCTTTATTTCTTGTTGATCCCTTATTATTTCTAGTTGATCCCTTTTCATATCCTCATAGGTCTTGTTTATTTTATCGGCCTTTTCTAGGAGATTCTTGAACAACCTTATAAGTGTGGTTTTGAACTCTATATCCAGTCACTTTTTGTCCTCCATTTCTTTCGTTTGTGATCTATTTGGTTTTAGGCATTTTCGCAGGCAGCTTTCCTGATGGGGCGGGGTTTAAGGGTGGAGCCTACAGCCTTGGCTTCCGTCAGCCCTGCCCTATGCGACTCCTGAGACTCAGGGTCCTTCAGTACTTGTTGCAAGCGCCTCTGAGAGAAAGGTGCCCTCGATTTTCGCCTGCTGCCAAACTGTCTATGCTCTCCCCCAATGAGTCCGGTACTGGGGTTCAGTTCAGTAGGTAGTGGGATTGGAGGTGGCGTTCAGAGCAGTCTGGAGCCCCTGTCTCCTTCCCGTCAGGGCAATCCTGCGGCACAGCCGGCCGGCCCTTCTCTGCGAGCAGTGTGCTTGCCTCCAGGATCTCCTTTTGCCGCTTCCCCGGAGTCCCGCCTTACAGCCCGGCTCCCTATGGATGAGCCTGGGTCCCCGGGGTCTGGCCTAGAATTGGGGTTCAGAGCAGTTGGAGCTGGGCCTAGCACAGTCGGAGCTTTTCTCTCCTTCCCGCTTGGGACTGCCAGCCAGGCACTCGGCCTCCCTCCTCTCTGGCTCTGTCCTCTCCGTGCGCGCCGCGTGTCTCTGTACCTTGGGCTTTTACAGCTCCTCCGCGCTTCCTTCTGGTTTTCTCCTTGCTTCTCGTTGTAGAATTTCCAGTCAGTCGACTTTCCTGTAGTTCTGGGTAATGTCCATTTTATATTTTAGCTGTATTTTGTTGAAATTGTTGTGTGCGGCTGCGGCTAGTTGCCTACCCGAGCAGCCATCTTGGATTCTCTTCTGTCCTTTAAAGTATTGTATGAAATACCTAATATATATATATTAAGTTTTCAGATCTGTTAAGTCAGTTCACATTCTATCCCTATTGCATGTAGCCAAGAATTTAATCTTTACTTATTGGGATATTTTTTATGTAAAAGTTACAATTAAAATAAATGAAATTTATTCAATAAATCAATCATCACCTTTTGAGAGAGAGAGAGAGTACATATATTCACTGCATATACCCATGTTCTTATCTTCCTCTTTTTGCAATTACTATCTGACTAAACTCAAGCTCCTTTATAAGTCACTGTGGTTGATTTACTAACATTTTCTGGCCAGCTACCTCATCACTGTAACTTAAAGCAGGCAGGGTGTTGACAAAAAAAAAGGATTATAAATGTAAGAACTCCACACAAGTGAAAGCTTCCACAGATGCAGGATATAAAGAAAGTGTCGGTGACCACAGTTGCCTCCATAGCTGTCTTCCTAGAGACATGTAGAAATATCCCAGATTGTCTCAGCCAAGTACATTTCTGATGAAAGAATACAAGTGTATTTAACTTATTTGCGTTAATATCATGGGAATTAAATTTTATAACAAATACGTTGTTCATCTGGTGGTTTCCATTTTTTTTAGGAAATCGTAAATATTTATCCATCTATCAACCCACCCACCTTAACAGCACACCAATCTAACAGAGTTTGCAATGCTCTGGCATTACTGCAATGTGTGGCATCACACCCAGAAACCAGGTAAATATTTTGAATGAATATGTTTGGAAAGGTTTGTAATGAATGTTATCTTTAACTTTTTCTGAATGATGACAAGGAGGGGCATGCAGTAAAATGCATGTATGTGGGCATGGATAGTCACGATTCACATTTACTTTTTTATTTTACCCTGAAGAATTTCTGGTCTCTTATTCACTAAAGTTTAGTATGATGACAGTTAAAGTATTGTTTAACATGTTCTCTTATAATTAACTTTTTTTAACCTTTTTTAGTGTGGTAAAATATACATAACATAAAATTTACCATTTTAACCACTTTTAAGGGTATAATTCATTAGTATTAAATATACTTATAATGTTCAACCATCACTACCATCCATCTCCATAATTCTTCATCTTTTAAATCTAAAACTATAGCCTGGCTGGTGTGGCTCAGCTCTTTGAGGGTTGACCCATGCATCAATAAGTCACTGGTTCGATTCCCAGTAGGGGGCATGCAGGAGGCAGCCAATTGATGATTCTCTCTCATCATTGATGTTTTTATCTCCCTCTCCCTCTCTGAAATCAATAAAATAAATTAAAATTTTTAGAGTTTTGGTGTTAGTTCTCCTACAAGGTTTAACTATAAATAATATAAAGTTATAGATTGATTCCATATTAGTTTCCTGACATAAGTTGCAAATTAAAATGTTTTTAGAGTAGTGTATCTGGAATTTAATAAAAAGAGAAGAATATATTTGTCTGACTATACCGATAAATATTGTTATTCAGCCATAACTTAGGTGAGAAAAGGCTTCTAGGAGAATCTCTTGGACATTTGATAGCATTTTATGATCTAATTTTTTTAAATCTGCATATTTTTAAATATTTGGTGCTGATAAGCGGAAAAATCATGTACTCTCTTAACCATTGGCCTAGACTAGGGTTTTTAAATCTTGACATTGATGTTTTGAGCTGGATAAGTGTCTGTGGTGGGAGGGGAGCGGGCTGTCCTGTATATTGTAGGATGTTCAGCATCCCTGGCCTCTGTCTACTGGATGCCAACAGCACCACCTCAGTTGTGACAACCAAAATTATCTTCAGCCGAAACCGGTTTGGCTCAGTGGTAGAGCGTCGGCCTGCGGACTGAAAGGTCCCAGGTTCGATTCCGGTCAAGGGCATGTACCGTGGTTGCGGGCATATCCCCAGTAGGGGGTGTGCAAGAGGCAGCTGATCGATGACTCTCATCAATGTTTCTAACTCTCTCTATCCCTCTCTCTTCCTCACTGTAAAAAAAAAAAATCAATAAAATATATATTTAAATATATATATATATCTTCAGACATTGCCACATGTCCCCCATTGAGAACCACTTACGAAAGATCAATAACAGTCTTTGCTAAAGATTCCTTGCTCAGTCAATGTTAAAGACTTTACAGAATTAGCCATCTGGAAATTTGAATGTTTAGAATCCTTAGAAATTAATTCTGGGCTCTGAATGGTTCTTTTATTTCTTCCAGGTCAGCATTTCTTGCAGCACACATTCCACTTTTTTTGTACCCCTTTTTGCACACTGTCAGCAAAACACGTCCCTTCGAATACCTCCGGCTAACCAGTCTGGGAGTTATTGGTGAGTCTGCAAGGGTTGTTGTGCAAGTGTGAAGTCCTGGTTTATAATAGTGGTCTTAACTTGAGTGCTTTGTCTGATGTTTTTTAGTTCACTAATTGTTTTTGTCTTTGAGATTTAGAATGTTTTTACTAATGAGTATCTACCATGATGGCTCTTCTCAAGTACCATTCTGGGTATTGTTAATAAGGCCCAACATTTTGGATTAAATTCAGTGTATATGTAGAAACATTTGCTGGAATTGGGAGAGTAAAAAACAAGAGCTTCAGTCAACAAATAAAAAGTATAATTCTAGGAATAAGAATTTGAGTTTGTTGTTTTGTTTTGCCTTTCTTTCTCACTTCTAACCTGTTTTCTCTTAACTCAAAGGGTTTACCTTCTATTTCACCTAGTTAAATTTTTGCATAAGTTAATGCTTGAGTTAATGCTTCCATATGCATTTACTATGGGAAACGTATCTAAAATACATTTTACTCAAGAAAATAGTATATCTCCTATCTATACTAATAAAAGGGTAATATGCTAATTAAACCAGACAAAACCATGATGGCAGGACCAAGGCAGAAGCAGATAGAGATGATCTGGCCAGGAGGGGAGGGCAGTTGGGGGCAAGAAGGCTGGTGGGGGAGGGGGGGCAGTTGGAGGTGAGCAGGTTGGCAGTAAGAGTGGTTAGGGGCTATCAGGCAGGTGAGCGGTTAGGAGCCAGCGGGTCCCAAATTGCAAGAGGGATGTCCCAGATTGGAGAGGATGCAGGCTGGGCTGAGGAACACCTCCCCTGTCCCCATCCAAGAATTTCATGCACTGGGCCACTAGTAAAATATTGCAGATCTCGGCCTCCTGGCTAGTAAAGAGCTACTTTTGGATTTGTGAAATGTAAACACACTCAAGATGGTTTCTTTCTCAATTACCCTTTCTGTTTTTAGTGTCTTCTAATAGTTTTTGCTTACATACCAATCAAACTACAAGGACATTGATTATTCAAATTTTGTTTTATTCGGTTATTTTTATGTTCAACCTGTGTTCACATGCCTATGGTTATAAACCATGATTCAGGAAGTATAATTGAAAAGTTTGGTATTTCTAAGACATTTCTGGGACATTTTATTATGCTTTTAAGGCGTTACTATTACTTCATATACTCCAGATGCATGTTATTGTTTTTTACATCTTCTACGTGGCACTCTAATTAGCAGCTTTTTTCCAATATGTTCTTTTCCGCTTTAAGCTATATAAATTGCTATATAAATTTTCATGTAGGATTTAAGATAACATTATTTTAGCCAAAAGAAAACATTTCTATTTTAAATCTGATTTAAATCATCCTACTTCTATTGTGTGTGTTTTACTGTTGATGTTGGATGTATATTTATAAGATGGTAAGATAAATATATCACAGTGGAGGGTGAATAAAATACTTGGACAATATTAAGCCAATTGTTCACAGTTGTATATCTTTTCTGAAACTCATTTTCTCCAAGTCAATTGAAGGTAAACATTTGGACCTAAATTTTTTGCTTACACAATTAAACTTTGATTTAATAGACTAATTTGAGTGAGGTGGTATCCGTTAAAGCTGAAAGTTAATTATATCATAAACTAGGTTTGCCAGATGCATATGTCAAATGGTTGACAAATAGTTTACCTATTTTTACTCACGTAGACATGTTCACGTAATTAAAATTAAGTATATATGAGAAGTTTAATTTTATAATAAATATTTCTAGATGTATAACAGTAATTTTAAATTTATACTGAATTAGTCTAGTAAATGTGTGTATTCACCAGTCACTGCAAGTAAACAAATGCACACAGCTGGAGCACACATCGGAATATCCTCCACATGAGTTAAAACTGCTGCAGAAAGTCATGCCACACAATAAAGAACCAATTATCAAGCATGATTTTGTATGATCACATACTAGTCATCCATTGAACATTGTTTACATGGGGTAACTCTTAATTTAAATATGTAGACTGTAATTGTAGATGTAGTATTTATGTCGGCGAAATTACTGTAGTGCTTTTTCTAACATATGGCTTATTCCCTGAAATTTGTCAAAAATAACAGTGAATTGCCCAGCTGATGTCGATCAGTGGTTAAATGTTGACCTATGAACCAGGAGGTCACAGTTTTATTCTGGTCAGGGCTCAATCCCCAGTAGGGGTCATACAGGAGGTAGCCGATCAATGATTTCCTCTTATTACTGATGTTTCTATCTTTCTCTCCCTTCCTCTCTGAAATCAATAAAAACAAAAAGTAAATAAATAACAGTATGTAGTTACAGCATCGGCCTGCCTTCTCAAGGATCTTGGGCTTGATTCTTGGTCAAGGGCATGTACCTGGGTTTCAGGTTTGCTTCCCACCCCCTGTCATTGTGTACACGGGAAGCAACCAGTCTCTCTCACATCGATGTTTCTCACTCTCTCCTTCCTTCCCTCTTTCCCTCCTCCCCTCCCCATCTTTCTCCCCTTTCTCACTCCTTTCCTTCCACTCTCTCTCTGAAAAAGCAATGGGAAAATATCCTCTAGTGAAGATTAACAACAACAACAAAATTACAGTGAACTAACAACAAAAAATAACCTGTTAATTTAATTATAAGCAAATTTTGGTTAAAAGCATTAACATCCTATTAATTATAAAATGCTTTTAACCAAAATTTGCTTATAATTAAATTATAAATTAATTTACCAAATGCTTTTAACCAAAATTCACATATGACATACGTCCCGGAAATTTTGTCCATTAAATCCCAAATTCATTAAGTTGAGGTCTGCAAAATCAAGGTTTTACTGTAATGTAGTTCAAGAGTCATCAAGCAAGTTTGAATATAAATGAAACGATACATAAAAGAAATTAGGGCAGAAACCGGTTTGGCTCAGTGGTAGAGCGTCAGTCTGCAGAATGAAAGGTCCCAGGTTTGATTCCAGTCAGGGGCATGTACGTTGGTTGCGGGCACATCCCTGGTAGGGGGTGTGCAAGAGGCACATCCCCGGTAGGCACCTGGTTGATGTTTCTCTCTCATCGACGTTTATAGCTCTCTCTCTCTCTCCTTTCCTCTCTGTAAGAAATCAATAAAATATTTTTTTTTAATTAGAAAACACTTGAAACTGAATAAAAATTAAAACACATCAAAATTTGTACAATGCAACTAAAGCAGGGCTTAGAAAGAAATTTGTAGCACTAAATTCTTCTACTAGAAAAGCAGAGAGGTCTTTAGTTAAATATCTTAAGCAATCACTTTAAGAAACAAGAAAAAGGCCGAAACCGGTTTGACTCAGTGGATAGAGCGTCAGCCTGCGGACTAAAGGGTCCCGGGTTCCATTCCAATCAAGGGCATGTACCTTTGTTGCGCGCACATCCCCAGTAGGGGGCGTGCAAGAGGCAGCTGATCGATGACTCTCATCGATGTTTCTACAATAACTCTATCCCTCTCCCTTCCTCTCTGTAAAAAAATCAATATAATACATTTAAAAAAAAGGAACAAGAGCTCTAACTGGTTTGGCTCAGTGGATAGAGCACTGGCCTGCCAACTGAAAGATCCCAGGTTCGATTCTGGTCAAGGACATGTACCTTGGTTGCAGGCACATCCCCAATAGATGTGCAGGAGGCAGCTGATCAATGTTTCTCTCTCATCGATGTTTCTAATTATTTCACTCTCTTCCTCTCTGTAAAAAAAATCAATAAAATATATATTTTTTAAAAGAAAAAGGAGGAAGAAAAGATTTTCTTTTTATCAACCTTGACTTCTTTTCTGAGATGCAAAATGCAAAAGGCAAAAAGTGGAACTCCACAACTAAGTTGGGTTGGAGGAAAGGCTTGAAATTTCAACCGGTAGAAGCTAAAGAGGAGCATCATGCTGATGGTGAACCAAGTAAACAAAACTCAGTTGTCTCATTGAGTTCTGCTTCCCTTTATGCAGAATGGAGACAACACCACTGAACTGTGTCAGCCACCTGGTCAGTGGTGTTCGTTTAGGGACCAGCAGAACAATAGTATTTTAGAAATCATTTGTTTCAACTCTTACTTTTAGATAAAGAAGCAGGCCTACAACGGGAAGGTATCTTTATCAAACTTAACTATTATGGAACCAGGATTAGAATGTAGGTTTATGTGTGTTTCTTGTTTGGATATCTAAATGTTTGTGCTCTTTGAGTAAAGAGGGGAATTAATAATCGGGAAGTAATGTTTATTTATGTGCATTGTGAAGTAGGATTCAGACTGAAACAATTTTTTTGCTATCTGGGAATGTGCTTTAATACTGATGTAGAATTCTCTTAACTAAAACAAATGAAGAATAGATGGTATATTATCATATGATTGTCTACCAAGAGTGATAAAAATAATGATTTAGATGGCTACAGTACTGCTAACTGTGATGGACCAAACTTGGTTCCTGATCTTTTAGAGTTGACTGATAGCAGTCACTCTGCTTCTCTTCCTCCCTCCCACCCTTTTTTTAAAAAACATGGGGACAGCTGATGTTCTGACATATAAACCACAGTTTGTGTTCTTTGTTATTTAAGTTCCACAAGGAGCGTGGATGAACAGTAAGAAAGTTCATTTTAATTGGAAGCCCTAACAACTGAGATACTTTGTCCATATTTTCTTAGGAGCTCTGGTGAAAACGGACGAGCAGGAAGTGATCAATTTTTTATTGACAACGGAAATTATCCCTTTGTGTTTGCGCATTATGGAATCTGGAAGTGAACTTTCTAAAACAGTATGTGCTTTTAACTTAATGGATTCTACATTGTTGGCTTGAGCTACTTCTTTATGGTGTATAGGATAACTATTCTGGAAAGCTATTTGGAAGTATCCACTATAAACGTAAGCCTATTCCATGATCCAGCAGTCCCACTCTCAGGAATACACACAAAAGAAATAAACTCTCATGCACATCAACACAAGAATGTTTATAGCAGTTTTACTTATAAAGGATAAATTGTATTATACTCACAAAATAAACAGTGTAGTAATTAGCCTTGGCCCTTTGTACACTTGACACATACTGTATATGTTTATAATACTTTGCTATTGCTGCCATAACAAATTGCAACACTCGTGGTGGCTTAAAATATTAATAGCACAAACTTACTCTGTTATGGGTCTGGAAGCCGGAATTGTGAATCCGTTTCACCAGTGAAAGTCAGGGAGTCAGTAGGGCAGTGTTCTTTCCGGAGGCTCTAAGGGAGAGTCCCTTTCCTTACGTTTCCATTTTCAAGAACTATATGCCTTCACTCCTGCACCCCTCCTCCATCTTCAAAGCCAGCAGTACAGATGTTAAAATCTCTGCTGCTGTCCCACTGCCTTTGCCCTGTGGTGACTCTCCCTCCACCTCCCTCTTGTAACAGCACTTGTGATGCTCTGGCCGGGGTGGCTTGGTTGGGTGTCATCCCATGAACTGAAAGGTTTCCAGTTTGATTCCTGGTCAGGGCACAACACAGTGCCCCAGTTGCAGGTTCAGTCTCTGCTTAGGGATAAGCAGGAGGCAGCTGATCTATTGGTTATGCTCACAGTGGATCTCTTTCTCTCCCCCTCTCCCTTTAAAAAAAAAAAAAACACCAAAAACAAACAAACAAAAAACACTTGTGATTACATTTAGGATATACCCTGATAATCCAGGATGAGTAATCTCCCTCACCCTCCTCCAAGATCCTAAAATCATATTTATCAGGTTCCTTTTGCCATATTATGTAGCATTTGCAGAGTTTGCTGATTAGGACCTGGATATCTTTGGGAGCCATTATTAGCTAACCACAATGTAATATCCAAGTAAAATAAACTAATTCCCACAATTGATTCTGATGAGCAGGCAAAGAAGAGAATCATTGGAATAACTGACTTAAACTAGTATTTTTTAAATTCCTTCTATGTAAAAATCTCAGTTCTGCAACTTAATAGCTTTGTCACTTGGGACCATAACCTGGCAAGTTATTGATTATCAGTTATACCTGATATGTAGTGGGTATTTAGTAAAAGAAAGGTTCTACTTTTTACGAATCTGATAATTATCCAGAATCTCTTCTTTTGTATATGTAAAATGAGAATGACAATGGTCCCTACCTCAGGTAGGTTGTGAAAATAAAATAAAGCATGTTTTATATCTTTAGGAAAAATTCTGACAGACAATAAGTATTCAATATTGTAATAGTTTTTTTTTACTTTTTACTATGTATATCTCGTCAAGTAAGATATATGTAACACAAGGGTCTCTAATTCATGGTTATTTCTAGGAGATTGAATAGACTGTTGGAAGACAAATCTGAGTAATGTTTTGGATTCTTTAATTTTGTTTTACTCCAGGTTGCCACATTCATCCTTCAGAAGATCCTCTTAGATGACACCGGTTTAGCTTATATATGTCAGACATATGAGCGTTTCTCCCATGTTGCCATGATCTTGGTGAGTTTCTTTATCCACCCTCTTTGCAATTACTTCTGACTACACAGCTTAGTCCCTTTGCAATTGACACTGAGCAACTTCAGTATTCCAACTAGAAATAACCCTGGAACCTAGTATAATCATTCTTGCAATATCTCATCAGTTGATTATTTTGTGTTTTGTGGTTTTTTTCCTACCCACTCCATTTTGGGGAGAAACAGGGTAAGATGGTCCTGCAGTTATCAAAAGAACCTTCTGCCCGTCTGCTGAAGCACGTAGTAAGATGTTACCTTCGACTCTCAGATAACCCCAGGTAAACATTTACAGAATTTATAGGACTTTAGGAAAATAATCGGGTGAATGGTTGCTTCATCTCATGGCATAGTTTCTATATCTTTACAGGAGGGAAGGGGTATAACTATATTTAGTTTATCTGAGACAGAACTTGATTAATTCCTTTTAAAATCTGAAGTGCTAAATTTTAAAAATCCATCAGAATTTTATTTCCCCATTATAACTTTGTTCCCTACTCTAAAATTCCAGAGTTCAGATAATTCCCTGGGAACTTTAGTACATATTACTTCTGTGATTTGAGCTTTCTGTTGCTACTCTAGGTGGTCAAAAAGTTAATATTTTCACATATCTTAAGAAAGGAGCAGGGCTAAAAGGCTCGTGATGTATTTCATTTCTCTTCATGATTCCTGTAAAGTTCTAATCTTTCTGCCAGAAATCATATATTGTAGGTATAATGCATTTTAGAAATATTTGACCTTGTGCTTTATAAATCCATAATTCATGCTGAAAGCCACTTGCTCAGGTTCTGATAAACCACATAATGGGGTGATTTCTGTGTTCCGAGGAATGGGAATTACTTGATTTAATGTGAACTCTTGCCTCTGAGGTTATTCAAGCCCTAACTACTTATTTGACCATTTTGTCCTGTTCCTTAGTGGTTTCTATTTTCACCAAAGCGACTATGTTCATTTAAAATTGTACAGAGTCGTAACTTCGCTTAAAATAAAAACTGCCTTATACAGGGGTGGGCAAAAATAGGTTTACAGTTGTGAATATGCAGAATAGCTTATTGTTTGTATTGTTATTTATTTGTATTATTAGTCTTATTATTGTTATTATTTTGTATCCTGAGTTATGATTTATCTTTTAGGTAATGATGTCTAGTAATTTAACCTACTTTTGCCCACCTCTGTAGTTCAACCTTTTGAGGTTTTCAAATTTGACTTTCTGCTGGTCAACTTAAAAAAAAAAAAAAAAAAAGCACATAAAAGTTCATCTGATAATTTTGCTACCATAGTTTTGTTTTTATTGCTCATCTCTTATTAAGGGTTTTAACTATAAAACTGAAGCAATTTTTGGAAAGAAATTTATATTGATTTAGAATTAAAGTTTATTGAAATACTATTAATCTGGTCATATTCTTTGTTAGCATATTGATTTTGGAAATGTTTCATTTATTATAACCCATATATTTCTGATATGAACATATTGGCAATATTTACTGTAATCAGAAAGCAGTTTGAATTGAAGTAAACTATTATACCATTTCATTCCATTTTCCTTTATCATGAAATTCTCTATCATGAATTTCATTGTGAAAATCTGCAGGCTACGGATTCTGGAATGTCTGAGCCTATACCTCATATAAGCTTTAGAGAATGTTAATGACTTCTTATAGTAACTTGACAGAGCCATAGATTCCAGAATTCTGTATAGTTATGTCTAAGTAAGGGGCTCCTCCCTGTCCCTCAAATGTGGGTTTATTTGTTGGTCTCCCTGGCTGGTTTGTTTGTTTCTGATGCAGGGCACGTGAAGCACTCAGGCAGTGCCTCCCTGACCAGCTGAAGGACACAACCTTCGCCCAGGTGCTAAAAGATGACACCACCACCAAGCGCTGGCTTGCACAGCTGGTGAAGAACCTGCAAGAAGGCCAGGTCACCGACCCCCGGGGTATCCCCCTGCCCCCTCAGTAATTCTCTCCTGTCCCCTCCCTCTGCTCCCACAAGTTGGGAAGGGAGAGGGAACCTTCGAAGAAAACAGCTCAGGTTTTATTGCCTCAATGCGGACTGCGCTGGAGAAAGAAGGCGAGGTACTCCAGCTGAGGTGTATGAGCTGCCGTCTCAGGCTGTCTGGCAACATGGGCTTCCTCTGCTACTCCCAGAAAAATGGGCTCCTGACGGCAGCCTGCCACCACAGCCCCAGGAGAGAGTCAGCACCAGCAAATGCTGTATTTACAGCATGCCCAAGACCTCCCCACCTCTCCCCAGCCGCTGGCAGGGAGAGGAGACATGGTGATAGCAGCGGCACTCTAGGCATGGTGAGCGCCTGGGACCAAGCCATGTGGTGTGTGTGTGTTTTTCATTTTGCCTTTCTGGAAGACTCAAGATGTGTCTCTTCATTCTCTCTCTCTCAGTATTTGTTTACTTTGGTATCTGTTAGTTCCTTTAAATCTCAGAGAGAGGGGTGTGTTTAGTGGACACAAGCTGTGATATTCAGCAAACTTTGTCAGTTGGCAGTGTTTACAATCTGTTAGCTGCATAAGCTCAATAAAACATTGGTCTGGGCATAACATCCCTTCCAGCAGGCCACTAGCTTCACGAACTGTTGGGAAGAATGGAGGCAGGAGAAAGGGATAATGCCAACGGACAGCAGGAGCCCAACTACCTATTTCCCTTCCCTTCCCAGTCTTCTCCCCTCAGTTCTGGATGCCACCAGGACCTTACCCTCATTTTTGGCTTCAGCTGCTAACTTTTCCAAATCTCATTTTCCTCCAGTTAAACTTAAAACAGATGTCTTAATTCATCAGGCTGACCTGGAAAGAAGCAGTGGTTCTCACCTATTCAAGTCCTTAAAGATCTTTTCTGGAAGACTTTTTTAAAGGGAGGTGCCTGGAATTAAGATGATAGGCTACTTGATCCCGTTTGTTTTAGTGTGAATTTCTGCAGCTCCATCTGTCTTCGTGATGGTACCTGAAGCAGTATTAGCCAAATTGAGTTCATTTTTCTCAGTTGATTCAGTCTTTTCTTTCTTTTTTACACATTCCCTTTTGATCTCTGGAAATTCAGGGTTGCCACTAAAATTTTTTTCACTATTCATATTGTGTTAGAGCACCCCCTTCCTTCTCTGGAGCCTTAGGTGACTCCACTCACAATCCAGTGTAAACTGCCTTGCTTTGTCCCAATCCTTCCTTCTACCAACACCTGCTCGCTCTCTCTCTCTCATCCGCATCTCTATTGAAAGATGGGATTGTTAATCCAACTCTAGAGAGAGACCAAGTATATTCTGTTCACATCTCACACAATCGAAGGTGTGTGAACAAGCGCAGCCCAGAAAGGGCGAGCCCAGAGAAGGCTGCGGAGGCAGTTTGCCAACACAAGGGCTCTTTCAGGCTGCCTTTCACGAGGGAGCCAGCCTCGTTAGTCGGCTTCTGTCTCTTAGAGCCAAGAAAGTAGTAATTAATAAGCCTCGGTGTAGGAAGAGTAGGAAGAGCACTTATTCCCCTGCCTTCCAAACTGAAGAGGAGGACCAAACTAGTTCAGTGATCTCAGGCCTGAAGAGAAGAGGTCTGGGGGGAACAGAGAAGAAGAATGGACTGGATAAACATCTTGACTCCCTTCAGCCCATAGGTTGTATCTGGAGAATCCAGCTAGGGTAACCCTAATTTTTGCCAACCATCTTCCTGCTGAGCCAAAGTGTTCTTGTCCCCCTCCACTGGGAAACAGCTGAGGCTCAGGCCCTTGCTCCCTGAGAAATTATTTCTTCATCTTTCGGTGCATTGGCCCTATTACTGTGCCAATAGTGTCTTAATTCTTGTTCCATCTATTCTCAGCTGTCCTCAGACCCCATATAGGAGTTGCAGGGGGAGTGGAAATGGGTATTATTCCTTGTAGTTGATTCTGATGTGTGTATAAAGAAGCCCCTCCCCTCATTCTGTGTTTTTCATCCCTTGCATTTCTTCAACAGGATTGAAATAAAACATGTTTCTGTTTTTATAAAAATATTTTTTCTTTAAACTGGACATTTTATTTTGTCAGTATAGAGATATCTAGGCACTTTAGATAGATGATCCTTGTCACCCCTGCCTACCCTCTGTCTACTTTAACAAACATTGACCTGCCAAGAAAGTAATGATAGTTCCTTTGTGGATAAGTCATTTGGGAGAGGCTAGCTGATGTATAAAAGCTGTTTGGGAGAGAGATGTTGTGCCCTTTATCTGATAAAGTATCTCTTTACTGGGACAGAACCTTATTCCTGGCTGCAGTGGCCAGAACTTAATACTGGTATGGGAGAGACTTCTATAAGTAAAGAGGTAACACTTGAAAGATTTTATCATCAACTCTAATACCAATTTTCTTCTGGGATTCAGGACTTAGAACTCATCTCCAGAGTTGTTTCCATGCCTGGTCATGTCTCAGTGGGAATAGAGAGCCTCAGTGCAGAACTGCACTGGAGGAAGAAGCCAACCTCTGCTTCCAGCTTTCCCCCCTCCTGGTTTTAGAGGCCCTGTGACTGTTTCCGAGGTACAACAGGGCGGGAGAGACATTGGTAACCTTCAGAGTATGCCTTCTTACTATCCATATTTACGATTTCCTGCTACTCAGTGGCTGGGAAAGAAGAAATATACAAAATTATTGCTATCAAAAACCTAAGAAAAACAAGTTGAATAGGAAAACAATGAAATGAGATTTCTGGGTATTATAGATTAATTTTAAAAATATTTTAATATATTTATTTCAAAAGCAAATATAGCATAAGTTGAACAACACAAGAAACCTAGTTTAATTGACAAATAGAATGCTATCCTCCAAACCAGTATACATACTGTTTTTAATTAGATTGGAAGTATTTTACCTAAATTGATCAAAATTAGACCATCAAGCATATCTCAACATTTTTTTTAATAGAATGTTATCAGAACTGAACACATGCGATTAAGCTAGGAAAAAAGAAAACTGGAAAATCCCTAACTGTTTAAGAATGGGTAGTACAAAATAAGTAGAGAAAGATAAATATATGGTTTCACTTGTATGTACAATTTAATGAGCAAAATAAACTAGAAACAGATTCAGATACAGAGAACAGACTGACAATTGTCAAGGGTGGGGGTTTGGGGCCTAGATGAAAAGGTGAAGGGGATTAAGCAGTACAAATTGGTAGTTACAGAATAGCCACAGAGATATAGATTACATAGGGAACAGAGTAAATAAGCTAAAGAGGTGTGGGGCCAGGTGGGTACTTGAAACAGCAGGGGACCACTCTACGTGATTTTCTAATCACTTTGCTATACATTTGAAACTAGCATAGAATATATTGTGCTAGTTTCAAATCCATATATATATGGCCAGGGTCCTAACATCCAAAATGACGCGGGCTCTACCAAACGCCAGGCTGCACGCTCAGCAGGCGAGCAGGCTGAACTGATCTCTACGGGTGAGAGAGAGAGAGGGCTCATCAGCAGTGGTTGCTGGTGAGGCCTTTCCCAGAGGTCAGCAGTTCAGCTCGCTTACCAGCAGCCTAAAGCTGCTGCTGATCAGCCCCGCCTCTATGATCAGGCCTGAAGATAGGCCCAGAGATGCTGACTAGCATAGAAACTGACCAATCAGAACTAAATCTGGGTGAATTGTAACCAATGGCTGTCTAGGAGGCAGAGCTTTTGATGCTGAATGACAAAAAAAAAAAAAAATCAGAACTAAAGCTGGGTGAACTATAAGGAACCAATGGCAGCCTAGGAGGTGGGAGCTTTTGACACTGATTGGCATAGAAACTGGCCAATCAGAACCTGCTCTGGGTGAACTGCAAAGGCAGAACCTAAGGTGGGGGCTGAGAAGGGGTTTTAAGGATAACAGCTATTTGGTGTAAGGTGTATGAAAGTGACTGAATTTTTTAATGACCGGTTTGACAGTAGAGTGCCATGGTCAGCAAACTGTGGCTCTCGAGCCACATGCAGCTCTTTGACCCCTTGAGTGTGGCTCTTCCACAAAATACCTCAGCCTGGGCGAGTCTATTTTGAAGAAGTGGTGTTATTGATAGAATAAGTTTAAGTTTAAAATTTTTGGCTCTCAAAAGAAGTTTCAATTGTACTGTTGATATTTGGCTCTGTTGACTAATGAGTTTGCTGACCACTGATATAATGCATATGGTTGGCTTTCAGTCCAGACACAGGGATTACGTGTTTTTGTCAAGAGCATCTCCTACTGAAAAAGAAACCACCCCCCTCATTTAAGCAATCCTATCCTATATAATTTATACTAATAATAGGATAATATGCTAATTAGCCCGGGCCAACCGGCCATCTCCCAGATATCTGACTTCCTTCTGGACAAAGCCATGGTGGTGGGGGCCAAGGCAGGCAGTTAGGGGCAATCAGGCCGGTAGGGGAGGGCAGTTGGGGGTGATCAGGCAGAAAGAAAAGTTAGGAGCAATCAGCCAGGGGGATAAAGTAGGGGCAATCAGGCCGGCAGGCAGAAACGTTAAGAGTAGTCAGGCAGGCAGGTGAGTGGTTAAGAGCCAGTCATCCTGTATTGCGAGAGGGATGTTGATTTGGGTTTAGGCCCAATCCCACAGGGGAGTCCCCCAAGGAGTCCCAGATTGGAGATGGTGCAGGCCAGGCTGAGGAACACCCACTCCATGCACGAATTTCATGCACCAGGCCTCTAGTTTCATATAATAAAAGCCTAATATGCAAATTGACCAAACTGTGGAACAACCAGTTGCTATAATGCACACTGGCCACCAGGGGGCAGATCCTTGACACAGGCCAGAAGCCAGCCAAGTCAGGGGGCCCTCCAATTGCCCCACTGATCACCCCACAGATCAGCCCTGATTATTGGCCAGACCTGGGGACCCTACCCATGCATGGATTTCGTGCACTGGGCCTCTGATAGTGAATATAAATTATAATTCGAAAAATCAAAATTTATAACAGGGAGGTGGGGAGAGGGTATACAGGGAATAAATGGTGATAGGAGACTTGGGTGGTGAACACAATACAATATACAGATGACATATTACAGAATTATACACCTGAAACCTATATTAACCAGTTTCACCTCCATTAAATTGTTTTTTAAAATGTAATGTGTAATCTTAAACCATAAATCAAAAACCATAAACCCTGGATAAGAGAAGAAATCACAAAAGGAAATTAGGAAAAGTTGTATTTTGATGATAATGAAGATGCGCCATGTCAAAACTTGTGGCATGCAGGTAAAGCAGAACTTAAAAGAGATACATGGCTTTAAATTCACACATTATAAAAGAAAGGCTGAAGTTAATGGTCTAGAAACTGGAAAGGAATAGCAAATTTAAAAAAATAGAAGGAAAGATACCCAAAAAAAGCACACCAGTTAATTAGAAAACTAATGTACAATACAATAAAGAAAATCAACAAAGCCTAATATCATTCCCTTGAAAATAATAAAACTGATAAACCCTTAGTAGACTGATGAGGAAAAAATAAAAATGTTAGAAATTGAAAAAAGGACATTTTCATATTCTACAGTTACCAATCTCATTAACTGCCAGAGACTAGAAAAAAGGAACATTCAATTCACTTTTATTTTTTTTCAGTTTGGTGGTTTCCTCTTTATTGATGAGCCTCTTACCTTGCCCCCACAATTTTATCCCCTTCCATCTACCCCACAAAAAGGTAGTGAAAGGAAACCAGTATTGGAGTTCTGAGCTCCTTGGGCAATTAGAAAAGGAACAGAAACGAAAACAATCCCTGGATGTGACAGATTGACAATCAAGAAGTCTAAAGCAGCCGAGACCGGTTTGGCTCAATGGATAGAGCGTCGGCTTGGGGACTGAAGGGACCCGGGTTCGATTCCGGTCAAGGGCATGTGCCTTGGTTGTGGGCATATCCCCAGTGGGGGGTGTGCAAGAGGCAGCTGATCGATGACTCTCTCTCATCGATGTTTCTAACTCTCTATCTCTCTCTCTTCCTCTCTGTACAAAATCAATAAAATATATTTAAAAAAAAAATAAAAAAAATAAAAATAAATTAAAAAAAAAAAAAAAAGAAGTCTAAAGCAGAGTGGGAAAGGTGGTAGAAAGGAGAAGGCAGGAGAAAGGAGAGATACCAGAGGCCATCGCCCCCTTTAGCCCCTCTGCTAAGAGGTTCTGGAGAAGAGCCTCAAACATTAGGAAGTTCAGGTCCTGAGGGAAGAAGTCAGGGAAGGGGGGGCCATCTCTCTCTCTGTGGAATGGAACTCCCCCGCCCCCCGCAGGCGCAGCAGTTTCACAGGCCATAGGCAATATATAGAAGGAAGTCTTCCTCATGGTGTTCCTGGTGTAGCTGACGCATCGTGGCACTGGTGGGTGGAATAACTACTGACAAAGAAAAACAAGGCATCCTCAGCTCAGAGGTGAGTTCTCTTCAAGATCAAGAAGTAGAACTGCCCAGCTGTGAGATCAGAAGGCACCAGGTATTGCTTTTTGTCCAAGTCTCCTATCCGAGCTTTGGGAGCCTTTTCTACTATCACCAGGTCCTGGTCTGTCTGCGTATTTCTTTCTGATCTCTCCCTCAGAGTGGTGCTTCTTGAACGGATGCCCCTCTTTATACACAAACTTTATCCTGCTGGGAACCTGGCTGGATTGGGCGGGGCTGAGGGAACACACGGGGAGGAGGGGCTGGGGGGGGACTGGGTGGGGCGTGGCGGCAGCCACAGTGGCAACATGCAGGCCTCAGTTCACTTTTAAAGCAGTATTAACTCAGCCACCAGAACCTGTCATGGATATCAAGAAAAGCAAGGGCCAAAACCCCATCAATATAGACAACATTTCTAGACAAGATAAAGCAAATCTAGCATTATATAAAGACTAGAAACCCAGTGCCCAAAATTCATGCACTGGGGGCAGTGGAGGGGGAGAGGCAGGGTGTCCTTCAACCGAGCCTGCTCCCTCTGGCAGTCCAGGAGCCCCTGGCAGGGGGTGTCCGATTGACAGCTTAGGCCTGCTCCCCAGACATCCTTAGCACTGCCTCCTTGTGGGAGCGCACTGACCATCAGGGGGCAGCTCCTGCATTAGAATCTGTCCCCTGGTGGTCAGGGTACTTTATAGCGGCCAGTCCTTCTGCTGTTAGGTCAATTTGCATGTTAACCTTTTATTATGTAGGCTAATAAATGAATTGGCCTGCAGGGTCAGACAGAAACCAGCTCTCCAACATCCCCTGAAGGGTCCAGAATTCTGAGAGGGAGCAAGCCAGGCCAAGGGGCCCCACCCTTGCACGATTGGGGCCTGAATGTAGGAGGCCCCTATTGTGCAGGAGGGGAGGGGTGCAGGAGGTTGGCCAGCCGAGGAGGGACTGCTGGAGGGCTCCAAGGTGTGTCCAGCCTTGGCTCACTCAGTCCTGATCAGCCAGATTCCAGCAGCAAGGTAACACAGGTCAGTACATCTGCCCCTGGTGATCAGTGCACATTATAGTGAGCTGTTGAGCGGCCTTAGCAGATCATTAGCATATTATGCTTTGATTGGTTGAATGGCTGACCCATTGACCACAAACTTAGTATGCTAGGCTTTTATTATATAGGATGATAGCCTGGCCAATGTGGCTCAGTGGTTGAGCATCAACCTATGAGCCAAGAGGTCACCATTAGATTCCAGGTGAGGGCATATGCCCAGGTTGCAGGCTCAATTCCCAGTAGGGGCATGCAGGAGACAGCCAATCAATGATTCTCATTGATGTTTCTATCTCCCTCTTTCTTCCTCTCTGAAATCAATAAGAATATTTTTTAATTATTCCAAAACCCTGGCAATAAACCTCATATTGAAATAATTACTTTATAATATACATTTTTATTGATTTCAGAGAGGAAGAGATATATAGAAACATCAATTATGAGAGGGGATCATTGATTGGCTGCCTCCTGCATGTTGGACCGAGCCAGCAACCCAGACATGTGCCCTTGACCAGAATCGAACCTGGGACTCTTCAATCCACAGGCTAACATTCTATCCATTGAGCCAAACTGGCTAGGGCTGAAATCATTATTGATAAAGTGTTGAAAATCATTATTGATAAAGTGTTGAAATAATTCTCCATGAGATGAGGGACAAGATAAAGATGTTCATATCACACCTCCACTTACCATTATACTGGTTATGGCCAGTGTGATAAGACAAGAAAAGAAAAGGCAAAATTACAAATGGGGTAAAAAATGCTGACAATATGATTGTATACACACATCTAAAAGAATCTACAAGCTCTTAGAATTAGGTGAATTTTGCAAAGCCAATATACAAAAATATCAACTATTTTTCTAAATACAACGATAGAAAATAAAGCTTCAAATTATTATAATAGCATAAGAAATTAAAGAGCTAGAAATATATCAAAAGACATGCAGAACTTTTACATTGAAAACAATGAAACATTCTTAAATGAAACGTACAGAAATGGAGAGATATATCATCTTCATAAATTGGAGAACAATGGTGTAAAAAGCCAATTTTTTCAAATGGAGCTGATTAAACTCAATTCTAACTAAAATCCCAGCAGATTTGTTTTTGTGAAAACTGATAAGCTGATTCTAAAATGTGTATGGAAATGCAGAGTGCCAAAGCAATCTTGAGTAAGAAAATTGGAGTCCTCCCATTCCCAGATGTGGTTCTTCAACTGTCAACTTTTTACTAATACCTTTTTGTAGATATGAGTCTTAATAGCACACACTTATATTTTGTTATATGACCTTTTCTGAAAGGTTTCTTATGGAATATACCATTTGTATTTTTTTTATTCTAGCTTCTATTATTTCAGTCTCATTTTATACCTCCTTGTTCCCTCTCCCCTGGGTGTTTTTAATTTTGTTGGAATGAAGAATGGCTATATATTCTCTGGTCTTTTGCAGTTGTATATCTTTTATTCTACAGGTACTGATGATTTTTTAAATGAAATTTAATATTTTGTGTTACTTTTTGAACCATCAAGAAGATGGGTTTTACTTCAGAAGTGTGAGTATGGCTGGATGAGCTGGGGATCTGGCCTTTGACTTCCTAGCCTGACTGTTCCCAAAAGAAAAATGTTTAGGGTGTCACTCCTTAGTGTCAGGAGGAGGGTCTAGCCTTATCTGGATGGCAGTGTGAGAGTGTAGAGTTTAGGTCTTCCTCTGCCAGCTGAGGGCTTGAATTTAGGACTTCTGGTCCTTTCCTAGGCATGGTTCCCAGAAAGTCTCTGTGCTGCTGCTGCTGTGATCAGGTTTCTGGATCTGTTAATAATAGACAACAGTGGAGGAAGGGCCAGAATCATTATGGGAATAGGAATAACCAAACCAGGTGGACAGTTCCTATGCCTGGAGCCATCTCTCTGCAATTCTAAAGAGCATCCTGCAATGAGCGTGTCTTCTAAGCCACTCTTTGAAGCTATTCTAACCTTTGAAGGTCTCCAAGTGCCTGCCCCCAAAATCAGAACATAAGACCTGGGAGCACTGTTTATGAGGACACTGAAAGAATATTGGAGATCGGACTCTCCCAGAAAATGCAGATTGAATGAGAGTACTCCTCATAGAACACCCTAAAGGGGAGAAGGTTGGGCAGCAATAAGGAGAAGCCATTAGTCACTTAGGAAGAGGCAAACCATACAGAATCCTGGAGGAGTGGGAGTGTGAAGGGGAAGCATAGGAAGACAAGGACTCAATGATTTGAGGAAGTAGAAGGGGAAGAGTGCGACAAGCATGCAAGACACGGCCTCTATTAATTAAAATCTGAGATCAGCACTGTGGGAGCCCCTTTCACGTCCTGTGTGGTTCAGAGTTCCAGTTCAGGGTTCGGGTTCTGGAGAAGGCCGTACACAAATGAAAGAGACTAGAAAAAGATTTAATTTGGAAATATGGGGGGGCCAGGCAGGAGCCCACCTCTAGTGGGAGGGTTACTGCTAGGCTCTGGCCTTGCTATCCCTTTTATTGAGGCAATGGGATACACCCATAACCTTTAGGCAGATTTGGGATATACCCATAGCCCTAGGCAGATAATAGGCAGATTATCATATCAGGAAGGATTTACATGATTATTTGATGGGGAAGTTGCCTCAGTTTCCATTGTCTCAATAGAATTTCAGAACTTCAAGGTTGACAAGCCTTCCACATCTTTCTACTAGTGAGACAATGATCGGTTTCCAGCAAGCACAGTTTAAATATTGATACCCCCATAATCTTCCTGTTCCCAATAATGGCCTCATTCTGCCTCCCCTCTCTGTATACTCCTTCCTCTTCCTTTTTCAAAACCTTCTCTCACTAAAGTACTGTACACATAACCTAGGTATAAATTGTGAAAAACCAGTAAGGCTTCAGAAATTATCAGCTGCAAAAATTTGAAACCTTATAAAATATAATACAGATATAGCAAACTACATAAAGAAAACATATAGCTAGCTAGTTTGGCTCATTGGATAGATCATCAGCCTGTGGACTGAAAAGTCCCACGTTCAATTTCGGTCAAGGACACATGGCCTGTTTATGGGCTCTATCCCCAGTGGGGGAATTCAGGAGGCAGCCGATCAATGATTCTCATCATTGATGTTTCTATCTCTCTCTCCTCTTCCTTCCTCTCTGAAATCAATAAAGAAATATATTTTTTAAAAAATAAAACATATAGCTTAATAAGTTATTATAAAGTGAAGACCCTTTTTAGCACCCACACTCGAAATAGAACTTGACCATCTGTTTCAGAAGCCAGATCTCTGCCTTTTCCATCACAACTCCTACCTCCTCCCAAAAGTAACCACTATCCTGAAATTTATGGAAATCACTTAGAAGAATTTTATTTTAATGGGACTAAAGTTTAGCTATAAATAATCACTAATGGTAGAATATTGGGCGGTTGAGAGGTATGTGGGGAAGCCATGAGAGGCAGCCAGATCTCAGCACACTTAAAATCACATCATTTTATACAGACCTCACTGGGAAAGGATCCCACAGAAGTCCAAGCAAGCACAGGGCTATGCCCTATGCCCTCAGCTATTTTACTGTCATCTATCTACTGGTCTAGAAAGAGCCACACGCTGCAGTCCTTCCGAGGCAGAGCAAAAGTAGGTCCCAGCTCACAGAGCTTTGGAGAGTGTGAGGGACTGGTTGTCTTTGTACTGATAGGTGAGCCCAGGGCATTGCCTAAACTCTGGGCCTCAGTTTCTCCCTGTGAAGTACGAGGCCATAACAAAGCCCGTTACAGCCACCTATTCCTCTCCTAACTGGGTCCTCTTTCCTCAATCTTGGCTTCTGTTTCAGCTGCCTATTCATTCACCCGTATATAAGAAGCTCATTATCTTCCTTTCCCAGCTGCATCTTTCCAGTCTTGTGCTTCTCTTTTTGCCCTTGATTCTTACACACGGTGAGTCTGCTTCACACACATCTTTATAAACACACATGTACTGTGTGTTTATACAGTACATGTGTGTTTGCACATTACAGGTGCTGAGCAAATGCTCATAGAAGGAATGAATGTAAAGAACAAATGAATTCCTTTATACATTTCTTAAGTATTTAGCAAGTGCCTATTATAGATACACAGATACTAACCTGTCTCCTACACTCTTAAGATCATTCCTCTCCTCCCTTTCTCCTCATCTTCCTTTTCCATTCTATTTCCTTTTTTTTTTCTTTTCTTTTCTTTTTTTTTTCTTTCACTGCACTGCGCAAAGCTAGACTGAGTGCCCTGCAAGGCAGCATGCAGACAGAAGGAAGCAGGCAGGCTGTGGAAACGGACACCATGGAAAGAAGCCAGATGAAATAAGGGCAAAGACAGCTGTATAACATGCAGAAAGAAACCAACCAGAATGAAAAGCCGTGATTCATGGAGCACTGCAACTCAGGCACTCCTTGGATTTCACTTGGAGAGCTGAGTCTGGATGGGGGTCAGTGAGGGCTGGCACCAAGATGAAGGGCAGCCAGGCTCCTCCTCCCTGGAGATGTGGTGCTCCAATCCCTCCCCTCAATCCTTTTCTACCCACTCGATCCCCACGACTCCCTCACTGACCAGTGTCCTGGGCCTTTAAGAGTTGGGTGGGCTGGACTGAAGATAGCTCACACTTCCCCCCACCCCACTCCTTCCTTCTGGCTGTACCTCTGCCAGTCACAGCAGCAAACTGCAGTAGAGGAGGGGAGAAAGCCAGCGAGTGCAAGAGGAGCAGAGGAGAAAAGGAGCCGGCTGGGTTTCCTCATCCCACAGTGGAGAGCAAGCGCTGCAGAGCTCACAGACGCAGGACTGCTCTCCTGCACACGGTAAGGGTCTGGAGGCTCTGACCTGCCTTTCTTCCATGTTCTGCCTGCCTGAGTCCCTTGCTCTGCCTTCTACATGCCTTGATTAAATTGCACCCTGGCCCTGGCCCGGTGGCTCAGTTGGTTAGAGCATTGTCCCGTACACAAGTACACAAAAAGTTGTGGATTTGATCCCCAGTTCCAGGCATATACGGGAGGCACTGACTGATGTTTCTCACATCAATGTTTCTCTCTTCCCCTCCTCTTTCTCTAAAATCAAGTGAGGAATATATATATCGCCCTGGACTCCTTTGCCAGAGCAGATCCACAAGGCTCTGGCCTCCTGGTTCTCTTTAGCTTATGTTCTTTGACTTACAGTTTTCCTGTTGGCTGGGGTCAATCACCTCTTTATATGGGACTTCTAAGCTACCCAGGGCTGCCACTTAGAGAGAGAGAGAGAGAATTGGAATAACTGTGCTTTAGCATAGATTCATTAACAGATGGTTGAGGATTACTGCATGAGGGTTGGCCATGGCCCAGGTGGAGTAGAGGAACCCCTGGTAGTAGGGAGAGAGTTGTGAGACCTCCCTGGGAAGGGCCAGGGTTTGAGTTCTATACTTCGTTCTTGGCATGCTCACTGTTGGCATGCCCAAGCGCTGTTCTGGGAAGAGCACTTGCTTCTCGTCCTGACTTTGCCATCAATCGGGTAGGTGCTTTGGTTCCCAACTTCCTGATCTGTAATAGGGAGTTTAGGGTTTCCCAGACTTGCCTGTGTATCAGAGGTGCTTGATAAAAATAAATCTACCTGAGCCCCATTCTTGGAATTTCTGATCTGGTAGATTGTGGGCTAAGGAATCTCTGTTACAAGACACTCTCCAGAGAATACTGACTTGGCCAGGAACCTCTGGATTCTATGTGTTATATAAAGTCTTCAAGCTCTGACATTCTGAGGGCTAGGACCTGTGTCTGGGGGCATTCTGTCCTCTCTACATGAGCCAGGCATAATCCTGCTCAGAAGCAAAGGGTAGACAAAATGTAACAACTTAGAAAAAAGGAGTAGACAGAATGATTCTCTTCCTTCCTGCTCCTCAGGGAGACTGCTGACACCTGAATCCCACTGTAATGCCGTTGACATTTCTGCCATGTCGCCCATAAGCCACCTGGAAGTTGAGGACCAAATCTTGCTTGGCAGCCCTGTCTACTTCCCACCTAATTTTTTTCTCTGTTTTCTCATCTGTACTATAGAGGAAATTATCTGAACCCTTGAGGATCTCCACATGTGTGTCCACGAATGAACGGTTAAGACCAGTCTGTCTTACAGTCTTCATCCTTTGCTCCTGCCTCTGGCTCCTACTCCCAAATCTTTTGTGTCTTCTTTTCTAACCACACTTGCACCAGCTGTGAGCATCCTTACCAATTTACCTTCAGACACCAGAGGAAACACTGAGACCTAGAACACTTGAGTTCTAAGTTGCATTCTCTGGGCAGTTTGTTTAGTTAGTCTCCCAGGATACGGGGGAAAGTGAGGCTGAGTAGAGGGATGTGCTACCGGACCACAGTTCCAAAATCCTCATGGGTTGAGAACCAGAAGAAGGAGAGGATGAAATGCTGGGGAGAAGGATGAAAAGAGAACAAAGAGAGGCTGACAAGTGAGTAAGTAGCTAGGCAGAGAGGACAGGAGAGAAAAGAGTGAGTTGGGGCGGGGGGGGGGGGGGGAAGGTATAGGTCTGGTAGAGGATGGGGAAAATAAAGAAAATGAAAAGTAAGAAAGCCAAAACTGGTTTGGCTCAGTGGATAGAGCATTGACCTACGGACTGAAGGGTCCCAGGTTCGATTCCAGTCAAGGGCATGTACCTTGGTTGCGGACACAGCCCCGGTAAGGGGTATGCAGGAGGCAGCTGATAGATGTTTCTCTCTCATCAATGTTTCTGACTCTATCCCTCTCCTTCCTCTCTGTAAGAAATCAATAAAATATATTTTTTTAAAAAGAAAGAAAAGAAAAGTAAGAAAGAAAAGCTGATTTGTGTGATATGGAGGAGACAGAAATGATGGAAGGGAAAGACAAAACTTTGATATTCTTCATTGATTCTTAGCCCTGCTTTAACCTGCTTCCTCGTGAAAGCTCTTTCTAAGGGCAGAGTCTTGGTGAGATCTGAGCTGGTCATGTGGAGACCTTGGTTGTTATCCTACTTTCTGCCCTTGGTTCATTAGGTGACTCTGGCTGTTGAGCTAATTTTTCTAGTGCTCCCTTCTTTTCTCTAAAAATGAAGTCCAGCTCTGACATTCTGTAGCTCCTTGTATTGAAACGGGCCCTCTTATGCATGGCCACATGTCACCTAGATACAGATTTGAAATAGTGATTCAGGAATGCGAGCAGGGTTTGAAGAGCATGCCAAGTTCTGGGGTTGTAAGTGTTTGACTAAAGAGAATAAAAGAACTTTCTAAAGCTGGTCTGAGAGGCTCCAAAATAGGGCATCCTGGTACTTGGGCTCTGTTTTCAGGCTTCCCAGGTTTTAGGACGTTATTGTGTGGCTCCCAGACCCAGGCGTAAGGTCAGGGAATTCTGTCTTCTCCCAGGGCTGAGGTCCACCCCATCCCACAGTCCCTATGCCCCAGACATGGGAGCTGAAGTTCAGAGTGGTGATCTGATAAGTTGTTGGCCTTGGGGTTTCAATTTCAGCTCCAGGCTGACCCCCATCCTCACCCCACCCCAGAGTCTGAGAACCTGAGATGCTTAAGAGGGACCTGTTTGTTACTTTCTACTTCAGTCTTTTTTTTTTTTAATATATTTTATTGATGTTTTACAGAGAGGAAGAGAGAGGGATAGAGTTAGAAACATCGATGAGAGAGAGACATTGATCAGTTGCCTCCTGCTCCCCTCCCCCCCCCCCGCCCCCCCACTGGGGAAGTGCCTGCAACCAAGGTACATGCCCTTGACCAGAATCGAACCCAGGACCCTTCAGTTTGCAGGCTGACGCTCTATCCACTGAGCCACACCGGCTTCCTCTCTACTTCAGTCTCAATATAGCTTTTGCAAGCCGCAGGTTCCGAATGTGTGTCTCTGCCCAGGAACACAGAGATGCTCTTCCGCCTCCCGGAGCACTCTGCAGCCCTTCTTCCCTTCAGGAGTTTCTCGCCGGCTCTCATATCCGGTCTCAGCCAGCACAACCTTCTCTGTTTTGGGAGCCATTGCAGGGCTCTTTCTCTCTTGAGAGAAGCCTTGAGTTCTCCTTTCCACTTAGGTACAGACTGATTCTCAGCCTTCTCCATTCCTCTGACACCTGCACACTGCTACTCATTGAGAAAGCCTTTTCCAGGAGCTACAGCCAGGGAAGCTGTATTTTCAGTGACCTCTGCCTTCTTTCCAAAGACTTAGCTATCCCTAGGTGACTTTACAGGCTCTTCCCACCAGAGACATAAAGCACTAATATGCTTTGTGACCTCAGAAGAGTCACTTTTCTAGACTTTTGCTTTTTCAGTAGTAAAATATAGAGTTGAGCTGCATGATGTATTTTTTTTAAGTTTTAAAAAATGTTTTTATTGACATTTTTAGAAAGAGGGAAGGAGAGAGAGGGAAAAAAAAAACACCACACTGATGTGAGAGAGAAACATCAATCAGTTGCCGTCTGCACGCACCCTGTCCAGGGACCAAACCCACAACCTGGGCACATGCTCAGACCAGGAATTCAATAGGCCATCCTTCCGTGCAAGGAGCAATGCTCAACCAACTGAGCCACACCGGCCAGGCTGCATGATGTTTTTATGGAGCTTTAATCAATGATTGCTTCAGAGATTCTTTTAGTTTTTCAGATGTTCGTCAATGACATTTTAACCTTATTAATTAAAAAGCACAACATTTCTATTCAAGTGTAGGTACTTTGCTTAATACAAAAGCATAGAAATTTATGTTTCATGGGCTTTGCCAGTTTCTGAATGATTTGGTCAAGAATTGAGCATTTATTTATTTATTTATTCCTGCATTAGAAGAAATTTTTTTTTTAAATTAAGGTATTATATGTGTACATATCTTTCCATTGCCCCCCCCACACACACACCCATACATGCCTTCCCTCCCCAAAGTTTTTCATCAATTGGTTTTGCTTATATGCATGCATACAAGTCCTTAGGTTGATCTCTTATCTCCCCCATATCTCCTTATTCTCCCCGCTGTAATTTGACAGTCTGTTTGTTGCTTTACTGTCAAGAATTGAGCATTTCTTATAGGGGCAAAGCTAGAATCTGTGGGGGCCTGATGTGGCGGGGGCAGGACATGGCGGGATCTCCCTTTTCTTTTTCTTTTTTTAATATATATATATATTTATTTAATTTATTGATTTTTTACAGAGAGGAAGGGAGAGATATAGAGAGCTAGAAACGTCAATGAGAGAGAAACATCGACCAGCTGCCTCTTGCACACCCCCTACCGGGGATGTGCCCACAACCAACGTACATGCCTCTGACCAGAATGGAACTTGGGACCTTTCAGTCCGCAGACTGACGCTCTACCACTGAGCCAAACCGGTTTCGGCAAGGGGATCTCCCTTTTCTGCATCCCACACGGAAAGAGATGAATGAACCGGTTCTAAGTGGAGGTGGCCAGAGATTGAGAAATATTAGAAATAAAGAGAGAAGATGCAGAGATAGATTTTAAGCTGGGAGCTGGGTGGGCCGCCATCCTGTCTGCTGGAGAGGCAGGAAGAAGACAATGATGATAATGACAATGACCCCTGCCAGAGCATTTATTTTATACCCCAACACCAGGAAGTAACACCAACTTATTTGCATTCTTAAGCCCCTGCCGACACCTGGGCTGATATGAAGGCCAAGCTGACAACATGTCCTCCATCTTGGGGAAACATGTTCCCAGGGCATAGCTCTGCCTACACCCTGAGTTCAGCTGACGATAAATAAAGAAAATTGCCCATGTGCCTTCCAAGGCGGCCCTCTACAAGAATCAAAGTGGCGGAAACTGGTTTGGCTCAATGGTAGAGCATCCTTCTGTAGACTGAAAGGTTCCAGGTTCGATTCCGGGCAAGGGCATGTACCTTGGTTGCAGGCACATCTTCAGTAGGGGGTGTGCAAGAGGTAGCTGGTCGATGTTTCTCTCTCATTGATGCTTCTAGCTCTCTATTCCTCTCCCTTCCTCTCTGTAAGAAAATCAATTATAGCCGAAACCGGTTTGGCTCAGTGGTAGAGCGTCGGTCTGCGGACTCAACGGTCCTGGGTTCGATTCCTTCAAGGGCATGTACATTGGTTGCCGGCACATCCCTGGTAGGGGGTGTGCAAGAGGCAGCTGGTCGATGTTTCTCTCTCATCGACGTTTCTAGCTCTCTATCCTCCCTTCCTCTCTGTAAAATATCAGTAAAATATATATTAAAAAAAAAGAAAATCAATTATATATATATATTTTTCAATCAATAAAATAAATCTTAAAAAATCATTAAAAAAAAAAGAATCAAAGTGGCTATATATAAAATCTTCTAGTTCCTTTCAAGGGAAGTTGTTACTTACTAGGACAAATGAAGCAGGCCCTAAATTAGCATATATCATAAAGGAAGCACTCTTTTTTAGTAGTTCTTAGACTTTATAATTTATATGGCCCATTAAAACTCTCAGAATAACTGTTATGAAAAGGAGTATAAGATATGCTTTACCATGTGAAGGAGAAGAAGACGGCTTATTTAGCTATGTGCAACATGAAATGTTGTAGACGAGACAAAAGAAACACTTCAGGAGCTCTGGCCAAGTAGCCCAGTTGATTAGAGTAACATCCTGATATGCCAGGGTTCTGGGTTTGAGCTCTGGTCAGGGGACATAAAAGAATCAGCCAATGAATGCTCAAATAAGTGGAACAACAAATCTCTCTCTCTCCTTTCCTCTCCCTCTCTAAAAACCAATTTAAAAAAATATATAAAGAAAAGAAAAGGCCCTAGCCAGTTGGGCTTAGTGAGTAGAGTATGGGCCTGCGTAACAAAGGGTCCCAGATTCGATTCCGGTCAAGGGCATATACCTCAGTTGCAGGCTCAATCCCTGGCCCCACGGCTCTGGGCAGGAAGCAATCAATGTTTCTCTCTGTCTTTTTCTCTTCCTTCCACTCTCTCTAAAAATCAATAAAAAGATAATCTCAGGGAGGATTAACAAAAATAATTTAAATATAAAATAAATTAAAAATAAAGATTTCAAAGCTGGATGGTCTATAGGGTGGAAGGTCTATAGGGTGGATGGTCTATAGAGAGGAATCCCATAATAGGGAAGTTAGGATGTTTAAGATGGTTTTATCTGGAGGAAAAAAGACTAGGATGTAGAGATGCCAGATTCTGCAAGTGCAGCCAGCAAGATAGTGTTTTTTTAATAATGAGGAGCTGAGCAGTGTGACATGAGGTTATCTTGTGGAATAGGGGGAGTATTTAGCAGAAAGACTAATGGCTAATGGGACACAGCAAAGGTTCTGGAATCAGACATACTTGGCATTAAATTCTGAATCCCAATGTGACTTGAGGCTGGTTTCTTAGCCTTTCTAAGCCTTGTAGTCACCAAATCCAAATTAGAAGTAAAAAAAGCTACAGGCTATATAGATGAAATGCCTGCCACATAGTGGGCAGTCAGGAAACATTGGTTCCCTCCTCTTCCTCCCTTGTTCTAGTTAAAATCACCAACGTTAACAGTCTTTTGCTCCTTTGCCCCTTTAGGTGACTCTGGCGCCAGCTGGTGGAGCAGTGGGTGATGGCATCCCTGCTGCAAGGCCGTGAGTGCCCACCCCTGCAGGAGAGGGCATGGGGAGGCAGCCCAGGGACAGGGAGGAGGCTGGGCCCCTATTCAAGAGCTCCTTCTGGGTCCTCCACATCCCTGGTTGGCTATCCAGCCCCTGCTTCTCCTGGCCCAGGGCTACCCAGCAGTCAAGAAGTGCTGCTGATGCAGAAAGGTATGATGATGCGCAAGGTGAGAACCAAAAACTGGAAGAGGCTAAGATACTTCAAACTTCAGGAAGATGGCATGACTGTCTGGCATGCCCGGCAGGTCGGAGGCAGAGCCAAGGCCACCTGTAAGTAACACGGATAGCTAAGGGTGGGCATATGGGTGGATATAATCCCGAGGAGCCCAGCATCTGGCAGCAGGAGAGGCACCGGGATCCTATGATGCTGCCTTGTGCTGTCCCACATGTATCTGTGCCTGAGCCTATAAAATGGAAATTATAACCATATTTGCCTCTTAAGGCTGTTATTAGGATACAACCAATTATTGCACGTAAAGGACTTAGAAGAGTCCTGGCATATAGCAAGGCTCAATAAATCAGACATTATGTATCTTGTTATCTTTATTTTAATAAGAGCATGATCTCAGGCATCTGGCTGGCTGGATTATAGCCCTGGCTCTGCCACTTTCTAGCTGAGTGGCTTTGGACAAGTTACTTAAACTAAGCTTCAGTTCCCTCATCTGTATTATGGATGTTAAACAGTACCTGTCTAGTAGATTACAAGGACTCAATAAATTAATGTCTAAAGCATGGAACCTGGGACCAGATGCATTTAATAAATATTAGCCATTATGGTGAATATTTTAAAATGTCATAAATGTATCATAAGTGTGCCTTCTATTGGCTGAACACTTTATGATCCCTCTAAAAATATTATCGCAGGACGTATCTAAGGGAATTTGCTTTAGAGACATATCAAAGCTCCCATTCCACACCAGCTCCAGCTGAGGAGAGAGGGTGGGAGCATTTCTCTGGCTCTCTCCTATCTGGAAAGAGGACACTCTCAAACCTGGAGTGGAAGAATCGGAAATGGGCATATTATGCTTTGGAGTAACTGCTTCTGCCCTGTAACAGTGCTTCCATTTGTCAGCCCCAGCAGTCCTTTTGTGATCACCATGTCCACTGGCCATGTAAGGAGCCACTCCTTACTGAAGATGAGGACACTGAGGATTAAGTTCTTTTGTCTGTGTCACACTGCCAGCTGAAAGCTGGAAGCCAGGTCTTCCATTCCCAGCGCAGGCCCCCTGTCATGCTGCCTAGGGACACAGCAGTGATTCGTGTGGAATCCTGAGTCTGCATCTCCCTATACTAAAGCTTCTGGGGGTTTAGCCCGTGGAGGCTGGGGTTCCTCCTCTCTTGGGCTTCACAGAGAAGAAGGGAGTAATTAGTGGCCCTTGATCATTAGCTCCTGCCATTGGGCGAACTCTCTTCCTCAGCATCCCACTTGCTTCTTCTCTGGCAGTCTCGATCTCTGACGTGGAGACAGTGCGTAAAGGCCACGAATCTGAGTTGTTGCGCAGCCTGGAAGAGGAGTTCAACCTGGAGCAGGGTTTTACCATTGTCTTCCATGGCCGCCGCCCCAACTTGGACCTGGTGGCCAACAGTGTGGAAGAGGCCCAGATCTGGATAAAGGGGCTCCAGCTATTGGTGGACTTCGTCACCAACATGGACCAAAAGGAGAGGCTGGACCAGTATCGGGGCAGGAATGGAGCCAGAGTGGGGGCCAAGGTCACTGAAGAGGCAGATGCTGCAGGGCTAGAGACAGGTGGGAGGGGGTACAGGGCTAGGGAAGCCCAAGAGTCCAGATGTGGTGGGTATGGGCAGTTCAGAGCGATGTGAGACTGAGAATGCTGAAGGAGGAATCGAGGTTTGGGATGGCCAAAGCAGAGCCAGGCAGTTTGGGCATGCATCAGGCCTCCTAGGTTTTCGGGAAGGGAGAGCAAGAGGCCAAGGGCCAAACAAGGTGCTGACCCTGAGCGCTGAGCAGAAGATCCTACTGGCATTAACAACTACAGGGGTGGGAAGCAGTCCCTTCACAGGCCTAGTGGTGTCAATTCGCTGTAAGTTTCCTAGATTGTATTCACTTTCTATGCTAGTTCTTTCATTCATTCATCCACTCATTCACCAGCTATTAAGCAGAATGTATCAGGCACTCTGTGCCAGGCTGTAGGGGTACAAAGATAAATGGGACTCAGATGTTGTTTTCCTTGGTGGAGAGGATGGGGTTGTGTAAATAATCTAAGTACCATGGAACTGTTATGGTACTTAGATTATTTGAGGCTATTCAAAGGAAGAAATATTTAATTCTAGCTGAGAGGGTTCTCAGAAAGCTTTAGGGAGGAAGTAGTATTTTAGCGGAGCCTTGAAAATGAGAATAATTTGAACATTAAGAGAGGAGGTAAAGACACCCCTGCCTGAAGGAACAGCATGAGTAAAGGCCCGGAGACAGGAAATTGTAGCGCTGGAGAGCTGGGGCATCACAGAGTGGGGAGTTGGGGTTCTGGCTAAAGTGCAGAAAGGACAGAGATGTGTTGAGCAAACTGGGTTGGGGCAAGATTATGGGGGCACAGGAGATATTATCTTGTATGTTAAGGAATCCGGACTTTCTGCAAAAAAAAAGAGGTACCTGCCGGCACCTGATCCATTCAGGGATGAGATAGACAGGTACTCTGGGTGGGGGGTGGTATTCTAGAAGCTAATGTGGAAAATTCATTTGTGTAGGGGATAGACAGGCAGCAAAGATAGGAAGAGATGTCAGTGGATGAGCATGCACACACATCTGCACATACAAACACACACAGTGCTTTTGCCTTGACTCGGACCTCGATGGCTGAGTGACTGGTTCCAGCGCGGAGACAAAAACCAGGATGGTCGGATGAGTTTCCACGAAGTCCAGCGGTTACTACTCCTGATGAATGTGGAAATGGAAGAAGAACATGCCTTTCAGCTTTTCCAGGTGAGTCTTCCAGGAAAGGATTTGCAGAAACCAAATAAGGCCACATTCTCACTTGACCATAGGTACTCTGACCCAACCCAATAACATTCATTTATTAATCTCTATTATGTGCCCTTAGCACTATGCCAGGCTCAATGTGAAGTGTAGGCCATGCTTCTTACTCTTCAGTCTTGTTGGAAAGATGATTTATAATCTTATAAAATGTAAATAATATGTTATTATATCAGACCCCTAGGGCCTGTCTGTCCATGTTCAGACTTTCAAAGGTGCTTAGAACAATAGAACACTCCATCTAGAATGTGAATAAATAGAAGGAGGTATATTTTGACCTTTGGGGATTTCAATTCTTTCCTGGTGAAAATTTTTTCTAGTAGCAAATGATATGGCTGAAATTTTGCTTTTTTTAAAAAAATATATTTTATTGATTTTTTACAGAGAAGAAGGGAGAGAGATAGAGAGTCAGACACATCAATGAGAGAGAAACATCGACCAGCCGCCTCCTGCACACCCCCCATTGGGGATGTGCCCGCAACCAAAGCACATGCCCTTGACTGGAATCGAACCTGGGACCCTTCAGTCCACGGACCGATGCTCTATCCACTGAGCCAAACCAGTTTTGGCTGAAATTTTGCTTTTTACTTATTGAAGTGACTTTTATGAACACCTAGTATCATGTATTCTGTGGAAACATACTTGGATCTATCTGTCAGCAAGACTGTCCTTATAAGATAAGTAAAGGCGCCGAAACCAGTTTGGCTCAGTGGATAGAGAGTCGGCTTTAGGACTGAAAGGTCCCAGGTTCAATTCCGGTCAGGGACGTGCCTTGGTTGCGGGCACATCCCCAGTAGGGGGTGTGCAGGAGGCAGCTGATCAATGATTCTCATCGATGTTTCTGACTCTCTATCCTCTCTCTTCCTCTCTGTAAAAAAACAATAAAATATATTTTAAAAAAAAAAGATAAGTAAAGGCCACAAAAGTTGCTGTTAAAGTGTTTGTCCAACCTCCTCTAAATCCTCTTGCAGGCAGCAGACACGTCCCAATCTGACACTCTGGAAGGAGAAGAATTTATAGAGTTCTATAAGGCATTGACTAAGCGTATTGAGGTGCAGGAACTGTTTGGAAACTTTTCGGCTGATGGGCAGAAGCTGACCCTATTGGAATTTGTGGATTTTCTTCAAGAGGAGCAGAAAGAAGGAGAGCATGCTTCTGACCTTGCTCTGGCACTCATTGATCGTTATGAGCCTTCAGAAAGTGGTAAGAGGACAAGAACAGAGAGGCACCATGACCAGAAAGGTCCAGAGATCAGCAGCTTTCTGTCTAACTCAAGGAAGGCTGAGTCCACCTCTACCTCAGTCCCCAGCCCAATCATCTTCATCTCATTCTGCCACTTCTCAAATGAGTGCAGCCATTTCCATTTGTTGCCCAGATAAGACAAGTATCCTCTGTGATGCTAGGTCTCTCACAAGACCCCTGTCCTCCACCATGCTCATGTTGCACATCATTCACTCGCTGAAAGTTCTTCCTGAAATCAGCTTCTGGCCTCAGTGGAAATATAAAACACTTGGTCCTCTTGCTTTGGTCTCTTCTCCTCTAGTACATATGATTCATTTTCCTCTAGTTCCCTTCATGGTTCCAGAGAGCCAGCTATGACTTCACATGCTGGCTCTCTGCCCTTTCCTGGGCTTTCTCCGAGTTTACCAAATGGTTCTTGAAGTCTCTAAGTCTCTTAAAGTCCTAGGAAGCTAGTCAGCCCCTGGCTGAGGGGATGATGATGAGGTCAATCATTCGGCATTTATCAAACACAACTAAAATGTGCCCTTTCTGCCCTCAAATTTTTCTCCTTGCCCTTTAGTAGACATCTTCCTTTTCTCCATTCCCTTCAGAATGTGAGGAATTTACTAGTACATTATTAATAATACTAGAGGCCTGATGCACAAAATTCATGCATGGATAGGGTCCTTAGGCCTGGCGGCAATCAGGGCCGATCAGGTTCCCCATCTCCCTGCCTCCTCCTTCCCTTGCTCCCTCAAAGCCCTAGCTGCTGCTGGTCACCTGCCATGGTCCATGCTGCCCCCTGGTGGTCAGTGCAAGTCATAGTGTACGACTGAACTTCTGGTCTCCCAGATGAACTCCCAAGGGGCCCCTGCATATTAGCCTTTTATATATAAAGAAATTAGTTACAAGGCACTTTCATGTGCCTTACTTCATTTAGTTCTTACTACAATCTTTGAAAATCAAGATTGGGCTTTTGTCAAGTATTCCATAATGTGCCAATATCTCTATATGCCTTTCCTCCTCTAATCCTTACAATGACCTGTTGAAATAGGTTTTATTATTGAGTTAGTTGTACAAGAGAGAAAAACTGAGGTTTAGAACAATTAAATTACTTGCTTAAAGCCAACAGCTAATGAGAGGAGGAATTGGGATTCAAACCCAGGTCATCTGATTCTTACTTGGTGCTAGAGAATAAGGATTAGAGATGAGATGAGCGAGAGATGGACAAGTGACCATCTAAGTCTCAATTCCCACTTCCATTCATTCATTCATTCATTCATTCACACACTACTTCTGCTAGTGCTTATTAAATACCTAAATGTGGCAGGACTTATGTGCTAGGCATCAGAGATACAGGAGTAGGTCAAGACAGGGGCAATGTATTCATTGAACTTAGAGTCAAGTAGAAAGTGTTGAAATCAGTAATTGCAGATTCATGTGGGTACTCAGAGAAGAAAGGGGACTGAAAGCAATCATTTCAGAGAACCCCATAGAAGAGGAATGTCACAGGGTTAAGAAATAGGATCTTCTATTACATTTACTACATCCATTACATTTTTTCTACCCTCCCCCTGCACTCCGCTATCAGACGCTATACTCGCCTGCTGGGTAGTATAAGTCAAGAGACCTGGGCTAGGTTCCCACTCTGCTTCTTACTGAGTATCCTGGGTTAAGTTGCTTAATACGAGACTCCGTTTTCTCATTTTTAAAATAATTGGTGATTAGATGTAATAATGCATATGAAAGTACCTGGCAGCTGTGGACTTAACCTATTGATCTGATGTATTACTATAAGAATGAAAGTTGCTGCCGCTCTCCAGCATCTTCAGGCCTTATCAAATCTGGAACAAGAAACTGGGCATGAGAATATAATTGTTTTTTTTAAAAATATATTTTATTGATTTTGTACAGAGAGGAAGGGAGAGAGTTAGAGAGTTAGAAACATTGATGAGAGAGAGTCATCGATCAGCTGCCTCTTGCACACCCCCACTGGGAGTATGCCCGCAACCAAGGCACATGCCCTTGACCGGAATTGAACCCAGGACTCTTCAGTCCCCAAGCTGACGCTCTATCCATTGAGCCAAACCGGTCTTGACTTTTTTTTTTTTTTTTTTTTAGAATATAATTGTTTGGCCTTCCAAGGGGACACCCTCCCCCCCCCCCCCCCCCCAGCAATGTTTCCCTCAGTTAAATTGCACAGCCCAGTGGTGTAGAGTGTGGCTCTGATACTTAGCTGTCTGGGTTCAAGTCCCTACACTTACTGGTTATGTACATGGGATAAGTTAGCCAACCTCTCAAAACAGATTATATTACATCTACCTCATCATGTTGGTGAGATGTTGAATGTAACATCCTTTGTATAGAGCAAGTGCTCAAAAACTGTTAGTCATTGATGTTGTAAATGTATGAAGCCCATGCTGAAATGGCTGAGGGCTATGGAAGGGTGACAGGACCTGGCCCTTGAAGAAAGAGTGGTCTCAGGAAAAATACCGTATGGGGATTGACAATAGGAAGATAACCCTGAGATCATAGTTGGCAGCAGCTACACAGCTCAGGGAATAAACAAAGATACCTTGTTGTGTGGCTAACAAGCCTTTGACTTCGATTCTCTCTGGGCCTCAGTTTCCCTATCTATAAAATTACCCCTTCAAACTGAATATTGTGCTGCCCATTATGGTAGCCATGAGCACCATGTGACTGTTTAAATTTAAATGAACTAAAATAAACATTTTAAATTCAGTTCCTGCCCTGGTGGGTATGGCTCAGTTAGTTGAGTGTCCTCCCTTGCACTAAAAGGTTGCTGGTTCTTTCCTGACCGGATTGGCTCACTGATTAGAACATTGGCCGAGGACTGAAGTGTCCTCGGGCATGTACATCTGTTATGGGTTTGAACCCCATTCCTAGTTGGGGTGCATGAGGAGAAATCCAGTCTATGTGTCTCTTTCACATTGATGTTTCTCTTTCTTTTCTCTTCCTCCTCCCTCCCTTTCACTCTCTCTAAAATTTAATGGAAAAATATCCTTGGGTGAGGATAAATTTTAAAAAATTCACTGGTTCAATTCCTGATCAGGCAGGGCACATGCCCAGGTTGAGGGCTTGATCCTCAGCAGGGAGTACAGGAGGCAAATGATTAATGTTTCTCTCTCTCTTTTTCTCTCTTTTCCTCTGCCCTCTCCCTTCCCTTCTCTCTCTCTTAAATCAATAAAAACCTATATTTTAAAATTTAGTTCCTCAGTTACATGGCTACATTTTAAGTGCTCAGAAGCCTTATGTGTCTAGAAGCTATCATATCGAACAGTGCAGTTTCCATCGTAAAAAAGTCTTATTGGACAGCATTGAACTAGAATGTTTGTAATTATTCCCCTTGTAGCTTTAACATTATTTGAGGGTGGGGATAATTGAAATGATAGACACTGGACGGGGGCAAGTTAGGCTCTGGAGGCTGGGAGTGGACATCATATGACAGGCAGGACCCTGGAGAGGAATGGGGTGGGCTGGGTGTGCTGGGGTGCTCCCAGAGTTCTCTCATTCCAGTGTCCCCCTTCTCCACACCTTAGGCAAGCTGCGGCATGTGCTGAGCATGGATGGCTTCCTCAGTTACCTCTACTCGAAGGACGGAGACATCTTCAATCCATCCTGCCTCCCCGTCTACCAGGATATGACTCAACCCCTGAACCACTACTACATCAACACCTCTCACAACACCTACCTGGTGGGGGACCAGCTTTGTGGCCGGAGCAGCGTCGAGGGATATATACGGTGCAGTGGGGAGGAAGTAGGGGGGGGAGGAATCAAGCTCATGAGAAGGGAACACCTGTGGAAAATTTAGGACACTGTTAGTGGTCACAGGAATCTAAAATATGTTGTGAGGGGTGAGTTTGGGGGCTGAGGATCCTTAGATACCTGAGAAACTTGGAGGAGATACTGAAGACCTGTGGGAGAGTGGTATTAAAACCTATGAGTAAATGGAGCTTCTTGCTTTCATAGGCTATGGAACTCTTTTTGAACTCAGGCCCTGACAGATTTACTTTAAATAAATAAATAAACTCAATGTTAAATGAAAGGCAGTGCAAGCATGTCAAACTCGCAGCCAGTGGGCCACATGCCTCGTTTATTGAACATGTGGCCCGCCAGCCGTGAGTTTGACATGCCTGCAGTAGAGCATAGGAGTTAAAAGCATAGGTTCTGGAGTCAGACCATTTGAGGTCCAATCCTAACTACCTCACTGTTACTCTGGAACTAAATTTTTCACCTCCCTATGCCTCACTTTCCCCACTTGTGAAACAGAAATGATAACAGTGTCGATTCTGTCTAGGTTGTTGTGAGGATTCAATGATATAATCTGTGTCAATACCTAATAAATGGTAACTACTTTTATGGTGACCCATCATGCATTAGATAGAAAGTCAAGATATCTTTGCACTTACTACTGATCCAGAAGCTTCAGGGGATACAAAGATGAATGGAACATATAGCTTCTGCCCTAGGAAGTCCAGTAGAGAAAATACATTTCCTGAGAGTTTGAGTAACTCAGGTGTTGTACAATGAAATACAACCAGAACATCAGAGAATCATGAGGCAGTATGTGATGACTTACTAAGGAAAGATTGTGAGTTGGTCGGGAGTGAGGGGAAGTGTTGGAGATCAGTGTGAGCTACAGCAGGGTTCCAGTGGGCAGAGAAGGGTCTGTGGAGATGCAGCTTGAACAGGGATCTTGACAGATAAGTGCACTGTTCTCTCCATAGTGGGGAGAGGGTCCCCAGATGGAAGACTTGACCCCTCCTGTCCCTGGGGGTTTGGGGTTCTTGCAGGGCCCTGAAGCGAGGGTGCCGCTGTGTGGAGGTGGATGTATGGGATGGACCTAATGGGGAGCCTGTTGTTTACCATGGACACACCCTGACCTCCCGTATCCTGTTCAAAGAAGTCGTGGCCACTTTAAAAAAGTATGCCTTCCAGGTAGGAACCCCAGGATGGGAATACTGTGAGGCAAGAGGATCTGAGGAAAAAGTGGCTGAGTCTGGGTCTGGGTCTAGAGAGGGTGAAGGGACAAGTGGAGGTTAGGTCAAATGGCATTTGGTAAAAGATATTTTAACAGGGAAGCATCAGAGAAGAAAGGGGGCTGAAACAATCCTATCTAATAAAAGAGAAACATGCAAATTGACCATACCTCTGCTACGCCCACCAGCCAATCAGGGCCAAACATGCAAATTAACCCAACCAAGATGGCAACAGCCCCAGAGTTTCTTTGATTATAGTCCCATAAGTGGAATTGCTGGGTTGTAAGGCAGTTTCACTTCTAATTTTTTGAGATAACTTCATATTGCTTTGCACAGTGGCTGCACCAAGAGTGACTTTTAGATGTGAGGTGGGCTCCAGGCCCAGTAAGACCTCCTTGAGACCTGAAATGGGGTTGGAGGAGTTTAGCAATCAGGGTACTCAATTGAGTGAATATTCAGGCAACTAGGTGAGCGTGGAGAGGCAAGGAGGTTATAGGTGTTAGAACTCTGGCTTCAGAGTCCTCTTCCCTCACTGCAGACATCAGACTATCCAGTCATCTTGTCCCTGGAGAACCACTGCACCTGGGAACAGCAGGGGATCATAGCACAGCATCTGACCGAGATCCTGGGGGAACAGCTGCTGAGCACCACCTTGGATGGGCACCTGCCCACTCAGCTGCCCTCACCTGAGGTAAGGACCCTGCTCCCCAGCCCAAGCTCTTCTGTAGCTTCCATATCCCCCCACTTTGGCTCCTTCCTCCATGATGGTGCCTTCTCACCCTCAGATGGACCATTTTGCTCTTCATATCCTTAAAGACAATTTTAACTAATTGAACAGAGTTCTCTAAATTTTAAGTCAGTTTTACTTATATTTAGTTTTTCATTGGGAGTATCTTAATTTTTTTCCTGAAAGTTCATAATTGTTGTAGTCTATGCCAACAATAGAGAAAGAGAAATCCCACCCCCACCATAATGACTTTCCTAATAATTGTTGTTAATAGATTTTAAATACTTCTATAAGCATATGTGTGTATATGTGTATGTGTATATATTCATATTTTAAAATATTTATTGTTCAGATTGTTATAATTGTTCCTCTTTTTCCCCCATAGCCCCCCTTCACCTGGTTCCCACCCCACCCTCTGCCCTTACCCATAGGTGTACGATTTTTGTCCAATCTCTTCTCACACACCCCACACTCCTTTCCCCCGAGAATTGTCAGTCCACTCCCTTTCTATGCCCCTGATTCTATTATATTCACCAGTTTATTCTGTTCATCAGATTTTTTTTTATTCACTTGATTTTTAGATTCACTTGTTGTTAGATATGTTTTTGTTGTTCATAATTTTTATCTTTATCTTTTTCTTCTTCCTCCTCTTCTTTCATCATTTCATATAATACTGGTTTGGTGTTGATGAACTCCTTTAGCTTTTTCTTATCTGTGAAGCTCTTTAGCTAACCTTCAATTCTGAATGTCAACTTGGCTAGGTAGAGTACTCTCAGTTGTACGTTCTTGCTAATCATCACTTTGACTATTTCTTACCACTCCCTTCTGGCCTGTATAGTTTCTGTTGAGAAATCAGCTGACAATTGTATGGGTGCTCCCCTGTAGGTAATTAACTGTTTTTCTCTTGCTGCTTTTAAATATATATATATATATATATATATATATATATATATATATATATTGATTTTCCACAGAGAGGAAGGAAGAGGGATAGAGAGCTAGAAACGTCAATGAGAGAGAAACATCAACCAGCTGCCTCCTCACACCCCCCGCTGGAGATGTGCCCACAACCAATGTACATGCCCTTGACCGGAATTGAACCTGGGACCCTTCAGTCCGCAGACCGACGCTCTATCCACTGAGCCAAACCGGTTTCGGCTCTTGCTGCTTTTAATATTCTCTCTTTATCTTTTGCTCTTGGCATTTTAATTATGATGTGTCTTGGTGTGGTCCTCTTTGGATTCCTTTTGTTTGGGGTTCTGTGCACTTCCTGGACTTGTAGGTCTATTTTTTTTCACCAGGTGGGGAATTTTTCTGTCATTATTTCTTCAAATAGGTTTTCGGTATTTTGCTCTCTCTCTTCTTTTGGCAACCCCATAATTCTGATGTTGGTACGCTTGAAGTTGTCCCAGAGGCTCCTTACACTATCTTCATATTTTGGATTCTTTTTTCTTTTTTCTTTTCCAGTTGAGTGTTTTTCTTCTTTGTGTTTCAAATCTTTGACTTGATTCTTGGGATCCTCTAGCCTGCTGTTAAATCTCTGTATAATATTTTTTATTTCAGTCAGTGTATGTTTAATTTCTAGTTGGTCCTTTTTCATAACCTCAAAGGTCTCACTAAATTTATCGGCCTTTTCTAGAAAATTCTTGAAAAACCTTACAACTGTGGTTTTGAACTTTTTATCCATAGTTTGCTTTCCTCCATTTCTTTCATTTGTGACCTGTTTCTTTGTCTCCACATTTTGGCTGCTTTTCTGAGTTGTGAGAGTGGCTTTGTGTGCCAGGTGTCCTATAAGGCTCAATGGCTCAGCCTCCCCAGTTACCTGAGGTGAACACTCTTGGTGCACCCCTTTGTGGGCTGTGTGCACAGTCTTGTAGTTAAGCCTTGGTTGTTGTTGGTATCACTGGGAGGAATTGACCTCCAGTCCAACTGGTTGTAAGGATCAGCTGTGTCTATGCTGGGAGAATACCCTTATGAGGCAAGACTTGCTTCAGTGGGGATTTGGTGCTCACGGAGTCTTGCCCCCTGAGTGGGTCCCTATTGGTCTGAGGAGTTGTAATCTGGACGGTCCTACACTGACCCTTGGGTACACTGGTTCTTGGATCTCTAAGGAGATGCTAATTTAGCCTCTGCCTGAGGCCACCCAGCAGGAGCTATGGAGAGATCTGCAGATTCCTCTTCTTTGTTTGGGTTTTAGATGAGGTCCAGTGTGAAGCAATGCAAGATGCTGTGGGGCCTTGGGCCTTCTTTTGGATGTTCTGGGTCTCTGCCTCAGCTGCAGTTGTTAGGTAAGTTTATATTTCAAAGGACCAGGCAAATCCTCTGTGCACAGCTTGGATGTGGCGGGGTCTCAGGGCAGAGCAAACAGCAATGGCTTCCAGTCAGTCCTGCTCTGAGAGGCCATCGGGTCTCAGTGTCCCTTGGTAATCGCTGCAAGCACCTCTGAGAAAAAGCTGCCCTCAAGTTCTGCCTACTGCCAGACAGTCCAGTTTCTTCCCGTATGAGTCTGAGTCCCCAGAGTCTCGCCCAGAACTGGAGTTCAGAGCAGTTGGGAGCTTGTGTCTCCCTCCTGCTTGAAAAAGCCAGCCGCATACTCTCTGCACTTTATTTCCACAGCTCCTCTGAGTCTCAGTGTGCTTTTCTCTTCCCTTCTAGTTGTAGAATTTCAAATGAGCCAGCTTTCCTGTGATTCTGGATGATGTCTGTTTTGTCTTTTAGTTGTAGTTTTGAAGTCGTTGCGCGGGGCAGCAAGTTCAGGTGTTTATCTATGCCCCATCTTGATTTCTCCCCTCTTATAATATTCTTTATATTTTCATGTAAATCTTTAATCATTGAGGAATCTTTATGTGTCAAATGTGAGGTAGGGATATTTATCTATTTACTTGTTAATCTTAACCCAAGGATATTTTTCCATTGATTTTCAGAGAGAATAGGAGAGGGAAAGACTGAGAGAAATATCGCTGTGAGGGAAACTTGATTGGTTGCCTACTGCACATGCCCAGACCAGGGCCTGGGCCAGGGAGGAGCCTGCAACCAAGGTACACACCCTTGACTGGAATCGAACCCAGGACTCTTCAGTCCATAGGCCAGGGCTCTATCTACTGAGCCAAACCGGCTAAGGCTCTATTGATTTTTATTTATTTATTTTTTAAGTTTTTTTAATAGTTTTTTAAAATATATTTTATTGATTTTCCACAGAGAGGAAGGGAGAGGGATAGAAAGTCAGAAACATCGATGAGAGAGAAACATCGATCAGCTGCCTCCTGCACACCCCCCACTGGGGATGTGCCTGCAACCAAGTACATGCCCTTGACCGGAATCAAACCCGGACCCTTGAGTCCGCAGGCTAACACTCTATCCACTGAGCCAAACCGGTTTCGGCTCCATTGATTTTTAGAAAGAGTGGAAGGGAGGGGAAGACACACACACAGAGAAACATCAGTGTGAGATTGATTGCCTCCCACATGAGCCCCGACTAAGGCTGGGGATGAAGACTGCATGCAAGGTCCATGCCCTTGACCAGAATTGAACCTGGGACCCTCCAGTCTGTGGGCTGACACTCCTCCACTGGGTCAAACCAGATAGGGTCCCCATTCACTTTTTCCATATGAATAGAGATGTTACCAGTTTGCTTTTTTTTCTTTTCTTTCAGTTTGCTTTTAATAATACAAAATTCCTACTGTATGTATTAAGCAGCCTTCCTGTGGGAACTTCTGACTACTCGTTCATTTCTGTTGCCTTTGATGTGGCCCTGTAAGAGTAATAGGACCTGCATGGTCCCAGAAGGGCCCCGGAGCAGACAGGTAGCCAAACCCCTTTATTTTTGTGCCCTAGGAGCTTCGGAAGAAGATTCTGGTGAAGGGGAAGAAGTTACAAACGCTTGAGGAGGATCTTGAAGAAGAGGAAGAGACCGAGTCTGAAGTAGAAGGGGAGGAGGAGCCTGAGCTGGAATCCCAGTTTGAGTCTGAGATCCAGGAGCTGAGCCCTCGCAGCAAAGACAAAAATGAGAAGGTAGGCCAGGGGAGTGGTCTTTGCTCTGGCATTTGGTTTGATTATCACAAGCTGCGAGTCCGTGTATGAAGAGGCTAGAGCCAGGAGGATAAAGAGCCAAGGAGCAAAATGCCCCTTGCCCCCAATGAAAGAGGCATACTTGGCATCAGTATATATTACCATATATATTAGTAGATACATTGCAATGGCTGTCCAACTTCTTTAGGCCATGAAATCTTTTTTTTTTTTTTTGAAATCTTTTTAAAAAATATATTTTTATTGATTTCAGAGAGAAAGGGAGAGAGAGAGATAGAAACATCAATGTTGAGAATCCTTGATTGACTGCCTCCTGCACGCCCCCTACTGGGGAGTAAGCTCACAATCTGGGCATGTGCCTTTTGATTGGAATTGAACCGGACCCTTCATTCCGCAGGCCAAGGCTCTATCCACTGAGCCAAGCCAGCTAGGGCCAAGAAATCTTGCCGAAGCCAGTTTGGCTCAGTGGTAGAGCGTCGGTCTGCAGACTGGAAGGTCCCAGGTTCGATTTCGGTCAAGAGCATGTACATTGGTTGCAGGCACGTCCCCAGTAGGGGTTGTGCAGGAGGCAGCTGGTCGATGTTTCTCTCTCATCGATGTTTCTAGCTCTCTATTTCTCTCCCTCTCTGTAAAAAATCAATAAAATATATTAAAAAAAATCTTATCTGGAATCTCAGTACATAAAATAGATAAATGCAGAGCCATCCTAATTGATATGCCCATTTGGCTCTATCCTGAGTCTCCCAGATAACTCTGGGGGCATTATTATATTGAGTAAGTAGTGCTTATTGGAGTGACTGCTGTCACCTCAACTAACGTGAGCTTAGTTAGAGAAAGCTTCTTGGAAAAGGTGAGTCTCAGGTAGGGCCAAAAATACCGAAGAGAAGGAGCAGGAAGAGGTAGGGACGGTGAAGACTGTGAGAAGGCTGTGCCTGAGTGATCCAGTTCCCTGTGGGGAAGGAGTGTCATTTGTGGGACCATCAAGATCCTGTGCACTCGCTTGGCTCAGCTGACTGACTCCTCTGGGGCTCTGGTGTCTTACCTGCTGCCATGCCCAGGGATGGAAATGGGAATTCAGGAGACACATCTAAAGGTTGTACTCTGGGACCCTCACATCCTCCCAGGTGTGACTTACATGACCATTTGTATACCTTGACATATCTATCTGGGTTCCTGTACATTTTGACCAAAAATAATTGTTTTAAAAGACGAAAGACAGGGAGGATGATACTTGTTTAAAAATAATAAAATTTAAAAACTGTCTCCCAAAAAGTAAAACAGAACAGACTCTTCAAACCCAGAAGAAACTAATCCCATCAGTATATGTAGATTGCTTTTATTCCCATTCCCATCCCTAGGTTGTGATGTGCCCGCTGCTTTGTTCATCTATCTGTTGTCAGATTTTGGTCCAGGCTCCTCTTCCCAAGCCTGGGTTCCCTCTCTTTTTCAAGCAGGTGAGGCAGGAGGGATGATTCAGTGGGGGAGGTATCGGGCAGAGGCTTAGGCTGGGTGGGAAGTACAGATCTTGGTTATTGGCTTCTTCCCTCTCAGATTGCTGATGGTTCGATTCCATCACCTTTTCTTTCTCCTTTTCCAGAAATCCAAGGCCATCTTGTGTCCATCCCTCTCTGCCCTGGTTGTCTATACAAAGACTGTTTCATTCTACAACTTCACTCATTCGAGGGAGCACTACCGCTTTTATGAGTTATCCTCTTTCTCTGAAACAAAGGCCAAGAACCTCATCAAGGAGACTGGTTAGGACCAAAAGGGAGGGGCAGGGGAGAAATGGGATGGGTAAGGTCAGGCCTGATGGGCAAGCTGATGAGTTCCAAGAAGACAAGGGAGCTAAGGAAGGATCAGGGAGCTAGGAAACTTCTCCAGAGCAGGCATGGGGACAGGGGTTATAGTGGGCTCACAGCTCCAGGGAAAAGCTGGGGAGAAGACTGAAGTTGGTGGGACGAGGGGAGAGGGAGCATCCACTACACTTCCAATTCTCTGCCTACACCCTCTTTACAGGCAACGAGTTTGTGCTGCATAACGCCTGGCAGTTGAGCCGTGTGTATCCCAGTGGTCTGAGGACAGATTCATCCAACTACAACCCCCAGGAATTCTGGAATGCAGGCTGCCAGATGGGTGAGGGGGCAGGAGGGCCAGTGAAGGGGAGTGGGAGAGCAACAAGTTGGCAACAAGATCATGGGTGGCTGAAGGGCCAGGGAATGCTCCAAGAGTGCTAGGCTGAGAAAGATATCTATGGAGGTATTCCCAGCAGGCCCTTTTATACCGCATGTATCTTTTATAACTCCCTGAGAGGCTCAATGGCCTCCAAGGTGAATTCTCCCCTTCTCTTCTCCTGGGGCCCTCAGTGGCTATGAATGTGCAGACTGCGGGGCTTGAGATGGACATCTGTGATGGGCTTTTCCGCCAGAATGGTGGCTGTGGCTACGTGCTGAAGCCAGACTTCCTACGTGATTCCCAGAGTTCCTTCCAACCGGAGAGGCCCATCAGCCCGTTCAAAGCCTGCACCCTCCTCATCCAGGTATAATGGAAAGTACAAATACTGGGAGGAAATTTGGGATAGCTGGGACAGAAGGGGGGGGGGAGAAGAGGTGGCTAGGCCTGACAGGAGTGTAATGGGTGGAAAGTTCCCTGTGAGATGCAGGCTAGCCTGGCTGTTAACAGCAGGGACGTCGGAGCCAATTGCCTACGTTCAAACCCTAGGAGCTGTGAAATTGTTGCACAAGTTTCTTAACCTTAGTTTCCTCACCTGCAAAACAGGGGTAATACTACTCGCTACCTCACAGGGCTGTGGTGATTAGTTGGAAGCAAGTGCTTACGATGCCTGGTGCCCAGTAAATGCTATAGAAGGGGTTGCTGTTGCTCATAACCTTTTCAAACTTGTTCAACTTCTTCTTGGATGTGTTTTAAATCGCACACAGATTACCAGAAGAAAAGCCGTTACCCATAGAGGACTGGCTTTGCAAACCCAAAGCTAGAGCACCAAGTCCTGCATTTCCCTTTTCCCTAAGTTTTCCCCTTCCCCTGGGGTGAGAGCTGGAGTGGGGCTGCTGAGCAGAAATTATTGCAGGTGATCAGCGGTCAACAACTCCCCAAAGTGGACAGCACCAAAGAGGCAGCCATTGTGGACCCACTGGTGAGAGTGGAGATCTTTGGTGTTCGCCCAGACACAGCCCGGCTGGAGACCAGCTACGTGGAAAATAACGGTGAGACGGGGCAGAGCTGGGGGGAGAGGAGAGGAGCACGACTGTTATTTTCCTAACATCCTGCCCTTCATTCATATGGTCCCTGTCACCACTATCCTGCCCCACCTCCATGGAGGCAGCATGGAACACGACGAAGAATCAGGGCTTGGACATGTTCAGTCTGAATCCTGGCCTCTCCCTGATAAGGCCCGGTAACCACTGCAAACTGCTGACCCACTCAGAGCCTCAATTTCCTCACCAGATCGCTATGCAAATTAAGTGAGAGCACACAGGGAAAGTAACCCAGAATGCACGTCCCCCCAAAAGTCAACCATGTCTGTTCCTTTATTCCCTCCCACATTCACCCTTCTGCCACCCCAGGCTTTAATCCGTACTGGGGGCAGACACTGTGCTTCCAGTTGCTGGTGCCTGAGCTGGCCATGCTGCGTTTTTTGGTGCTGGATTACAACTGGAGATCCAGGAATGACTTCATCGGTCAGTACACCTTGCCTTGGACCTGCATGCAACAAGGTGAGCCTGTCCTTCCACCCCTGGCCAAGCCCCCTCCTTTGGCTGCCTTCCTAACGCTGTCCTCCTGTGCCTTTCCAGGTTACCGGCACATCCACCTGCTCTCCAAGGACGGCACCAGCCTCCACCCAGCCTCCCTCTTCGTGCACATCTGCATGCAGGAAGGGCTGAGGGAGGAGGTTGAATCTTAAGGTGGGCACTTCCTGGGAAGGGTGGGTGTGCTTGCTTCTGATGGTAAGAGAAACCTGGAAGGATGCTCCAGAAGGCAGAGGTGATGGAAACCAAGCAGGTTGTTCGTTCCTAAGCATAAAGTTACCTCACCCTTCCCAACAAGCAAATCCAGGGCCTGGTTTTTCTTTCTCTTTCCTTTCTTCATTTCCACACACTTTTGGTATCCTTCCTGCTCTTCCCTTTTTCGTACTCTATCCTGGAATTCCTTCCTTCCTTTCTGTAGGCTTAGTCCCTACCCAGACCTAGGACTAATCTCTCTTATCAACTCTGGCTCAAAAGCAGATTGCAACTACAAACCCAGAGGGGTTTGGGGCCAAGAAACACAAAGAGGCATTATCCCCTCCCCAACAACTTCCTCAAAGGTCAGAGCCAAGGAAAGGAAAAACCAAGCCTCAAGCCTCCACAAGCAAAGGCTGGGGAGAGAACTCACCCCAAGGCTGTACCGTGACTCTCAAGAAAACACTGCACAGCCGTCCATGCTGGTCTGCTCCTTCCAACCCCACCAGTGTTAACAGAGAGCTGCTCTCCCTAACTTGGCTTGAGTATGATCTGTCATTGCTGGGTAATAAGGGAACGAGTAAGGATTGGGGGACACTTGGGTTGACAGAAAAACGGGTTTCCAGGAGTCCCTCTGCACGTGCTGCATGAGAATGGTACAGAAGCACAGCTTCTAGGGGTCACTGCAAAAGGAGCAGACTAAGGTGATGTGATCCAAGTCCTGAAAAGTTTCCCTGTAAGTCCTGGTTTATGACTGCTGTCCCAGCACAATTATTAATAGTATCCTCTTTAATTTCCCTAGTGTGCCCGAGTTTAGATGATTAATTATAGTCACTGTAAGATATTTATAGAATTCTCCATTAGAGATTTACCTCCAGTCCTGCGATCATTTGCCTTTCACACTGCCTTTATGCTTTAATTCTAGTGCAGCCTGAGGAATGATGCTGAATTATACTTGTTTACACGAGGAAGCTTAGTGAGTGGCAGTCTCCCTCTACAATGGTGGGGAATGTCTGGCCCACAGGCCATCTGAGGCCCACACAGGCTTTTGGTTTGGTTCCGCCAAGGTATTAGGGATAAACTAATTAAATGTCTGACCAAATATAGCAGGCTAGTTTTTTTTTTTTTTTTTTAAATATATTTTTATTGATTTTTTACAGAGAGGAAAGGAGAGAGATAGAGAGCTAGAAATGTTGATGAGAGAGAAACATCAACCAGCTGCCTCCTGCACACCCCCCACCGGGGATGTGCCCGCAACCAAGGTACATGCCCTTGACCGGAATTGAACCCGGGACCTTTCAGTCCGCAGAGCCAAACTGGTTTTGGCAGCAGGCTAGTTTTTAAGTTAGTTTTGTACGGCCTGTGAATGATGTTATAAACATCCAAATTGCCTTTGGCAAGAAAAAGGTTCCTCACTCTTGCTCTACAGGTAGACAAAGTGGCTCAGAAATAGGGAGCAGAGCAAGGGCCAAAAGTCTTCAAGAACAGAGAGAAGGCCGAAACCGGTTTGGCTCAGTGGTAGAGCATCGGTCTGTGGACTGAAGAGTCCCAGGTTCGATTCCGGTCAAGGTCATGTACCTTGGTTGCGGGCACATCCCCAGTAGGGGGTATGTAAGAGGCGGCTGGTTGATGTTTCTCTCTCATCGACGTTTCTAGCTATCTCTCTCTCTCTCTCTCTCTCCCTTCCTCTCTATAAAAAATCAATTAAAAAAAATACACACACACACACACACACACACACAAAAAAAAAGAACAGAGAGAAGGCAGACTTGAGCCTGTTTGAGAATCAATGACTCAGTGAAGATGGAAGGAGAAAAGAAGGCAGAGGTCTAAGAAGGTACAGGGCAAATCAAGATGACAGTCTGGAGATGTTAAAACAGACATGGACGAGTCTATAAGCTAGTAAGCATTCTATTAACACTAGAAGCCTGGTGCATGAAAATTTATGCACTGGTGGGGCTGAGGGGACTGGGCACCGCCATTTTTGAAGGCGTGGCAGTCAGCACATTCCCTCCTTATTGGCTGTGGATGCTTTATAGAGCATTAGGCACAATAGCACATGCAGTTAGATAGGATGCTTTATAGAGCATTAGGCACAACAGCACATGCAGTTAGACAGGATGCTTTATAGAGCATTAGGCACAACAGCACATGCAGTTCAGTACAATTGTTTTGAGGATGTTAAATGAAAATAGGACTTGACATAGCAAGAAGGAAAGGGAAGAGAAATTGGTGAAACCAGGACCTTATAGTCGGACTTTGGTGGAGTGATGGTGAAGAAATTAAGACCTCACAGGTTAAAAACACAGTGGTTCTCAACACAAAACCAGTCTGTAGTTCATGTCTCTCTTTTATGTAGCCATCGACATCAAAATACTGTAGCCGGAGTCTCAAGAGAGTTCCAGCACCTGATATCCCGAAGCCAGCCCTTCCTCACTCTGAGCCTCTCAGGCTAGCTCTGGTTCCAGTCTGCACATTTTGGACCACATTTTCTTTCTGCCTGGGAGGTGGGATGGGCTCAGCCTTCAGGTCCAGTTGGGGGAGCAGAAAGAGCCGGAGGGCTGGGGTCCTCCAACTGCACATCATGCAGGTGCACTGTGGGGGTGGTGGGGTCTTTGCCCACGCCCTGGTTTGGGTCTGCCTGGTCAGGGTGGTGTCTGCGCACATGCTTGACAACCTGGAACTTCTGTTTGGCTTTGTAGCTGCAGAGACGGCAGAAGAAGGGGTGGTGGTCGGTGTGGGTGAGGGCATGATGGCGCAGGCCAGCAGCCCAGCGGAAAGCACGGTGGCACACGTTACACACATAGGGCTTGGCCTCGCTGTGCTTGCGGAGGTGGGTGCGCAGCAGGAAGCGTGTCTTGAAGGCCTTGCCACACTGCTCACACATGAAGGCCCGTGCTTCCCGGTGCCTGGTCTCCTGGTGCACACGCAGGGCGTCGGCCCGGTTGGTGCAGTACTCACACTCGGGACACTGGTACGGCTTCAGTCCTATAGGGCGTGGCAAAGAGAGGCAACAAATCACCACTGAAGGGGACGGAACAGGGCTCAGTGAACCATGAGTCACTGTGATCCCGGGACACAAAGAACTCAAGCAGCAAGCTAATACCGTATCTTTGGAATATTCCAGTCTTGTCTGACATTTCTGTGCCCTTCTCCCAGCACAGCCCCTGTACACAATGGATACTCAATAAGTGCTGATAACTAACTGGACCTCTAAATAGCCACCTAATAGCAATGAATACTCAGATATGATAGGATTCCAAATAGGAAATTCTAACCTCCTTTTGGTCATGGAACAGGGACTCATGGAAGTTGGGAATGCATTGATTTTGATTTAAAAAAATATATTTTATTGATTTTAGAGAGGAAGGGAGAGGGATAGAGAGATAAAAACATCAATGATGAGAGAAAAATCATTGATTGGCTGTCTCCTGCACGCCCCCTACTGGGGATCGAGCCTGCAACCTGGGCATGTGCTTTTGACACTGGAATCGAACCTGGGACCTTTCAGTCTGCAGGATGACGCTCTATCCACTGAGCCAAACCAGCTAGGGCTGGGGATGCATTTAAATACAACTCCTTGTTCAATTCAAGAAGTCAAAGAAAATGTTTAAGAGGGTCAGAGGTGAAAGAAGCAGCATTCATAATCGCAGAAGGCCTTGAAATGCATCTGCTCCATTCCTTTACATAAGGAGATCACACCCCATAATCACAGGTATGTCACCATTAACGCTTTTCAGAGAACCTGTAGGTTGTGGATTCCATAACAAAGAGAAAAAAGGATAAGTTAAAACCTTCCCACTTTCTTCTCTTTATCGTGGTAGCTATCATGTCTACAGGAGCTAGGCAGACCTCCCTCAGGCGCTCATGTTTGAGGTGGGGGTTCTCCACAGGAGGTTCTCCCTGGCGCCACAATCACCCAGGGAGCTTTTGAAAAGGGAGCACATACCCAGGCTCTCAGGCTCGTGTCTCTTTTGATTCTGATAAGTCTTTAGTGGACTGGGAAGCTATCCTAGCCATCTGACCTACCCCCCCCCCCCCCCAAAGTGAAGACTGATGTGCGCCCCGAATCAGTGAGAACCCAACCAGGGAGGCTGGCTGTGCCAGGGAATGGGGGGACCCACTGAGCCTGCCAAAGCCATGCAGACTCACCTGTGTGCTTGGTCATGTGGTACTTGAGCTGGTTGACCCACTTGCACTTGTAGCCACAGTCAGGGCACAGGTACTTCCGTTCCTCCTTATGGATCCGCATATGGTACTGAAGGAGGGAAAGCAAAGAATAGGCCCAGAAAACTGTGGGTACTCAAGGATAAGGAACTAGGGGAAGGAGGCAGAAAGACTGCTGGCAGACCACCCTGTTCCCTACCCCCATCACCAACCAGGCTCTCCCGGCTGGCCACTTTGACACAACCTAACCCACGGGGCCTGCTCCTAGATCCGCCCAGGCTATCTGAGCTCTGCCACCTTATTTCTTGCACCTTTGGATGACCTAATCCCTGATGTCCTCTTAACAATCTGTAAAATAAGCAGTAGTAAAAGTAACTGTATCTCATATTTTTTGAAGGATTAAAATTACATTGCCCAGCATACATACAGCAAGTGCTCAATAAATGTTAGCTGTTATTATCATCTAGGTCACATGTGTCAAACACAAGGCCCGCGGGCCAAATCCGTCCCGCCAGGCCTTGCAATGTGGCCCGCACCGCGCTGTCATCACTGCACTCCGCTGCGTTTCCATCACAATGACAGTTTATGACTGTTCAGTAAACCATTCGGCCCGCGATTTAGGCTGGATTTTAGATTTTGGCCCCTTCTCTGATTGAGTTCGACACCCCTAATTTAGGTTATGCCCGACCTATCACATGCCTTTCTCACACGACTAGCATGAATTATGGAATTTTATAACCATTCTATGAAGTAGTATCCCATTTTTGCAGATGAGGAACCTAAGACTTGGAGAAATGAAGGGAATTGACAGAGGCCACAAAAGCAGTATTTGGTAGCGTCAGGATTAGAGAAGCCGGGCCATTTAGCTCCCCAGCCCGCACGCCTGGCCTTACCTTGAGGCGGGAGGGGTCGGCGCAGGCGTAGGGACAGAGGTGGCAGCGGTAGGGCTTCTCCCCGGTGTGGGTGCGGCTGTGCCAGGTGATCTTCTGCCGGTTCTTGGTGCTGTACGCGCAGTCGGTGCACTTGTAGAGCCGGGTGCCGCCGTGCCCCTTCACGTGGTGGTCCAGCACCAGCTGGTGGCGGCAGGCGAAGTCGCAGAAGGGGCAGCGCAGCGGGGGCTGGCCGGCCTGCCCCCCGGAGGCCGCGGGCTCCTCGTGCCGCTGCAGGTAGTGCCGCACCAGCCCGCCGCGCTCCCGCGCCGCGAAGTCGCAGAGCTGGCAGCGGTGGCTGAAGTGCTGCCGCCGCCGGTGCTCGTCCAGGGCCGGCCGGCTGGGGAAGGCCTGCCCGCACGCCCCGCACTGCAGCCGCGGGGGCCCCGGGGCCGCCTCCCCGGCGGGGCCCCCGGCCGGCGGCGCGGGCTCGGGGTGCCGGCGCAGCGCGTGCTGCTTGAGCGCCGTCTCCGAGCTGAACTGCGCCTCGCACTGCGGACAGGCCACGGCCAGGGGGCCCCGGTGGCAGCTGCTCACGTGGCGGGCGATGTCGTGGCGCAGGTAGCCGCTGTAGTCGCAGAACTGGCAGAAGTGGGTGGGCGTCTTGTCGTGCACCCGCAGCCGGTGCAGGCGCAGCTTGGAGTTGGTGCCGAAGGTCTGCGGGCAGGAGCTGCAGGCGATGCGGCCCACGCCCGTGTGCCGGGACTGGTGGGCCTCCAGCCGGTAGCGCCTGGTGGTGGCGAAGTCGCAGAAGGCGCACTGGTGCGGCTTCACGCCCTCGTGCTTGAGCCGCCGGTGCTGCCGCAGGCACCGGCTCTGCTTGCAGACGAAGCCGCAGTCGCCGCACCGCAGCGGGGGGCGCGGGCCGCGGGCCGGGGCGGCGGGCGGGTGCCGGCGCCGCTGGTGCAGCCTCAGGGCGGCGGCCACCGGGGCGGTGAAGGCGCAGAGGCCGCAGCGCAGCTCCCCGGGCCGGTCGAGGGGGCAGCCCCGGGCCAGGTGGGTCTTCAGGGCCCGCTCCTGCTGGCAGCGGAAGGGGCACGTGGGGCAGGAAAAGCGGGCCCCCTTCTGCTTCGGAACCGGAGCTGGGCCCCCGGCCCCGGGGCCACCCTCGGTGCTCCCGCTGCTTAGAGGAACGGGGTCCCCAGTGCCCGGCGGGGACACGACAGGCTGGGCCTGGGCGGCCCCTCGCCTTCCCGCTCCGCCTCGCACCCCGCGGCAGCCGTCGGCCACGTGGGAGGTGATGGAGGAGAGCCGGGAGCAGAGGAACGCGCAGGAGTTGCAGTGGAACTTGCCCTGTTCAAAGTGGAACTTCTCGGGGGCCTCTGGGGAGGAGGGGTTTCCGGCAGGAAGTTCTGTGGAGCCGGACAGTGTGGCCAGAGACCCGTCCGTTTCCTCCGGTTCCCCAGGAAGCTCCGGAGCACCTCTTGGGAGCACGGCCTCTGCTTCTGATGGTGCAGGCGGGGGCTCCCCGCCTTCCACGGCCTCTGAGGTGGGGGTGCCCGGGGGCAGAGGATGCAGAGGGACAGGGGAATCTGTTCCGGCCAATCCCTTGTTCTTTTTGAGCAAAACAGGGCACTTTTTCAGCAGGTGGGTGCTGAGGCCCCGCTGCTGCTTGAAATGAGCCCCACACTCAGGGCACCGCAGGGGCTCCTGGCGGCCCTGGCACCCAGTCCGGGAGTGCAGGCGCAGGGCCTTCTCCCGCTGGGTGACAAACGGGCAGCGTGGGCAGTGGAAGGCCTGCCCCGCGCCCTGCACGACCACCATCTGAACCCGCCCCTCCAGGACCAGCGCCTCCGCCTGCTCCTTGTCCTGTCTCCTCAGGGCCTTGAGCACGGACTCCGACTCAGGCAGCGGGGGCAGGGGTGCCGCCTCAGCGGGCGGTGTTGGCTTGAAGGTCCCCACCCAGCTGCTGGGGGATTCCTGGGAGGAAGGAGGATCTCTGGGGGGCGCAGGGACTGGCTTTTCCAGAACGGGCTCTTCTTCGGCACCCACGCCAGAAGCGCCAGCACCTTCGAAGGCAGACAGCTCTGGCAGCGTCCCAGCTGGCCCTTCCAGTCTCAGGGGCCCGAATTCCACGGCGGCCGTGTCAGCCATCTCCCCCAGAGGCGGCTCGGCCACGGGTCCCAGCTCCACGCCCAGGGCCTCCAGGTGCAGTGTGCAGCTGCCCTCCTCCACCTCCGCTGCAGCCGGACGGGGGCTGCCGACCAGGCCGTCCCCTCGGGGCACGTCCCTGCCACCCTGGCTCCCGGCACCGGCCTCCGGCACAGCGTGCTCGACGCTGGGGTCCGCCCCGGCCCCAGGGCTGGGGTCCCGCTGGCCCGAGGCCTCGGAGCCCGGGGGCGTGGGGCACTGCCCGGCCTCCTCCGGCTCCCGGCTGGCACAGCGGAGCTGCCAGACCTGGTCCCCGGGCACGTGGCCGTGGGCCTTGCGCTTGTGGAAGAAGAGGGTGGTGTTGCTGAAGGCGCGGTAGTCGCAGAGGGCGCAGCGGAACTCCCGGAGGCGGGTGTGCTTGCAGTTCTCGTGGCTCAGCAGGGCCTGCTTGTGGTGGCTCTGGTGGCTGCAGTAGCGACAGGGGTAGAGCGCGGCCGGCTTGCCAGGGTGGTGCTGGGAAGCCATGTGCTTCTGCAGCTCATACTTGCGCTTGCAAGCAAAGGCGCACACCTCGCACATGAGGGACTTGCCCTGGTGTCTCAGCTTGTGGCTGCTCAGCTGGTCGGCCCGGTGGCAGCGATAGGAGCACTGATTGCACTGGTATCTGATGGGGGGGGGGGGAAGGCATGGGGGGAAGGGGAAGCAAAGTCACAACCATAAATCAACCATAACAACGAACTGTCACTACTTACTATGGGGCAGGCTCTAACTCAGCATGGTACATACACAGTCTAAGTCAACATTCTTTCACACTACCCTATGAAGCGGGTACCCATTTTATAGGCGAGGAGACTAAGGCACAGAAGTCATAACTTGCTTGAAGTTACACAGTGAAGAACAGTCTAGCTTCAGGGCTTTTGTTCTAGCTCCTACTCTCTATCGCCCCCTAAAGGGGAGACATGATGAGTCAGCAGCCATGTGGACTCCTAATGACGGACATGCCCACAGAGCCATAGTGTCTAGTTCCCATTCTCCCACGAAGGCATGACAGTGAAGGAGAGGCAATAAGCAGTACTGCGATATTAGAGGAAAACGGCTCCAATCATTTAAAAGTACTTGTTAAGTACTGCTTTTTACACTTATGACAACTATTTCTTTCTATGCATATAAATCAGGCAACCAAATATCTGTAGCTATGGAAATGTCTGACTAGAAATATTTATATTGGATTCTGGATATAAAATGTGCCTGTGGTAGAAATCTTACTTCTTATGCCTGGTGCAGTATAATCCCCAAGTGTACTGTCTACCAGGAAAAAAAACAACAACTAATAAAAAATGAAATAGAGCCGGGACCGGTTTGGCTCAATGGATAGAGCGTCGGCTTGGGGACTGAAGGGTCCCGGGTTCGATTCCGGTCAAGGGCATGTACCTTGGTTGCGGGGACATCCCCAGTAGGGGGTGTGCAAGAGGCAGCTGATCGATGACTCTCTCTCATCGATGTTTCTGGCTCTCTATCTCTCCCTTCCTCTCTGTACAAAAAAATGAAATAGAAAAGAAAGAAAAAGGAAGCTGAGGAGAATGTGCCCGCCAGCTGTGCCCAGAGATCAGCGTGGAAGTGGTCAGGTTTGGGGCCACGGTGCAGTCTGCTTTCCCAGGACCGGCCTCTGAGAACTCACGTGACACCTGAGTGCCTAGCCCTGTATCTGGCTCCATACTCCCTTGGCTGAGCCCAGAGGTCTCTCGCCGCGCAGACTGGCCACAGGCACAGAGGCGAGCTACGGGCAGCGGGGAGCGATGACGGGCGCGGAGGGGCCGGAAGAGCACGGGCCGCAGCTGAGTTTGAGAGGAGGCTGCGGAGCCTGCGGCTCTGCTCTCGGGATGGGCGCTCGCACCTGAGGTCCCCTGAGTGCTTCCGCATGTGCACGCGGAGGTAGTGCTTCCACTTGGTGACGTAGCCGCACTCCGAGCACATGTGGTCCTTGGTGTCGGAGTGGGTCAGCATGTGCTTGGACAGGTAGCTCACATCTCGGCAGGTGAAGTCGCACAGCTCACACTTGTGAGGCTTCTCGCCTTGTGCAGAGGTGGGGGCGAGAAGGGAGAGAACACGGGGCACGCACAGATCAGTAAACAGACAGATCATTTCCCCCGCGGGTTTGTTTTGATGCCAGGCAGGAGCGAAAGCTTCGCGGCCTCTCAGAAAACTCCTCCTGGGCCCCAACACCAGTGAAGATGGGAAGAAAACGCAGACTGAGTTTTGCAAAACTAGCTTTCAAGTCCCTTCTGATTATACAGCTTAGCACTACCAGCCACCTGCCCCACTTGGCCCAATTCCTTTCAGTTTTGTGGAAGAGAATGATAGAAAGAAATTAGGCAAAACAACATGGTGGCTAAGGAATCCATGGTGGTTAAAGGGTAACAGATATTAATAGTCAACAGGTATCTAGTGCTCACTCTGTGCCAGACACCTTTCTGAGCACTTTATAAAAATGCCTCCCCTCACTGAATCCTCGTAACAGCCCTGTGAGGCAGGTGCGGTGACTCTCCCATATTTCAGAGGAACACGCCGAGGCACAGAGAAATCACAGAGCTATGAGTGGTGGCTCAAACCGCAGCTTACTGCTACATGGCTGCGAAAAGGTCATTGCTTTCTTGTTTCCAAAAAGAGGGCAACTGAAATACCGATGTCACCTGGTTAGTGTGAAGACTACACGAGATGTCCCACAGTCTTCAATGGCATCTAGTGGAACCTGAGGGCAAACTGTCCCTGGAGTGGGTCAGACGTGGCTCTGAAAAGCTGGGGCCGTGTTTCCTCAGGAGCTCCCTTATTACCCCTGCTCCCCCACTCAGCCCCTTCCCTGTGTTCTGTTACCAGCTGTTTGATTCTGAAACAGGCCATCTCAATTTTTAGTTTACCTTCTTTACAAGATTCTGATTATGGAATGAATGCTAAACACTGTAAAGCACTATATATTTAAAAGGTTTCAGCAAAGGCCTCATAAAAATGACTAAAACATGTATCAATGCGAACAATGGCCTTGTCCCGAGCTGCCTAAACACTGTCCTCTCAAACTAAACAGTCTTTAATGGGATTTTTAAACGTCTTATCAATCCACTATGCTGACACAGAGATCACAAAAGCGATGTCGCTGTGGCAGGAAGCCTGGTTTGATTGTCACTCAAAGCATCAGTGATGCTGGCAACCAATCAAAAATCGGACTTGAAATACCAGCAACTTCCAAGCCACCAAACGGGCTCTGTTCCAGTGTCACGGCTGCCAGAGCTATCATGTGGGTGACGGCTCAGACCCCTCGCCCCATCTCACAGCACATCTCAGAGCTTGAATAGCAAAGGTAAGTTATCTGTCCCCATCCGAGTTTCTTCGTTTTAAGAGGCTCGGTGTTGACCCACCCAAGGCTGACGAGGGGTGGGCAGACCTGGGCAGGGCCTTCTGGGTAAAACACCACAGCACAGGCTCTGAATCAGACTGCTTGGGTTCCAATCCTAGCCTGACCACTTCTCAGCGTCAGGCTCACCAATTCCCAGAGCCAGATTTCCCTCTAGGAATACCGGGGCCAGTGGGAACGAGCGGGAAGCCCTCCCTGTGTGGGTGTGCCCCCCGCCCCCATCGCGCTGCCGGGAGGAAGGACGCCCGAGGCCTCACCTGTGTGCAGCAGCAGGTGGCGGATGAGCACCCTCTTGTGGGCGGTGGCGAAGCTGCACTCGGGACACTGGTGGATCTTCTCGTGGGCGTGCATCTTGCCCACGTGGTCCTGGTAGGCCACGGGGTTGAAGGTGGCGAAGGGGCAGAAGGAGCAGCGCAGCTCCTCGCTGCCAGGGTGGCCCTGCTGCTTGTGCCTGCGGAACAGGTGCTTGTTGGAGCAGGCGAAGTCGCAGTGCGGGCAGTGGAAGGCGTAGTGGCTCTTGCGGTGGGCCTCCATGGCCTCGGCGGTGGCGAAGAGCATGGGGCACGCGTGGTGGCGGCACTCCACGGCCCGCACGCCGTGGCTCTCCCTCAGGTGCCGCGTGAAGGCCTTGCGGCCGGGCGCCGCGTAGCTGCAGCCCTCCTGGAAGCAGGCCAGGGGCAGCGGCTCCGCGGCGGCCGCCGTGTGGCTCTTGAGGTGCTCCTTGAGGGCCTGGCTGAGGCGGAACTCCTGCCGGCACACGGGGCAGGCGTAGGTGTCCGAGTAGACGCTGGAGATGTCCCCGTGCATGCTGGCCATGTGGCGGCTGAGCGCGTTCCTCTCCACGGCGCTGTAGCTGCACAGCGGGCAGCAGTGGGCCTTCTGGCCCCGCTCCCGCAGCAGGTGGGTCTTGAGCTTGCTCTTGCTGGTGAAGAACTTCTGGCAGTTGGGACACTGGAGGCTGGGGTCCGGGAAGTGCAGATGGAGATGCTCCACCAGATGGGTCCGCTTCTTAAAGCAGCGCTTGCACTCCGGGCACATGTGGGTCTTGAAGAGGGGCTCGGTGCCAAGAGCGACATCCCCTGAGCGAGGAGAGGGAGACAGGGCCGAGAGTGAGATTCCTCCCCAGGCCCCGGGCTGGCCGGATAACGGGAGATCCACAGTCTGCCCAGAAGCAGTGTGTGGCTTTTCCCTTCCTCTTTAGGAAACCAAGCAACAGCATCTCAGATATGGTGGCCAAAAAGAAGAGACAAGAAATGGAAGTATTGCTGAAACCGGTGTGGCTCAGTGGTAGAGCATTGGCCTGTGGACTAAAAGGTCCCAGGTTCGATTCCGGTCAAGGAATGTACCTTGGTTGCGGGCACATCCCCAGTAGGGGGTGTGCAAGAGGCAGATGATTGATGACTCTCTCTCATCGATGTTTCTAGCTTTTTATCCCTCTCTCTTCCTCTCTGTAAAAATTCAATAAAATATATTAAAAAAAAGAAAAGAAAAAAAAAGCCGAGACCGGTTTGGCTCAATGGATAGAGCGTGGGCTTGGGGACTGAAGGGTCCCAGGTTCGATTCCGGACAAGGGCATGTACCTTGGTTGTAGACACATCCCCAGTAGGGTGTGTGCAAGAGGCAGCTGATCAATGACTCTCTCTCATGGATGTTTCTAACTCTCTATTTCTCTCCCTCTCTGTACAAAATCAATAAAATATATTAAAAGAAAGAAGAAAAAAAAGAAAGAAAAAAAATGCAAACATTTGGATAAACAAAAATCACAAGAACTCCTCAGATCTCGCTGTGACCTGCTGGAAGTGCTTTGCCCAGCCACCCACTCCCTATTCCTGAGCCTCTATCTAGAGTCGCTCAAAAGAACCATCTGGATAGAGCTTTCTTGTTCTTCCTGCCCAGGTGCATGGGGGCAGGCGGAAGGACCAGCAGAGTTGGTTGGAAGGAAAATAACTCCACACGGAATGAGCAGAAGAGAAGAAGGTAAAGTATTCCAACTTCCAAACGCGGGCTCGTGAGTTCTAGGCTATGGGGAGCTGGTAATAATCAAAATTTTCCTATGTACCTGAGAGTAAACATTTGCCACTTCGCACTAGACACGCCAAAGGGGACTGTTAGGAGTGAAAGCATTTCAATCAAAGCTCAGAACAGCAAACACTAGAGCCTTGCAATGCCAGGCTCCCCACAATCCATTCCCCCCCCACCAGGAAGTTCAAACCCAAGCACAGCCTTACCTTCCAATTGCTGCGCCCCCTGGCCTTTCTCCGGGGCTTTCCGGGAGTCCTTGAGGGTGCCACTCTCTTCCTCTTCCTCCATGTTCTCTTCAGCCGACTCCTGCCTGGGCAAGGGTGTACCTGCATCCTCTGAAGGCTGTCCCCCTCCTGGGGGCCGCTGGGGAGCTGGAGACACATAACATCTGATGAAACCCACAGGGGCCAATGACAGCACTGACTGCTTGTACTTCTCCTCTTGCTGGCTGAGAGTCCCCCCTACCCCATTTAGCATACGGGCATCCTGGCTTTCTATAGGAAGACCAGAAGGGAAGCCATCAGTAGTGCTCCAGCCCAAAGGAAACCCCTCCTCAGAGAACGCCATCCTCAGGCCCCTTGAAGGCAAGAGCTTTGAGGTCCCTGGGTTTGGAGAAGGGGACTGAGAGGTGGAGAATGGGTGGACTGGCCTCCCTGGCTGAGGGCCCAGGGCTAACGGCTGCTGACTCAGTGCAGGTGAACAGACCCTGACCTCTGTATTGTTCTACTGAGAAACCCAACTTTGCAGTTCAGGTCACACCCTGTTCCCTCACATCTATCCCTTCTATTCCTCACCAGAGGCAGCTTCCTTGGTAAGGCAAAGACCTACAACTGTTTTCTAGGGGGGAGGGAGGGGAAAGGGTCTTCTCTTTGGGAGCAGAGCACAAACGAGTCTTAGCTAGCCCAATTCTCTCAGAATCCTGACCTCTCCTGGCCTGATTTCTCTCTTTCCTGATGCCCCTCTACTCACCCAATGCCCCCTTTTTGGCACCAAGAGGAGCCTGACTCAGTGAAGCACCGCCCTCCTTGAAGGTTTCTCCTGCCTGATCCCATTTGCTCTGAAATGGCAACACAAGGCGTTCTCCCAGAGGCGATGGGCATTTCAGCTTTTGCTCTCAGAAGGTTTTAAAATGGATCAGAAGAGAATGTTGGTTAAGTAACTTCAGGGCCACAGGATAGCTGAGGCCAGATTGTACTCAGTGTCACAAAGACTTCCTCTGTATTCCATATATTCTGACTGGCCCCAGCTTTCTGGACGCCTTCTCCTGTTAGTCAGTTCTGTCTTTCTGAGTCACTCTGATGCTCTTGCATCTAGTGTATCCATGGCACTAGATAACCTGCCTCTCCAGGCAGCACACTGCTGGGTCCCTGGCCTCATACCTGGCGGCAGCTCCTTGGATGAAGGGTCCGTAGTGGCCGACGGTTCTCCCTGTGACCCGGCCCCGTGGCTGCGCTGATGCTGCCGGAAGAGTCTGACGCTGGAGCCCAGGAAGCCACACTGGCGGCAGTGGAGAGGGTAGTGGGCCTGCCGGTGCAGCTCCATGCCCCGCTGGCTCCCGAAGAGCAGGGGGCAGCCCCGGAAGGCACAGGGCACAGGAGCCGCGCTGTGGGTCTGTCTCAGGTGCTGCCGCAGACCCTTCCGGTCGTCAGCAGAGAACGCGCAGCCAGACTCTGGGCAGGAGAAGGTGTCGGGAGGGCCCCGGTGAATCTTGAAGTGGCTCTTCAGGGCCTGGGGTTGGGCAAACTCCTGTCTACACACAGGGCAAGGCAGGGGGTCACTGGAGGGGCCCTGGGCCTGCCCGGGGCCCGGGAGAGGCAGGTGGCTGACGGGGAGCTCTGCAGAGCATGGGGGGCTAGCGGGGCCCTGCACAGGCTGTGGGGGGGGCTCGGCGCACTGGTGCAGGGCCAGCAGAGCGGGCTCTGCGAAGCTCTGTTCACAGCGCTCACAGAAGTACACCTCCACCACCTTTACCAGGACACCTGCGGGCAGAGGACCAACAGAGAAAGGCACAGAATCAGACAGAATGAGCCTCACAGGAGTTAGTTACCAGCAGGAAATACAGGTGAATCTTTTTTTAAAAACATTTTTTATTGATTTTTTTAGAGAGGAAGGGAGAGGAATAGAAAGCTAGAATCATTGATCAGCTGCCTCCTGCACATCCCCCACTAGGGATGTGCCCGCAACCAAGGTCCATGCCCTTGACTGGAATTGAACCTGGACCTTTCAGTCCGTAGGCTGACGCTCTATCCACTGAGCCACACCGGTTTCGGCCCATTGCCATTTCTTAAGCAGTGGGCAGGGCCTTGATAAAGAAAGGCTTAGGAAATCCTCTCTTGGTCTTCCAACTACCCAGTAAGCAGAGGGACCTGGGGTTCTGCAAGGTTAATGCCACTATGCTTGTTAGCGTTGGAGCCAAGACTCAAGCCCAGGCTGCCTCACATTTATTCTGGTGATCGTTTTTCTCTTTATTATATTTTTGTTGAAATAAACATTTAGTGCAACAATTTAAATGATACAGATATATATATCTATATTTTTAAAACCCACTTCCCACAGTTTGGTCTACATCCTTTCAGGTCTTTTTGGGTAATTTTTCTGCAATTTTTTTTTTTTTTAAATATATTTTATTGATTTTTTACAGAGAAGAAGGGAGAGAGATAGAGAGCTAGAAACGTCGATGAGAGAGAAACATCGACCAGCTGCCTCTTGCACACCCCCCACCGGGGATGTGCCCACAACCAAGGTACATGCCCTTGACCGGAATCGAACCTGGGACCTTTCAGTCCGCAGACTGATGCTCTACCACTGAGCCAAACCGGTTTCGGCTGCAATTTGATTATGTTTTTCCTTTGCTATATATCAAAGATGTCTTCCTCTGTGAGTACATTTGGATCTACCTCATATTTTTTGTCCATTTCATAAAGCTTCAGAGCATAGAGAAAGCTAAACGAGACTTTGCCCTCACTGATGAACCGCTACAAGTAAAGCTAGCCCGCACATCCTATCCGTGTCCTTGGGCGCCGGTGTGGGGCTTTCTATAGGATAGACCCTGACAAGTGGAATTACTGCGTCAGAGAACACATATTTTAAACTTTGTTATGCAAATAAGTTGATCTTCAAAAGATTAGCTAATTTATACTTTCCATAAGCTATAAAAATGTCTGTCTTCCCCACAGCCTCACCAATACAAGGTATTATAAAAATGCTGAACTTTTGCTGAAACCGGTTTGGCTCAGTGGATAGAGCGTCGGCCTGCGGACTGCAAGGTCCCAGGTTCGATTCCAGTCAAGGGCATGAACCTTGGTTGCGGGCACATCCCCTGTGGGGAGTGTGCAGGAGGCAGCTGATCGATGTCTCTCTCTCATCGATATTTCTAGCTATTTCTCTTCCTCTCTGTAAAAAATCAATAAAATATATTAAAAAACAAAAAAAGGTTGAACTTTTGCCAAAGTCAAGAAACAAAAATGGCACCTCACAATTATTTTTAACTGGAATTTATTTTTCTATTAGTGAGATTAAGCATCTTTATGGTTACTATTTTTATTTACTTCTTTTTAAAAAAATATATTTTATTGATTTATTACAGAAAAGAAGGGAGAGGGACAGAGAGCTAGAAACATCGATGAGACAGAAACATCGATCAGCTGCCTCCTGCACACCCCCCACTGGGGATGTGCCTTCAACCAAGGCACATGCCCTTGACCAGAATCAAACCTGGGGCTCTTGAGTCCACAGGCGGATGCTCTATCCACTGAGCCACACCGGTTTCAGCTGTTTTTATTTCTTTAGTGAATTTCACGTAGATTTCTTTTTCCCTTTGTTTCTTTTTCTTATAGTGGAGCTCTTTAAATTTTAAGGATATTAACTCTTTCTCATACATTGCAAATGTTTTCCCCAGGTTTGTTTTTTATTTATTTCTTTCACCAGAAGTTTAGAAACATTACATGACAAAATTAGCTAATCTTTCCCAGAATTGTTTATACCCATCAAAGGAAGTTGTGACAAATGTAGATGGAGGATGGCAGTTGAAAAACAGGGAAGTTGCCCTGGCCAATCTGGCTCAGTGGATAGAGCACCGGCTTGCGGACTGAAGGGTCCCGAGTTCGACTCTGGTCAAGGGCACATGCCCAGGTTGCAGGCTCGATCACCAGTAGGGAGTGTGCAGGAGGCAGATGATCAATTAATCAATTATTCTCTTTCATCATTGATGTTTCTATCTCTCTCTCCCTCTCCCTTTCCGAAATCAACAAAAATATATTACAAAAAACCACACAGGGAAGTTACTTAAAAAGTTGTAGCTACGGGAAGAATAAAGGGGAGAATCTTTCTTCCAGCCTAAGTGTAAATGCTCATCTCTCAGCCACATGCCTCTGATGAGTTAAGTGTCATACACAAGACCCAGGGACGGGAAATACCGTACCACCTTTGGGAAGGCTGTCTCGCTGGAGGTGGAGAGGGACTGGGGCTTTTGCCTGATCCCCGGCTGCAGGTCCTGGGAAAGACTCTCCGAGGACTAGTGGAGTGAGGACTGGGCAGAGGGGTCAGACGGTCTTTTCTCTGGATTCCTGCCTCGCAAACAGGAAGCTCGTGCAGGGAAAGACTGTCCAGAGCTTGGTACAAGGCTGTGCACCACCTTGCCAGCCTTCAACAACATTTACCAGCTCCAAATCCAATCACATGTCTCAGTATAAAAACAGGATGCTACCTTGTGGCCTCATCCTGCTTATACTGCTATCGCCGAGGACCAAAATCAGCCCAGACAAAACCACCCGGCTGCCTGTCCCACTGGCCTGCTAGCAGCTGTGTCCGTACCTGGGCTGGCTCCAGGAGCGCCTGAGGACAGGTTCCCGCCGACTGCTTCCACAATGATCTCCACGCTCCCGGGCTCCTCTTCGGTGGCCGTGGCCTCCACCAGCAGGCAGCCCGGGTCAGCGGGCAAAGGTGTGGGGTTCCCGGAGGCGCAGGGGCTCTGGGCGGGCTCCAGGGTTCCCGGGTTAGAGAGGGGTGGGCGGATCAGCAGTAACTCAGAGCACAGTCCATCCATCTCTGCAGTGCTGCTGGCTGGCTGTGAGTCCAACACGGTCTGTCATCACCACCAACTCGTGTGCTGTGGTCTCTCAAGTGCTGATAAACCAACGAGAAGAGAAACCCAACAAAATGTAGTTAGATCTCTCCTTCTTCCCAGTCAGTATGGGCACACAACCTAGTGCCTGCCCACTTGGGCATTTCCTTGCATGGCAGCATGCCACAATTAGTTAACCTAGAAGTTTTCTTTTTATTTATTTATTAGAGGCCTGGTACACAAAATGCATGCACCGGGGAAGAGAGTGTCCCTCAGCCCAGCCTGCACCCTCTCCGATCTGGGACCCCTCGAGGGATGTCCGACTTCCCGTTTAGGCCAACTGGGCAGTCGAACATCCCTCGAGGGGTCCCAGATTGGAGAGGGTGCAGGCTGCGCTGAGGGACCCCCCCTTCTCCCCCTCTGTGCACGAATTTCGTGCAATGGGCCTCTAGTATATAATAAAAGCCAAAAATGCAAATTGTCCCCTAGACTAGGAGTTTAACCAGTTTGACGCTTGCTATGACATGTGCTGACCACCAGGGGGCGGCGCAAAACATGGTGGGCGTCGGCAACGTGGCACTGGCAGCGGGCAGCAGTGAAGGTGCTGCTGTCCCTGAAGGGCCCTGATGAGAGTGGGACGGTGGAGCAGGTGAGTGGGCAACACCAGGCCAAGATGGGGGTGAGAGGGGGCCTAATCACCCTGCTGATTGTCCTGTAGACAGCGACCAGCGGCTGCGGCAAGGGGTGGGGCTGCCAGGTAGGGGCTGGGATGGGAACTGGGGGCGGGTGGCGGTGACCAATCTCCTGCAGCTCCCGTGGCAGGGCGGGGTCTCCCCGGCTCCCGGGACAGAGGGGAGGTGAGCATGCAAGGTGTCCACCGAGCTCACTCTCACCCCCCCAGCAACCCCTCCCCGGACACCAGGGCTCAGGAGCGAGGGAAACCCCGGACCTCCGGGGCGGGGCTCCTGCATGGCCTCTTCCAGGGGGGCTGGTCGGACTCCCCGTGGGTTGGCGCAGGAGCCAGTCTGCGAGGCAAGCCAGGAGAGAGCGCGCCGCCTGCCCCGCCTCCGTGCAGCGCCACCGGGCAGCCCGGAGGCCCACGTTGCACCCTGGCCTGCAGCATCCAGCAGTGCTCACTGCATCTCCACGTGAAGACTCAGGTGGAAGGGGGTGTGTGGGAGTCTGGGGGCCCAGGTGCTGCCCAGGGCCCAGAGGTCAGGGGGACCTGCCCTTCCACCACAGACGCTCGCTGGCCAGGCCTAGGGACCGCACCTTGCACACATTTCATGCACCGGGCCTCTAGTTCTTCAATAACACACACACACACACACACATCGCTTCCATGATGAAGGCTTGCTGACAGGTTAAGGCAGAGAGAAGGCCTGGGGAACGAATGAAACCTGGCCCTGGGACTACAGAAAGCACCCAGCTTCCCCTGCCCGTGAGCTCTGAGTCACGGCAGACACAGGGACCCCCTTCTCTGGGCCTCGGCTTTCTGATCTGTGAGGTGGAGGCGATGAGTGTCCGCATCGCTGGGCTGGAGCAGGAGTCCCAAGAGCCGGGGAAGGGGAAAGCCGGCTTGTAGCGGGTCTAGTAATAATTAATGTCGTTTTTAAACATTCGTTTAAAATCTTGCTTGGCGTTGACTTGTATTGACATAACCTTCAAACACGTGGTATCGACAGAACGTGTGAAGTGCAATTAACAAGTTTTGCTTGAAAAAGTTTGTGTTTGGTTTGGTTTTTGTTGCAAAACTAGGGCTAAGAAGATGGCGGATGAACTGCATGCTTTACGAGTTCCAATTAGGAAGAAAAGCAAGTGAGGCTGCAAAAAACATCTGTAGTGCTCTTGGTCAAGATGCAGTTAGCGCCAGAAAATGCCAGCGTTGGTTTGAGAAATTTCGCGAGGGAAATTTTTCGTTAGATGACAAGAGTGGTCGAGGTCGTGTGTCCAATTTTGATCAAGAAGCTCTTCAAGCTCTTTTGGTGCAAAATCCTCAAATTACCCAACAAGAGCTTGCAACAACTTTAAATTGTTCACAAAAAACAATTTCCAATCAATTGCGTGCACTTGGCAAAGTCCAAAAGTTTGGAAAATGGGTTCCTCATGAGTTGACCGACAACAACCGTAATCAGAGAGTCACAATTTGCAGTTCGCTCCTCTCTCGTCAAAACCGTTTGCTGTTTTTAGAGCAAATTGTTACCGGAGATGAAGAATGGGTGCTGTATGTTAATTTGAAAAGGCGGCCTCAATGTTTGGACAAAAATGAGGCTCCGCAGCCCACGCCAAAACCTGACTTGCATGCGAAAAAAGTGATGATGTGTGTTTGGTGGAATTTTAAAGGAATTCTTCATTATGAACTTTTACCATCTACCCAAACCATTACAAGTGCAGTGTACAGTGCCCAATTGGAAAGGTTAGCCCAAGCTTTAAGAGAAAAAGAACCCGCGCTGATTAATCAATCGGAAGGGCGTAATTCTTCACCACGATAACGCACGACCGCATGCTGCAAGAATCACTGCTGAAAAACTGCGCCAGTTGGAATGGGAAGTTCTCCCCCAACCTGCATATTCTCCTGATATTGCCCCTTCCGATTACCATTTGTTTCGTTCTTGGCAAAACTTTCTTCTTGGAAAAAAATTTAATAATGAAGAATGCCTCAAAAATGCATTGACCGAATTTTTTGCATCAAAATCACAAGAATTTTACAACAGAGGGGTTAAAGTGCTTCCTGAGCGTTGGGCACAAGTAGTAGAAAACAACGGCAACTATATTGTTGATTAAATTTTGTTGTATTGTTTAAATAAATTCGATTTAAAAAAAGTATTAGAAAACGACATTAATTATTACTAGACCTAATAATCTGCAAGCCTCGGGCCGGAGAACCGTCATGGTGATGGTCCTGGGAGAGGCAGCGGGTCACCGGCGGGCGGGGCTCAGAGCAGTGACTGAGGCGCCCGGGCGGCTCTGCGATGCTCCGGGGCCGCGCTCGTCGCCGTCGCCCATCACCTCCTCCCGAGGGTCCTCCCCTCCCGGGCCCACCCTCCTCCGGGAGCGCGAGAAACTTTCCGGTCCGGCCCACGCCATCGGACTCCCTGCCGGTCCCCGCCCCGCAGCCACCCACTCACCTCCCGGCCGGGCCGGCGGCCGCCGCATCTCTATGGTCAGCCGGCAGCCGGCGTCGCCTCCAGGGAGCCCCTTCCCGCGTCCGCCTGCCTCCCGCCCGCCCAGAGGGACTCCAGGGCTCCGGGCGTGCGGAGGCCGCTCTCTCCGCCCTGCTGGCGGCGGGAGGAATTCTCTATGGTCGTCTCTCTGGTCCCCGAGCCAGACAGCCGGAGGACCACCATCGAGACTGCGGAGCAGAGCGGCGGGGCCGTCCGGATGGGCGTGGCCGGAAGTGGATAGGAGGCTAGGGGGCGGGGCCTAGCGGCGCTGCCCTCAAACCCCAAGGGGGGAAACCATCGAGAGGGAGGGCCAGAGCGTCATGCCGGTAAGGCAATGGGGGGGACGGGTTACCCCAAGCCTCGCAGCCGGAGGCGGAGCTGGGTGTGCAGGGGGTGCGGGAGCCCCGGGCCCGGGCGGGAGGGCTTGGTCCGTGGCTCCGCGCACAGGTATTTGGAATTCTGGGTCCCACTCGGAACCTGCGCGGAGGTCACTGCTGTCAGCGCTGCGCCCGCGTGCCGGGCAGAGGAACCATCGGGCTTCCTGCCCCTGGGGAGCTTACAGTCTAGAACAGATCCGGTCGCGTTTTACGGTGGAGAATTGTCAAAAATCTCTACGGAGGAAGTAGCACGTGGGCGGGACTTCCACGGGAGAGAACGCATTAGAATGGGCTTAGGAGCGGAGGGAACTGCTGAGCCGGGAGGCGGAGGTTTTAGGAGCGAATCCAGGAAAGGTAGGTGGAGGGCTCTGAGTACCAGGCCGAGGAGTTTTTACCTAATTCAGGGATCTGTTGAGAGGTGTTGGGAGTAGGGCAGGCCGATCTTTATGAAGAAAGAAATGGACCCCTGTGTACCAGTTTGGTGAGCAGAGATGGAGACCTCCCTACTCAGATAGCATTTCAAGAACTAAAATTCTTTAATATCTCAGGCGGGAGATGTTAAAGGGCTAAACAGGACATTGGGGATTGAACATGTAAAGGAGAGGATATTTGAAGGACGTTACTCATTGTGACAAGGCATGGTGACCATGACAGGTCAACGGGAGAGAATGGCTTCATCTCTGCTGAGCCTTTCTATCTCAGCAGGTCCCAGGGGCCACACGAATTCTGTCCATTATCCTGTTGAAGGCAGTTACCTTGTTCTCTTAGGGTTCCCCAGACACAGTCCTTTGGTAGGGAACTGAAGAATGAACAGGAAAATGAAGGGCAGATGGGATAAGGGGCCTGGAGCCTCAGCCCTTGCATTCCAGCACCACCACCAACTCTTAAGAGGAGGACGCTGAAGAGCCCAGTGACTGACCTGCTTTTCCGGTCCCCAGCTTCTGCAGGAGGGAGGGGCCGAGGAGTCCAGTTGCTTAACTAACCTTGTGTCCCCCCCCCCCCCCCATTCCCGCTGCGCCCCATCCCCAGGTTTTGAAGTTGCCTCAGGACCTGTGAGGTTCAGTATTTCCTTTTCAAGATGCCTCTTTCAGACTTTGTTCTGACCCTGAAGGACAATCCCTACTTTGGGGCTGGATTCGGGCTGGTGGGTGTGGGCACGGCCCTGGCCCTGGCTCGGAAGGGTGCCCAGCTGGGCCTGGTGGCATTCCGGCGCCATTACATGATCACACTGGAAGTCCCGGCTCGAGACAGGAGCTATGCCTGGCTGCTTAGCTGGCTCACCCGCTACAGTACCCGGACCCAGCACCTCAGTGTCGAGACCTCCTACCTTCAGCACGAGAGTGGCCGCATCTCCACTAAGTTTGAATTTATCCCCAGCCCTGGAAACCACTTTATCTGGTAAGGTTGGGAGCCAGGGGCCGCTCTGAGAGTCGCCAAGGAGAATGAGGGGAGCTGGGGGTGACACATTCGTTCACCCATTTTGACCGTGCTTTCTTATTCAGGTATCAGGGGAAATGGATCCGAGTGGTACGAAGCCGAGAGATGCAGATGATAGACCTACAGACGGGCACTCCTTGGGAATCCGTCACCTTCACAGCCCTGGGCACTGACCGCAAGGTTTTCTTCAGCATCTTGGAGGAAGGTGTGGGAGGACACAGGCAGGCTCTGTGGGGGAGTTGCAGGGTTGGGAGCGTTCGCCATCAGAGGAAGGGAAGCTTGGAGGATCTGAGCCCATGGGTTCGGGGGCTGGGGTAAGCGGTTTTGGCATAGCTCTGCCTTAGTTGCACAGCAGAGAGTAATGCTGGCTTTGTCTCCTCTCGTCCCTCCTAGCTCGGGCACTGGCCTTGGAACAGGAAGAAGGGAAAACAGTGATGCACACAGCCGTGGGCTCTGAATGGCGCCCCTTTGGATACCCCCGCCGGCGGCGGCCACTGAACTCGGTGGTTCTGGAACAGGGTCTGGCTGACCGAATTCTCAAGGACATACGGGAATTTATCGATAACCCCAAGTGGTACATTGACAGAGGTAAGCAGCAGCTGGGTCCTGGCCAGGCTGTTTTTGATGTGATGGTAGAGCAGGAGGAAACCGGTTAGTCTCTGTGGCCAGATGGGGTGGGTACAGCACTAGCCCAGTCCCGAGAGAGGAAGGGGAAAGGAGAGTTGCCGATGGGGATGATTTCTTCTCATACTCAGGTCTTAGGGCCTCCAGGGAACGGGGTGAGGAATGAGTGCAGGTATCTGGGGCAGAGTACATGATTGGCTGGAAGTCTTAATGATCATCCTGGCTGTCTTCCCAGGCATTCCCTACAGACGTGGCTACCTGCTTTACGGGCCCCCTGGCTGTGGAAAGAGCAGTTTTATGTGAGTAGTGTTGTTTCTCTTAACCCTCAGTCTGGAGAAAAACTGGTTGATGGGATTGGAAAGGGAAATAAATGTGGAGAACAGGAACCAGGATAAAAATAACACGTGGAACATTAGGGTGGGGCGGCGGAAGGGTTAGGCCTGACACATCTAGTGTAGTGAGGGACGAGCAGTTGGGCCCAAGGACAAATTCCCAGATAGCCAATCACCTGTCCGCCATCCTCCATAGCACAGCCTTGGCTGGGGAGCTGGAGCACAGCATCTGCCTGCTGAGCCTCACAGATTCCAGCCTCTCCGATGACCGGCTCAACCACCTGCTGAGCGCGGCCCCACAGCAGAGCCTGGTGCTCCTGGAGGACGTGGATGCTGCTTTTCTCAGCAGAGACCTGGCTGTGGAGAGTAAGTGAAGGGAGTTGAGGAAGGGGGGCTTTCTAAATGAGGAAAAGTAGAAGAAACCCGGAAAGCTGATGGAGGATGGCAGCATTAGCAGCAAGAGCCGAGAAGAGGCTCAGATGAGTAGGGAATGTGGCGGGGAATAGAAAGCGCTAATTTTAACACATTGCAGACGGGATCATGAGAATTCTCGTGTTTTCTGTTCTAAGGCTTAGAGTGTCGGCCTGTGGACTCAAGGGTCCCAGGTTTAATTCCGATCAAGGGCATGTACCTTGGTTGCGGCACATCCCCAGTAGGGGATGTGCAGGAGGCAGCTGATCGATGTCTCTCTCTCATTGATGTTTCTTAACATGTAATAACTTCAAAATGTAGTGGGTATTTAATTTTAAGGAATGCCTTTAACATTTATGTGAAATGTTCTTTGTACTGGTTCAATAGAAACTTACCTGGCCACTGGGTAAAGCTAGCAATGAAACTACTGGTCCGCAATGTGTTAAGTAGGACCATGACTGACCAGCTATGCTTCTTCATCTCTCCCTTCCTCTAGACCCAGTCAAGTACCAAGGTCTAGGTCGTCTCACCTTCAGTGGACTGCTCAATGCCTTGGATGGTGTGGCTTCCACTGAGGCCCGCATTGTGTTCATGACTACCAACCATGTTGAAAGGTAGGAAGGAGTGAGAGACACCGAGGCTAGACTTCACCAGCTCTGTACCTTGGGCGAATCAGAAAGTTCAGAGGGAACCATCATTTTGGGGGTACCAGTGGCAATGCTATCTGTGACTCTGCTGCCTTTTTCTTAGACTGGACCCTGCCCTGATCCGCCCGGGGCGAGTAGACATGAAGGAGTACGTGGGCTACTGCTCAAACTGGCAGCTGACCCAGATGTTCCAGAGGTTCTATCCCGGGCAAGCACCTGCTTTGGCGCAAGTCTTTGCAGAACGTGTCCTTAAAACTACAACGCAGATTAGTCCTGCGCAGGTGCAGGGCTACTTCATGCTGTATAAAAACGACCCTGCAGGGGCAATGCAGAATGTCGAGTCCCTGAGGTGACAACTGGGTCCTGCTCAGCTATCCTAGGGGATCAATAAACACCTGCCTACTACTCTGGTCTCTGACTTCCCTGTATTGGTGCTTGAGTAAAAAGCAGGGGAGCCATCAAGCATCCAGCTATACAAGTGTTAGCAACACAGCTTCGGTCAAAGGGGAAGACATGATACTAGTAAACAGAAAAGTCAGCCCCCCACCTAAAAGCATGTATATATGGTGTCTCCCATCAATGCATACACACTTTGAATAATTATAAAGGCACTGTTTATTAAAATACATTTCATTATAAAAATTGAGTTATCAGTGTGTTTACTTTTTTTGAGGGTCACCATATACATAAATAAATAAAATGTGGGTATACACACAGGGCAGGGTGCTTCCTGCAGATGGCTTAAATTTTGGCATCCACTAGTTTTCCCTGAAACCCACTAGCCCAGGTCCTTCTGACCCAGGCCTGATCTCAGGGTACAGATCTCAAGGCAAAGTGGAGGCTGCTCTGGCACACTCCCGCCTTGATAGGAATGTAGGAAGACAGCCATACTTCACAGGCTTGGTGCTACTGAGCAAAGAAAGCCAAACAAGGCCAAATCTCTTTATTGCCCCCATCCTGCCCCATTTCCCTGCCCCACCACAGTACTGCTAGGAACCATCCTCCGATTCCAGGCTCACGGGCTCCCTCCGAGTACCAGGTGAGCAGGTCCCCCGGCCCCGAGGCAGGCGGGGGTGGGAAGAACCGGGTGTCCGACTCTTGGGACGCTCCCAGCGAGCACAGTCCCGAGTCCTGCGGGGCGGGGGGCCCTGACAGCTGCCAGGCCCATTCTCTGGGGAAGGACCTCCAACCCCTCGGTTACGGGGTTCTTCTGGCTTTACGTCCATGGGCTCCTTGGGGGGCCCCTCAGGAAGTGGCAGTTCTTGGGTGTCTTT